AGGAGACAGCGCCCGGCCCGGTTTGCGCGCCAAACCGCACTCGTCCTCCTTCTCTCCCTCTATCTCTCCCTCTCTGATATCTGCCGACAATGACAATGGCGCACCACTTGGCGACACAGCATCGCCTCTGTCACTGGCTCGACGACCGCCGCCATTCAAGTCGTACATGTGACGTCAGCACCTTGCACAATATCACCACACAAATCACCTGTCCACTCTGCATACAGAACAGTCACGCGCTCAACTCGCCTACATACGCTTGCTTTGCCGACCTGCTGGCGACCCAAACACCGCATTCTCCTCGTTACGAGAAAATTCCATGTGCATTACTCGCTCATCACACCCAAGGCGCAAGCCAACTCCGCCAAGAACCCCCCCAATTCCTTAGACTCCTCAGCCGTTCGTCGCCTTGTGCAGCCTTAACACAATGATCTACACACGGTTGACACTGCTCAAGACATCAGGCCTGCACTCTCGGCCAATGTTGGCTGTCTAGTAATGCCACTCGACTCCACCTCGACAATGCGTCCTGGGGAACCCCATCCATATCGGAAGCTAAAGGCGATCATGAATTACGTCGGATCCATTTTATGGAGAATACCGCCATCTCGGTACACACTCGCTGACCACCGGACGGTCCAGTTGCCCTCATACTCCCCTAGATCACGTCTTACTCACTCACGCCGATTGCCACCGACCTGATCGATAGCCTACCCCTGGGTTACAGTGGGGAAATGAAGCAAGCAATAGTGCGGACATGAGGCGCAATCATACCAAGTAGCCCATTCCATATGCATCCCGCTGTACACGATCATCTCTGCCCCCACTCTCGTCCGGTGAGCCTCCACACAATCTACACGTCTGAACCAAACATCCGACATGTCTGTGTATTCTGCCTTGTTATTGGCATCGGAGTTTTTCTCCTCGCTTGTATACAAGTCTACTACTACAAACATACTTACGATTAAGCTTTGACAATGTTCTAGGCCGACTTTCTGTCGCTTCTCCACGGATACCGGCAAGCTGGTATCCCCACCCACTCCTATGTAGAAAAACAAAGGAGCGTCAGAGGAGGCGAGTATGATGCGCTAAGCGAAAGCGCAGCGCCTTCTGCAGGAACAATCCTTCCGCTGCTAGAAAACTCCCGACTCGTTAGGAGAGATTGTAGTAATACTCCTTTGCGTCTTTGCATTGATCGGTGAATTCACAACGATCGGCCTTTTCCTTCTCTCGCGCATTGAACGGTCAACATAGAACACGCAGCTGTCTTCTTCACGTGCACAAAAATCGCACAGTTTGTTCTATTTAGCAGACACATCGGTCAATAACCATCGTATTCTGTACATGAACGTATTTCTATAAATGCAACCACGTGCGACAATCTCAAGAAAACTGTGGTGTTTCCACTAGTGCGAACGGGCATTCCTTTTTTCGCCCGAGAACCCAGGTCGCTAGTCGTAATCACGTGCATATGGGAAACAAATCCCAGCATCCGGTTTATCCAGTCCCCTGTACATTCTTCCACTTGCCTTTTTTCCAAATACGCCCCTGTCCCATCGCTATTCGTACGGCGATACTATTAGCAGGTACATACAGCAAAAGGCGACAATCAAACGAGAAATGATACGAGCCACAAGATATACAGGGGCCATGCCTGCATGTCTCATATCAATCTATGTATGCAGTACTGTCGCAAGCCAAACTGCTATGCAACGGCTATAGGTACTCGCAACCCACATCCCGCACCCCCTCCTCCTCGCTTAGGCATATCACTGACCCCTACCATCACCGCAAACAGGTATGTTCTGCGACATCCGTTGCATTTCCCCGTGGCCGTTGTCTACACGGTGAAACGCAAGAGCAAAAACAACCAAAATCGATAGCAAGAATTAAGCATCACTGTCATCCATGATACTACTATTATTATCACGACCAGGATTTTGTCCGCCCATTTTACCGAAGATCGTGATCTTGAATATTCACCGAGATGCCACACCAACAGGCTCTGAAGAACATAGAGATAGGATGAACGCGATACACTAAAACCATAATCACCGCAACCCATTTAGGAAATAAAAATGCCCAAAGCTAATGCAAAACTTCATACGTACGTAGTAAGCCTACTAGGTGAGATCTATCGCCGAACACACTAGTTCTACCCGTATTATGTCGGCGATTATCAACTTGCACACTACACTACAAATCCGACCCTTCATCAATCCGCAACTCGGCTACCATCACGCCATTGCAAGGGAAAAGAGCGGAAGCAAGAAAGCAAGCAAGGCCAGAAAAGACCAATAGAATGCAATCCCATAATCATGATCATCATCACCACCTTATCCCGTATTTCTGGGCGATATGAACGAAAAAGCAAAGGCCCAAGCTCTCCAAGTATGCCGAGCATACGCGCCCACGCACCGATGGGCCCCCTCCCGCCCCTTCCCCCCAAAAAGATGAGCAAAGCCAGGGATCAAAGGAAATCAAGGCAAGCAAAAAGAAGAGCCGCTGCAGCGGCAGCGCATCCGACAGGGCGGGATTTGCCGTTCGTCTCCAGGCCCAGCAGAACGAGGCAAGACTCAAAAAAGCGAAAGAGGGAAAAGAGGCCCCCCCATCATCATAATCATCATCCCGACCAACCAACCAACCAACCAACCCCCCGTCTCTCCGGTTGACAAGGCATGGGAGAGACAGCACCGTTCGTGACCAACTGGGGGAGGGGGTGGGCAGCCACCCCATAACCCATGTCCGCGCCGTGGTCTGTGGTTGCCGGGACCCACCTTCATGGGACTGGGAAAATCTTTCGTACTAATGTAACAAAAAATAATAATCACGCCGATTCGACCCATCAAATCCGCTCCGCCTTCTAATTCACCCGCTGCCCGGTTATTTATGCCCTGAAACAGCCCAATGCGTACATGGGGGGGGAGGGGGGGAGAACGAGCAAGAGAGTGAGAGAGAAGGAAGGGTTGATTGATGTTGTTGTTGTTGTCAGAAAAAAAGTGGGGGGGGGGGGCCGAGGGTGAGAATGCGAAGAACAGGGGATAACCCCCCCACAACTTGTTCGTGCCCTTGTTCCCCCCATGGGAAGAAGGGCCAAGACGGGATGGCCGTTGATGTACGTGTTTTCTTGGTGAGCAAGAGAGGGGGGGAGAGAAGGTCTGAGTGAGATTCTCCTTCTACGGTTTTTCTTTTTGACGGGGAGCGCTGGAATATCGTGCGGTCGGGTGTTCTTTTTTTTTTCGTTCTCTTCCGTTGTAGTGTTCGCCATATTTTCTTTCTTTCTTCTTTGCTTGATGGTCATGTTAAATACACATGCCACATATCCCACGGCATAGATGCAACACACCCCCTCCCCCTGGAGTCTCTTCGGGCACTTTGGCTACGTGCGTAACTTCGTCTTTTGATATTTACACCATCCCCCATGCACACACACATGGCGCAAACTGACTCGTCAGGCAGGACACACAAGACACGCAACACAACGCAAAAGCACGCGCGGTGGGATACATCCGCTCTCTCATTTTCAAAAGTGCCTGGTCTAACAAGTTTCTCATCACGGTCTCTTTCTACGCTAGCCAAACATTTCCTCATCTGATTAAAAACCCCTCACCAACGCACCAACCCACGCACATACTCCCAGCCCTGTCAATCTTTGCTCCTCTTTTCTCTGTCTGACTTGAAGTCGTCTCGGGAAGTGGGAAGGGGTGGTAGGGGTTGGTCGTGGTAGTGGTGGTGCGGAGCCTACTGGGGCCTAGGCACTTTCTGCACGCTTCGGCGGTCCTGCACGTCTTTTTTGTTGCGTGGGATGGATGCAACGGCCACGGGCCAATATAAACTACCTGCTAACCGTACGTAGGCACATGGACATGGAGGTAATCGGGCCAGGGTCCTTGCAGCTCCCAGCAACGGTGTCGGGTCGACCAAGGATTGGGTGAAGGGTACGTAGTTTAGGGAAGGAAGAGGAAATCAAGGCATCCATGGCCTGCCTTGAACAGCTTGATGTCTGGGCTTCGAGGTGCCAACCGACCACCCCTCCCCCCAGCCCAGTCACTGTTTGCAGTTACATGCAACTGTGCCCTCTCTTATTTGGTCTTAATCGGATGCTGGGGTGTTTGAAATCGGATGCTGCCCTTGTCCTCTTTTCGTATCACCACTGCCGGGCAGGGCAAGGCGCTTTGGTGGTCTTGTCCATTTGGCCAACCTACCTATAGGAGTTGGGGGAAATTTCCACCGTTACGTACGCGAACTTTGACGGGAGGGGGCGTGTCCCCGTTCTGCTGCACGTCGTGTTCCTGACCAGACCAATGGGGCAGCCCTGCTTGCTTGCTTGCTTCCTGGTGTTGCTGCCTGACACACCGTGATGGCTTTACTTTATCATGGAACGGCTGGATTACTGTCGCTGTAGATGTGACATTGCGAGGCCGTGCAGTATGTACCACCGGGTGCTTTGCACACCTCGTACATATCTCAATCTACTCTAGTTGCGTTGTCGCTGCAGCGTTTTGCGCGTCTAGAGTTGTGGTCATGTAGGCATTTTCTCAGTTGATGCATGAGCTCTTGGTCGCTGACTCGTTGGCCTTGGCTGAGTGGTTTTGGGTGATGATAGCAGAATGTAACCCACTTTGCATTACTTTGATATCGCGCTCGATCGACTCGTATCGATCGCCTGCTGTCCCACTATGCTGAACCTCCAAGTGGAGCTCGTTGTTGGACGGTTCTGGGCTTCGTATCTCGTCATTGCGCATGCGTCCAATATTTGCTTTTTCAATAGTCGCAATGCTTGTTCTTTCCCCACGTTCCTCATCACACTGTCCGACGTCATTCGTTGCACTTAGGCCATTGTCCGTATCATCAGCCCTCATTCCTTGCACCGTTGATGTTGACAGAGAGAGCGTCGGCTGAATAAGAGACTCCTGGACTCCACTTGATGTATCGTCAGGCAACGGTGCCTTCACTTTGCGCGCCATTCTATTACCCCGATTTCGAGTACCTGACGTGCTTTTGGTCTGCGCTGAGCCCATGCTGGATGCCTCAGCACGTCTGGCCAACCTGGCTGCACGAGCATCTGGTGGAGCCTCTCCCTCCTGTTCCAACTTGCCAGCCACATCTTCATTCCTGCTGTGCGACTTCAGCTGCTCTACTGCTGCAGGGGCCTGCTGTGCTACCGCAAGCGCCGGACTCTTGCTCTTCTTAGCAAGGTCCTCTTCACTCAGCTCCACCCATTTTGCGCCCACTTTCTTCATTTGCGTGAACCTAAGGAATGTTTGGCCCGATCCGCTTGTGTCCATATACTCCGATCCTTCGGGCGGCGCATTGCGGCCTCTGACGTACAGTTGGCTAGGCCGGTGATACTCATCACTGCTGCGGTAGGTCTTGTGGAACTCGACCGTATCTGAAAACTTGAGTCGTTTTCGTCCAAGCAGGGAATTGGTGCTGCGCGATCGCTTGGGCGACGGCCGAAAAGACAGTGGCGCGTCACATTGCTGCGGCCGTGGATTGGGTGATTCTTCATCTGTTACAGGAGGTTGGGTTGTTGGCGAATGTGATCTTCGACGCGCAATGCCTAAATGTGGTTGCTCGCTCCCATGGAACACATGCTGCACCTCCGGACTTGCTTGTTCAATGCGCGTAGTCCGTTCTCCAGTCGGTGGAACCGGGAGCGCCTCTACTGTCATGAGCCAGTTATCGAATTCCATGCGGGCTTTTTTGTGGTTGTCTCGCGCAAAACTCTTCGTGATGGAATCGCGTTTGTTTTCGAAAGCCGCCCATTCTATATCTGCAGCTTGCAGAGCATCGTAGAGTGTGCCAAACCGCTGGCAGGTGCTGCATCCGAACTCTTCTAGTGCTTGTACAGGAGTGAGCCCATCAGCTGTGACAGCTGCGAGGACTCTAGTGCATGATTTGCACTTGATTGTGTTGTCGCCGCCTGCCATGTGGAACCTGCTTGGTCGAGGGCGGGGTGATGTTATTAGGATAGGAAATTTGGTTCAATATGGTTGTCAACGGAAGTTGCAGAACGCCAGAGCAAAAGAGTACCTGCCGAGATATCCAGCATATAATCGTCAAGGCAGTTGCGGGTGTAATGATTCAATGACGTGGAGTCAGAGTGAAGTTGTTTTGATTGAGATAGACACGCAGCAAACCCCTCCGTGATCAAAACAACGCGCCGCGCTTTCCGTAACGACAGCAAACACTGTATCTCGGAGGCCTGTATGCTGCAGAACCGTGGATGAAGTTGGATTCAAAGATGTTTGATGTTTTTGAGCGGTGATGTTAGAGACAAATGATGCTGCAACCAGATTGCTTGTTGCCTTGCTAACTTCGCTAATCCCGGTTGGGCCATCCCCTATCCTCGGGACGACAAAAAACAAAGGCAACGTAGTGATTCTTACACAACGCTAATATCTGTGTAAGAGATTTTGAATAGGTGGTTCGCAAGTAGAATATAGGTCATTTTCTACTCAGATAGTTGGTATTGGGACTATTACAACACAGTTCATTGCTTGGTATGTGAAAGGGTAGTCTTCACACCAGGTTTCTTGAAGTATTATTGTACAAGAACGAGCATAATGTATGCGAAGATGATACCAGAAATTTGACAAGCAGGGGTTTCCTGGTATTACAGGTTATGCAACCCTGAATGCAGGTCTCGTCAATCATCCAAGACAATATATCTATTTCTCCCACCTTGGCAGCTCACTCCATAATCTTAATGTCTCAATTAGGTGGCCCAGCTTACTACATCTAATCTATCAATTGCAGTCTGGGGAGAGGCAACTCATCTACGTTAACACGACATCTACTTTGACCTGTGGAGATCCCTCTAAAATGAATGCCGATACATTACATCCAAGAGCAGACACCCTCAGCATACAACCACAAGTAATGAATTGCTACCACCCCAGTCCCCCTTCCAATATCCAATGATAACAGCAAAACTCTATGCCTGATTTCCAAACTCATCTCTATATTCATAATAACCCCGTCAACTATCAAAAAACTCACACTCCCCATCCATCTTCTTATCCAACTCCTCCTCTGTCATGCCCGCAACCTCAAGTCCAAAGTGATAGTTATGCCATCCCACCTGCCTCTTATATCTCTCCACATACCCGCTAGTCATGTCCCTCCATGATCCCTTTCCTACACCCTCCAGTCGCGGATCTGCACTATCAAGCAACTTTGTGGTCCCATCAAGGAAGTCATCGACAAAAGAAATTTTCTCAACACTTCCAAACGACTCCTTCATTATTCTCGTTACCATAGCAATGTCGGCATCAGGCATAGTTTGGATACCGATAATGAGCTCTGCGAGATGTAATTCCTTTGCCAAAGTGCGAAGTTGACACCGCCAGAAATACGGAAGGCCACCCAGGTCCTTCCGCACCGGTGGTTGCAGCAGGTCAAAGATTGGATCTGGTACCAGCCAGCGTACGCAATGTAAGAGTGCGCCGCGTCCGAAGTGAAAAGCGAGACGCCGAATATTGGAGCGATTGGTTGGTCCTAATTGCCACAAGAAGTTTGTGGTTCCTGTGAGTCCGAAGTGGAAAGTTGTCCGGTGGAGAATGTATGGCTGCATTGTATTTGTGATAGTGGGAGAAATGCGAAGGAGGGTCGATAGACTGATGGGTGATTTAACGTGTTTCGATGGCAGTCGGTAGCTGATTTCGGCAGATGAAAGGTCGTAGTTTCGGGACAGTCCCGCGGCAGTCATCAAGATCATTTCTTGAAGTTCTTGAGGTAGGCGAAGGAATGGATGGAATAAGGGCTGGATGTCGACTGTGTCTTCTGAAGCCGGTTGGGGGCTAAGAGCTGGTGAGTGCGTGCGGAATGCGCGCTCTGCATTGTCAGAGACAGTTTTGGCACTTGGGCTGGTATTTTTGATTGCAAGACGCGTGAAGTAGAGATTGTTGAGATATTCACGGGCGGAGAGCCAACCCGAACCGCAGCGGACAACGAGTTTATAATAGTTGCTCGGGGAAATGGATTTGACCTGCGAAGTTGGCTGGGCCATGTCGTCTTCAGCGAATGTGAATGGACAGGTACCCTCTTCCCACTCTGTAAACACTTCTCTATTTTCAAAAGGGTCCATATCACCCCTTTGCGTCGGCCTGATCATACTAGATCTCTTACTCTTCCTCTTACCCATTTGCGGACTGAAAAGCCTGACAACAATCTTCTTCCTACAATCCTTGAAGCTCGAATCCGTAAGCACGCACTGCACGCTCTTACCCAAATCCAAATCCTCTCTCCTACGTGGATCAGGAGGCAGCAAACTGAGTTTCCCCTGGAAATGCGCGCTTGAATCGTGGCCCATGGACCATTGTTTCAAATGTTGGATGAATATTTTTCGCTGCTGTGCCTGAACCCAATGCTGATTGACGGGGTGGCGAGGCGACTTGGTGGAAGGCGAAGGAGGGTTTTTGCTGGGCGATACCAAAGGAACTGGTGGGGAATTTAAGGGTGTGATAGTGTAACCCTTGTCGATGGTAAGAGGCGCGTGAACCATGCTGAAGGAGTTGAAACAACGTTGAAAAATGGTGGCAGTCCAAGTCAGTTGAGGTATGTTTTAGTCTGGTGGGATGTCTTGGTTCACGATCGGTAAAGAAATGGTCTGGTGATAAGCGTCACAGGTGAAGAGTCCGGTAACGGCTCTAGTTAGCGTTGGTTTCACCGCTCGCAAGCGAAAACAAGGGCACCGTCTGTATTGCGATATGTACTAGTCAATTATACACCCGCGTGTTGTTTAACGCAGGCGTTTGGGTGCCAACGCAGATGGCCAAACGAAGCAAGCAAGCGGAGTTCAGAGAGGGTTGTTGGAGATACGTGGAACAGCAGCGCGTGACTCTGACCGGACAAGGAGGGAGATTTCGAAACAATCCACCTCAATGACGAAACCCGTCCGGCGGAGGCAAAATACTTAGCTGTCAAACTGAAGTTGTGTGCACGTCAAGCTGGGTAGGGGACGAACCTAATGATGTACCGGCTGAGCCGGACAGGATTTGGTGAGATGCACTATGCACCATGACGAACGCAAATGCGGAGAAGTGGCCCGTCACCAACAATAGCCGCTAGCCTGCAACCAGATAGCACGCGCCACATCTACATCAATACCTCGGACGCAGACGGCACAGACGTTCCATGGACTCAGCTTATATGTATGTAGTTGCGATCGTCTGCAAGTGCCACAACCCGTGCCCAAGGGTGGGTTGTGATAAGAAATTCCATTTCGTGGGTGGCCATGGTGCCGGGTATCGTATCCCAAAGTACACAAGAATAAAACGCCTCTAAGTGAATAGTGTTTTTGTAAGCCATTAGGCTCTTCCCTCTAGCCAGCTCGCAACCTGCTTTAGAAGTCCATTGAAGCCCTTGACATTGGCCAAAAGCCCACCACCACGCGAGCCGACATCCTTCGCTACGCCGTCTAGTAGCATGCTTAGTGGCATGTCTGGACCCTCATTCTCTCTTCCTTCTTTGCGCGCCTTAGCACGACCGTTTTTAATCGCAGCCTCAATAGCGAACATGTTGTCGCTGAGCGTATTCTGAGCGTCCACCCTGGCTTTCTCAGCGTGGTACTGTATCTGGATATCGTCCTGCTCCATGGCGATTTCCTGTCTACTGTTCTGGAGGCCTAGCATCTCTTTGCGTAAATCGGCATTAGCACGTCTCAGTAGCTTCATCTTTTGGAAATTCGTGCTTAGGACATCGTTAGCATCTTGTAAGTCCATCAGCTTTTCATTCAAGCTCTCCTTGAAGGTAATCGACATGTTGATCTGACTTCGTAGCTCCTTTCGGCTGTCGGAATCTTGCAAGTTCTGCAGCTTTTCAGCCATGCGCTTGAGACGATGGTCAATGTTATCTTCTAGGATCGAGCGCGTGATATCTGCCGCAGTAACACCCCGAACTGTAGAGCCTTTTATGCGCATCACCGAGATAGTATGTGTTGGCCCCACAAGCTTTTGACGCTTGCGGGGTGGATTTTCCGTTGAAGGCTTAACACGTGGTGCTTGCTCGGGAGCAGATCGCTTGGAGACGGGTTGAGGGGTGGGTTCCGCTTCTTCTTCTAGCGCAGAATCACCTTCTCCGGCTGACGCTTCGTGTACACTGGTGACTTCTACACTATCTCTCTGTCTTGCACCTGCTTTGCCACGAGCAGGTGAGAGGTCGTCGACAGTCTCATCAGCAACTTCGGTGATAGGTTCTTTGTTCTTCTTTTTAACAGACTTGCGAATCGCCGGTGTTTCTTGGGGCTCGCTCTCTCGGACGTTGGATTCTTCACGAGGGCTTGTGCGCTTCACAGACTTCGCCGAAGCGACTGTTAGAGTGTTACTTTCAGTGTGGTGCCTATCCGATAATCGCGGTCTACCACGTCCACGTTTCACGGGCTGTGATTCCATGACTTGCTCCCCAGGATCTTCATTTGCTACAGGCGTCTCGACTGGCTGTGATGTTGTCGGGATCTTCTGATTTGAAATTGGCTGTAACTGTGGAGATAGCTCATCGACGGTTATTTCTGTCCCCTCTTGCGGTGTCTGCTGTGGCTGTACTCCACTCCCGACCACGCGCGGCGTAGCTACAGGCACTTGGGGTGAAAGCTCGTCCTCGCTCTCATCTTCGGCTGGCGCCGCCGCTGGTGTGTTTAGGTAGGCATCAATTCGGGAGGCCGACTTTCGTGGCTGTCCGCTCGGAAGTAGACTAGGGGTTTCCGGGACGGGATCAGTCGACTTGGATCGTCTTGATATGGAGCGCCGTGACTTTGCTGATGTTGTCTCGTTTGCGCCTGTGGTCGGTGTCTTTTGCCTTGCGCTTCCGGAGAGCGCCCGCTGCTGTATCGCTGCCTGAGGTGGTGTCCGTTTCATCACGGTAGATCTGGCGAATACGGCCTCACGCACATTGCTCGCACCCTCGTCCAGCACCGAGAGCTCATCCGGGCCATTGTCCTGTTCCTCGCGTACGGGGGAAACAGTTCCCACCACTCTCTTGATCTTTTCAACCGAGCGCGCAATCTCCTCGCGGTTTGGGCTCAGTTCATCATCTTCCCCTTCGACTATATCTGACTGCGCAGCAGGTGAAGCCCGCTTTCGCTTGCCCAGCCGCGGGGTCGCTATCTTCTCTTTTGGTGTGCTCTTGCGTTTTGACGCGCTGCTGCGCTGAAGCGACGCGCTTCTGTGTCGCTGTGCCGAGCCATTCGGGGCGCGCGGTGTACTTTGGACTGGGGTTCGATGAGAGGGTGGCAGAGGAGGAAGTGAGGATTGTTTAGCAGGGGCTGCGCCGAGAGCACCGAAGCTGAAGTCAAAAGTTGCCTGTACTGAGGAAGGTCTGCAGCTGTCAGCATCCAAGTCGTTGGTTGCATGTCATGACGCCTGTCTTACCCAGCACCGCGCACGCGCTGCTGTCGATGCTCGCGGCGATCTGTGGATTTGTCAGCACAAAGACGGAGAGATAAGCATGATACTGTTGTCTCATACCGACGGGCGCCATGGCGATGTGTGGTGTAGCAATTCGAATTCGGGGTGGGGTAGGCGAGGCTGCTGTCGTCGCGTGGTGGTGTTGTGAGGGTCGACGCGCTGACCATACATGGCCAGGCCCTTGCTTGGCCTCCATCATCCCCGCAATAATTCCGTTTGCTGCCCACGTTTCGCAGCACAACGACTGCCATTGCATTCCACCATCATGGGTTGGCTATGGGGTAGCAAAAACAGCCCAACCGGGTCAGATCAGCTCGATCCCTCCCTCCGCGAATTCCTCAACAAAGAAGCCCCTACAGGCCCGGCGCCTTCATTGCCCTCCGTGCCCAAGGAAAAGCCCGCCGATGCACCCACACCCCCGCTGTCGCAGTTCCAGGAACAGATTGAATCCTCTAAGCCTCGGGTACCGCCTCAATCCCAGTTCCAAGATGGACGCTATGCCCATCTCTGGAAAAATTACACTCCCCAAGACATCCTGAATGACCGCGGAAAGTCGGAGCAAGACCGGCTGCGAGACCTAGTCGATGCCTACAACGACCGCAAGGCCTCGATTGGCCGATTAGCAATGGAGAACTGTGCACTCGAGTATATGGAGCAATTTGAATGCTTCCGAAACCCCAAGACGTGGTGGTCCAAGGGCACAATGTGCAGCGCCGAGTCGCGCAAATTCAACCGCTGCTACGATATCCAGTCCAAGTTTCTTAAGGCCCTGGGCTACATGACAATGGATGCCCGCTCGCCTGAAGAGGATGAACGGATCCAGATGCACGCCGATAAGCTGTACCAGCGCATGTTGCAGCAAGAAGCAGAGATAGAAAAGGCAAAAGAAGAAGGCCGACCTATCCCAAAGTTCGAAAGCGTCTTGTCCAAACGTAACGTTGCGCAGGCAATGGGCGGTGTATCGCCAACTGCCAAGAATGAACAGGTGGCTGAGATTGGAAATTTGAATACTATAGACGAAAATGAAGTATGGGCCCAAATCAAACCAGAAGCACGGAAAGAATACGAGAAGAAGCTCGAGAGTCTGTCGCCTGAAGAGCGCGAGATTGAGAGAATGGCCGTAGTGGGCGAGCTGAGGGCTCAAAATGGTGTTGCGAAGCAGCTTGAACAAACATTTATTGAGGAACGAGTGGCTCGCATGAAGCGGAGAGAAGCTGGCCAAGCGACGTTTGGCGATACTATCAAGACGTTATGGGGATGGGGTTGAACTACAAAAAAGATGTATGCCTAGGTGGTGTTTTGATAACGTGTAGAATTATTCATGATACCACAAATTATACAAGACATGTCACCATTTTTACACAGGGGTCCAGCATCATAACAGCCTCGCACCCTTGCTGCATCTCAAATGCCTGTCACACCTCCTGGTTTAGAAAAGCATCTTAGCCTTGTGGCTGGGAGCTTTCCGCGCTACTTTATGGCTCTTCCTTCAGCCGCAGCAGCTTGGCAATCAGGCAACGATACTCCCCGCATCCAGTTCCATGTCAGGACTGGAAGTATACTCTACACAATCCAGCTAACTCAGTGCCACAAAATCAACATATGTGTTATCATTGAATGAAAATGGCCTCCCCATCTACCGCCAAACCTGACACTCAACCAGAACCAATCGATGACGAACTTAGCGAGACTAAGCCTGTGCTCATGCACCAGCATGAGGTTGCTTACGGGATGGAAAGTTGGGTTTTCCGTAACGGTCTCCTTTGCAAAAAGACTAGGGACGGCACCCGATGGCTCCGCTTCAAGAGAGATGAGATAGGCCGGCCAAGGACATATACCAGGAAGTACGCAAATTATCGGCTTGCCTTTACTGTGGTAAATGTTTTAATATACTAATCATGTATTCTAGCCAAAGAACCCATAGCCCCAATGGTAGCCTAATCATTCACTCTGATGACCAAGACCCTGCCCCAGGCACATGCAAATCGATGATTCATCCGCCCATAGCCTCTGAAATAGAGTATCGTGGCGAAGATGGAAGAGAATGTTGGGCTGTCATGAGTCTAGCAAAACTAATTTCCGGATCCAAGGATTGTGCTTTTTGCTCTATTCTCCTTCAGGGAATCAAAGAGTTTGCAGACGACTGGAAACCCAAATGGGATGAATTGCGGTGGATTGAGAGTCAGTTCGTACAACACAAGCGTTTGGTCGACGAAACACCAGATCGATTTCCAGAACAGCCTGTGGATGCAGACGTAATGATTGTGCATATTACGTTTGGGAAAGGAAAGAGTAAGCTAGAAGTTAGGTTACAGGTGCCTCCAATCTCGCATGCGGGTGCGGAGAGAAAAGAGAATATTTTTCAGCTTGATTTCTATTCTGACCCTGGTATGTTCGCTCCTGCTGCAGTGTACTTTGTCTTGACAAAAATATATCCAAATTCTGCCTCCAGGCTGGTATTTGCTTTATAGTTCAAATTCGACTAATCGTGCACAGAAAATCCTAGCCCGTGGAAAGCTTTTCCTCCATCCCCCCATATTTCCTGCTTTGTCCTTTCATCCCCGACCCTCAATCTATTCGGAAATTGGATCGATGAATGCGTCCAAAATCACAAAACGTGCAATACAATCTCCAATACACGCCCTCCCAGCCGCCTACTCCGGATAAATCTCGCCCCTGCACCCGAATACGGTACCCCTACTCTTCAACTTTTTCACACTTCCCCCACCGAACAGTACACCTATGTTGCAGTCAGCCACTGCTGGTCACACACACGGCCACTCAAAACCACAGCCGCTAATTTGGCGGCTCACCTCGCTTCTGTTCCCTGGGGCTCTCTCTCACCTGTCTTCCGCGACACTGTATTGCTCTGCCTCTGCCTGGGCTATGACTACATATGGATAGACTCCCTATGTATCCTGCAAGGGGATCCGGTCGACTTTGCAGCCGAGGCACCACATATGGGTCACATCTATGCACAAGCAGCACTCGTCATCGCCGCACACGGCCCTGAACTATTCTTCAATCGTTACGGAACAAGGAAGATTATACCACCGCCCTTACAGCCAACCATTGATCCCGGCACTCCTGTGTTTGTACGGATGAACCCGCAGCACGACAATCTTTTCAATCCGGCTCAGAATACCAGGTCCTACTGGGGGCGCGCGTGGTGTTTCCAAGAACGGCTGTTCGCGCGGCGAATCCTACATTTTGGGGGAGATTACGAAGAGTCATATTTCGAATGTGGCGAAATGGTAGACTGTGAATGTCAGAGGGTCTTACTACAAGGAAAAATCGGAGGCCTTCAGAGCACGTGGTCTCATTTGAAGAGGGTGTTGCCCAGGGCGTTGATGGCATTCGACGACGCTGTTGCTTCCTCGTCTCCTTCCACTTCATATCAGTCTGCATCAACAACTGAGACTGCTATTGAATCTAAACTTGGCAATGTTGGGGCAGTGCAGTCTATGGTGGGAAGAGAACACTTCGAGAAAGCCCGGAACAATCTCTGGGAAGCAAATGCCGCCCTCATTGAGGACTACACTGCCAAAAGCCTCACGTACCCTACAGACATTCTACCAGCATCCTCTAGCCTTGCAGAAGCCATCAGCCCTAGATTGGGGACATACTATGCAGGGATTTGGTCACACAACCTTCTTCTTGGACTCCAATGGGAGGCGTATGATACACGTAAGAGCTCACGTCACGTCACGGGAACCTACCTAGCTCCCTCATGGTCATGGGCAAGTCGCAGTGGCGGCGTCGTATGGTACTATTGCCCAGGAGAAATCCCAACGTCACAAACACACAAATTCGCAGAGGTGCTGGATGTGCAGTGTGAACTGGCCACGGATGATCCGTTTGGGCCGGTAAAAGCAGGCGAGATGAGGATCAGAGGAAGGACAACGATTATGTGGTTGGATGATGGAAAAGAGGAGATACCACGTTATGGGCCAGATAGCAGGGTCCGGCTTCATAAGCCCGGGGCGGAGTGCTTTGTGGTGCTGGATGCACAAGAAGACTACGAAGAATTAAGACCTAATGGAGAGGTGAAGTGTTTGGAGATTATGAGAGACAGGAAAAGGACCCACGACGTGGTTTATGCATCGGGACTTGTATTGAAGAAGGCGGAGTTAGAAGGGAGAGAGAATGTATGGAGAAGGATCGGGTTTACAACCATGACGAAGGAGTGTTTTGAGGGGCCGGAGATTGACGAGGTAGAAGGGCTAGTGATTGTATAGAGCCATGGCGGGACTAAGGTTTCTTCGAAAACTTGACCTACTACATAGTGGCTAGATAAGAACCGAAGCCGCCTATACGATCTACAAAGCCAAGGTGCTCATCTACAACTACCGAACCCCATTTCATCCACAAACCATCTTTCCGTGTAAGGTAAATGGCGCGAAGATAATTTCCGAAACACGGCGTATCAGAAAAAGCAAACCTCCAAACCATGAAAAACAGAATCTTTAGGCGAGCAAGCTTATGAACCACTGTTTGCCCAAAAAGAACAAATTTGTTTCAGAACAACTTTTGCTTGTTGGGAGGGGGGTGCAGGGCACGAGGACTCAAATATTGGTTCGCGCATTTGTCTTCCCACGTTTCCCAAAAATAATTTCTGTCGTAAACCTTTCATCGATGTACATCTAAACCTCTACCCTTCTTACAAACCCTTTTTCTAAATTCTTACACTCCTTTTTTCTATGCGCTCTTTTCCTACCAAACCATCAACGCCATAACCTTCCCAACATACAACCCAAACACCACCCCGACAAATGGCAATGACCTACTTCAAACGCTGGTCCACTCTCCCCCCGTCCCCAACCCCCTCTCTCAACGACTCCCTCTCCTCCTCCTCATCCAGCACCATCAGCACCCCACCCCGCAGTCCAACACCCTCCTCCACCACGCGTCTCTTCTCGGCCCTAAAATCCAGCACCACCTTCCCCCTATCCATCCGCAAAGTCTCGTCGCCATGGCACTCCTCCACAGTGCAACCCCAATTACCCTATCTGGACAACAACGCCAGCCACGCAGGCTCAACCACATCCCTATGCACGACCACGGATCCCACAGCCACCGCACGATGCGTGAAACAAAAAAGCAACGACAGCAGTGTGTTGGCGTGGCGACGCGGGACGAGGACGCTGCAGATGGAGTATGAGGGTTTGCCGTTGAGGAGGAGGCGCGAGGCGCTGGAGAGGGTTAATGAGGGGAGAGTTAGGTTGGGGTTGCCGAGGAGGAGTTTGGGGGGGTTGGGGGAGTGAGAGGAAGGAAGAGGGATGGGAGAGCGGATGGGAGGATGGGCGCGGGTGGGAAAGGGAAAAAAGGAAGGCGGGGAATTGGAAAAAGCAAGAATGCCGCGGAGGGACGAGAGATATGGCGTGATTGAACTGTGTTTTTCTAGCGTGCATGGTGGGTTGAGGCTAACATGATGTTTGTGCTATATTGTGTGGTTGGGCATGGGTGGGTTTCGTGTGATTCTTCATGTAAAATCTACTGCCTGGCGGGTTGTGTTGCATGTTCCTCCTCGTTGTATAAAATATAGTTATTCACATGTAAATTATAATACCTCCGATGCTGAAAATCAATTCATCCACAGCTTTGCTTCGTCCAGATCTACAATACACTCTTATCTGCTTGAAAAGATATACTGACTGCTAATTTGCGCATAGAATAGTAAAAACTTCGTTCGTCGTTTCTTACATCTCACATTAAAGTCTAATCGGGTATACAAAGCTCCACTCTAAACTGACAAGAAACTCCTACCATGCAAGGTCGTCACCATTTCCTCGTCTCCCATTATGTTCACCTTCTTCCTCATTATCACCATCCATTATACCTTCCATGACCTCGACAACCGACCCCACATTCTCCCTCAACGCCGCCAACCGACTCTTTTCTTTAATCCGACTATAAAATACTGGGCAATCCCTACTATCGCACCGTATCTCTTCATTCCACGCTAGATTTGCGCAGCGCCTACAGACGGCATCCACCTCATTCATCCGCATCTCACTAGTCCAGATGCGATACTTGAGTGCAAGCAGTGAGTGAGCGGGACGTTTGACGCACTTTGCGCACAGCGGGAGCATGGCGTATGCAGCGCTGGAAAAGTGTGCAGAGGATGGGGGACTCAGTTTCGAACGGCAGACAAGACAGTTCAAGGATTTCATATAGCTTTCTAGTGTTTTCTTGAGCGCGTTGTGTCCACCACTTATGAGGGTATTGCCGTTGTTGTCGTATTTCGGTGCAATGGGAATTGAGATGTTGCGTATGCGTTGTATCTTTGGCATCTCGTCGTACCACTGTCGGACATTGGCGCCGACAAGGTTGAAGATGCGTTCGAGTGGGGGGATCAGGTTTTTGGAGATGTAGTACTCGGCGTCGAGCTCCAGATGGTCGTTTTGGAGTAACATTTCTGGATTGACGCAGCGGTCAATGAGCCGAGCCCCTGGCGCACCGGTAATAACGGCGTAGGGGACGCGCTCGCCATATTGAGGTTCTGCACGTGGGTCGACAAGCATACGTTTCGTAGCAATGAGGGCGCCGGGCGGCGGATGCCCTTTGTTGGAGTACGTCCCCAGCTTGACTTCTTTGGCAAAGAGAAAGTCCTGGATGCTGACACGGCCTTCCATGATCTTGGCGCACTGCTCTTGAAAGTAGCTTTTTACTTTGCTGAGGTCTGAGGTTCGGAAAAGGAGCTTGAGCGCCTTCTCTTCAATCTTTTGCTCTGCAGGTGTGCCATCTCGGCGTACTGTTTCGATACCTTTTGCATCAAACTCCGGCTCTTTCTGGTTTCTGTGTTCGTATTTGAAGCCAACATAACGTTTTTTGGCGAGTAACACACAAGGATGGTATACTTTCTCGAACTTGAGCTTGATGGGTCGTGGGTTGGCAGCGGTAATAGCAGCAGCAATCTCTTCGCCAATTGTGAATGCTTGGTCTTTTGTGCGCCCTTTGAGATGAATAAAAAGCGAATCGGTATCTCCGTAGACGACTTCCGCGCCCCATTTTTCTGTCGCGTGAATGATTGCAATCGCCTTTTCAAGGGTCTCACGACCAGTTTGAACAATACTGTCGGCAATTTCGGAGCATGGCATGCGTCCTGAGAATGAAGCTGATGTATAGCCATATGTGACGTTGGCTAGCAGTTTCAACGCTAGTTGTCTGTTGTTTAGCAACTTCTGAAGGGACTTGTCGTCTTTGTCCTCTTTCATACCACTTTTGACCATGACTCGAGTCTCTAAGATCTCACCAAGCATCTTCGCTAGCAAGGATTTCCGCATCTCTGGTTTCACATACATCATCCCATTTGGGGCGATGTTGATGTGATCTTTGACCAGTTCCAGTAGTTGAGGTTGGCGCTTGAAGTCCATAAAGCCCATCTTGTTGCGGCCGCGCCAGCTAACGATTCGTCCAAGACAAGTGGAGTAACAATAGTTGTACGCTATCATGACGCTGGGGTAGAGCGACTGGAAATCCAGCACTAGTACCGGGCTAGAATAAAATGCGCTCTGAGGCTCCATCACTAGAGGCAGACACTCTAGCGCGTTCTGTCGACCGACTTGCTTCCTGCTCGGCGAGACAAGGATAAAGTTCTCTGGCTTTGCAATACGAAACATGGTGGACTCCACTTTAAATTGCGAACCTCGAGAGATGACCGCAAAGAAATCAATGCCAAGCAAACGTGCCTGTTCGCTGGTACGCGGTACGATATCGTTGGCCTCTAAAATGTCAAGGTTCAGTTGAACACGACTAATAAAATAGTCGAGAACTTTGGTGAGATCTCGAGGCTTCCCGTTCGTGTACCATGCGGTAAGATCTGAATGCTGGTAATGTGGAATACGCTTATGTAGTAAGTGAAATACCACATTCTCCATAGTGTACTGCAGCAAGTTTAGCTCACCACGCATAGCTCTCCAAATATTGATCATGTGTCGGCCAGTGACTCGAATAGTGGATGTATGCGTGAAGCCCCAGCGATCTGCCTCTTTACCAAATCTTCCATACGACTGCGATTTCATCCTGCTGATCTCGTCGCAAAGGTTGTACTCGTACTTCATTCTGGCCCGTTCTATAAGGTAGCCCCAGGAACTGTTGTGTACCTCATATCCGGTTAGAATATCTGGATCGAACTGACGGACAATATCAACCAAGCGATTGATAAGGTCCAGCTCGTCCTCTTCGTACTCGACCTCTACTGAGACCTGTTTGGCGATGCGCACAGCTATACCGTCTTCATCAGAGAAGCACAATATACCTTTGCGTGGTCGATCAGCAACCGCGTTCTCCTCGCCTTGGATGCTCCAAAAGACACATTGTATTTCATCTTCAGCAGGATCAGGTACCAGTGATCCTCGAGAGTTTACGTGAACTTCCAAGCTCATAATGCTCATGTACTGGGATTGGTGCTTGACACTAGTGTTGTTTTGTTTCTGTGAATATTTGCAGCCGTTGGGATTTTTCTGTGTTGGGCCTTCAATCTGTGACTGATCATGCGTAGGGTCGAATTCGTGTAATATGGGTGCGGAATTTGTCTTTGTGTTGAACTTGATTGTCTTGCGTTGCCTCGATTTACGAAGTGTCCAATCTTCTACTTCTTTGAAAGAAGGTGGAGGTCTTGAGAGCTCCCAATGGCGCAAGCTGCAACGTTTAGACCTTGCTTGATACATTGCAATTTGTTTCCTCTTGTCTACCACAACCGGCGGGTATTCTCCAATGTTTGCAAGGGATGCGCCAACTGGGTCGAATGGAGGAAGATATGGCAAAGTGGTACTCTGCAATTTGAACTCCCTACCTGCGTATTCACGCGGACGGTCCGGAACGTCTTTCTCATTACTATAATATGCATCTTGATAGATTACTGGTGGTAAGCCAGCATTCATCATAGTATTTTCGATCATTTCAACCCTTGGAGGTAGACACGCGTAATATACTGTAGGCTGATGATGTCGACGGGACTTGTCTAGCTTCATCACCAAAGCTGTGGCTTGCGAGCGAGCTTTTGGTGTACTGCTGCTAGGCATTGCTGGTGACGTCTTTTGGTGTGTCCAAGGAGTAATAGGGGAGCGTTGTGACGCCCTAACGTTAAGATACTTAGCCCCAGGTGTCTTCGGGCCCTCCTGAGAATTAGAGTAACCTGACTGGCTGAGGCGATGAACAGTCTCAGGTGCATTCGAATTTTTCACTACAGGAAAAGAGAGTGTAGTAGCCCCCCCAAACCCTTGAGCTTTGATGCTTGCCTGAGAAACCTGACCTGCTGGGGGCGCCTCTTCCCAAACGCCTTTCGGAAATTCGGCTGCCGCTCTATCGCTGTCTTCACTGAGGGCATTACGGAACGAGACACGACCAACGGTACCCTGCGTTTCTTGTAAAATCCGTTGACGCTTGCTGTAGTCTTCATCGGTAAACTCGATATGGCGCTTGCGCATGGAGCTGGGGTTGCTGGAATTTGGTGGCTCGTCCTCGTCACTTGGATCAATCAGATCGATACCTTCATCTATGAGTGTATCGTTCTCCGTCATTTCATTGGAGGCCTGTAGCAAGGATACAGTAAGAGGGTCCATTGGAAGCACCTCATCCTCGGACTGATTGTCTGCATCTGCTTGGTTTTGGCTGTCATCATCGCTAAGGATCGAATCATCATGCTGATACTGCGGCAGTGGGTCCAGGCCATCCGATAGTAGTCCAGCTCCATCTAAATCATGAACATTGTCTTCCTCAAATGTTTCGACCTGACGCTCCAGGCCATGATCCGCAAGCCTTTGTGTAGACAAAACTTCGGGATAGAGATCCTCAATGCTCTCCACAGCAGTCTTGATGCGATCTTGGCCTGCGGTTGGGTTGATGAATGTGTCAAAACTCACTTCACCCCTGTCCTTATGTTCTTCTTTAATCAAGCCCTCAACGATTTCCCTATATTCATCTTCATGGATCCATCCGCCTTTCTTGGTGTCACGCGTATCTGCTGACATTGATACTAGCACTTCGGCAGGGAACGGACTGCTAGAAGGGTCGGTAAGGCCCATGCGAAGCTTGCGTCGACGTGTTTCGTCTCTCCAAAGACCAGCCATAGACGGTACGAACTTATCATCAGGATTGCGAAGCATTTGGCTCGACCGCTCTAGAAAGTCGTGGTGAATAGGACGACATTGCACTTGTTGCCGATTAAGAATGTTTTGGACACAAATGTCGACTTCAAGAGTGCAGTGGCTTTGACGTGGATATTGGTCTTCGTCTGCCATAAACTCGTCTGGAATAGATGCATCGTGCCACTTGTGTAGGGTAGTATCCACCTCGTCGCTATCGGGTACAGGCCCTCGAAACTGCACTTTAGCGCAATCGATATAGTCACATCCATACAGGTTGTAGTCACACATCCACTGTAGGAGGTATTGTAAATGACTTTCATATGGCTGGAAAACCTTGTCCAAAATAGCACCTTGGTGGAGGAGGTCGGCGAATCGTGTCATATGCATGGGGTTGAGCAAGTAGACTTTCAGGAAGACTTTGTATCCCACATGATAGCCGAAGAAAGGCACGCCCTTAACCAGCGAGATGTGGCCGACATATGTTGATTTTCCATTAATAGTGTTGCGTCGGTAAGCGGTGGCAAGGGCCTGGTCGATCGCAGTGCGGAGGTCTAGGATGTACGAATTGACTATATGTTGTCAGCCCACCCAGACCATGTCGGTGATGTACTCCGCCTACCAACATCAGTCTCCAGGCTTCCATTGTACTCCAAATACAGATAAGGTAATGCCCCGTGGATATGAGCGCACACCTTCTGGCCAGTCTCAGTTGCCCCAAATGCTCTAATGACAGGCACTTCAGGCGTGCCTAATCTACCTGCGGGCCCAGGGTTGCGCCGGAGAAGAGGGTCGAGATCGGTGGGCGCAGCCTGGTAGTTGTCGATGCAATTGAGGCGAAAGCGAAACGTCTCCATGGCGACATATCCAGAGCGCGGAATGTGTGTTGGAGAGAAGAGTCTTGCATTGTCCTCGCCCTCATTCAAAACCGGGCGTGGACATGGCACGCGCACTATTAGTAGTTGGTGGCGTAGAAAACCCAACGCGGTGCACCGCAACACGTATCGCGTGAGCACGTGATATACGGGATCGCCGCTTCAGCCCTATGGCGCTAGCTCTCCACTTTCGCCGCTGCGGCGACGGAAAGCTTCAACCACCATCGACCTCGCGACCATCAGACACGTCTCAGGCAGCCTACAGAACCAAATATGCCGCCCTCCCAACCCAAGAAGCCGGACGTATCTGCTGCTGCGAAAGAACGCAACGAATATATTCCTTCCTTCATCTCCAAGAAGCCCTTTTATGCCGTCGACGAGAATGGCGAGGACACCACCGACTACCTCGAGCACCAGCGTCTCCAGAAGCAGGAACAGGACTCTAAATGGTATGATCGTGGCAAGAAGGCTGGCCCGGCTGCAACAAAGTTCCGCAAAGGCGCATGCGAGAACTGCGGAGCCATGACCCACAAGAAGAAAGACTGCTTGAGCCGGCCGCGCAAGGCAGGCGCAAAATACACAGGTAAGAATATCGAGGCAGATGAGGTCATTCAAGACGTGCAGCTGGGGTTCGATGCAAAACGCGACCGCTGGAATGGTTACGATGCCTCAAACTTCGTTGAGGTTATTGAGGAGTACAATGCCATGGAGGAAATTCGCAAAAAGGCCAAAGAAGTAGAAAAGGGCGACAAGTCAGACGATGAGGATGAGGGCGATAAATACGATGCCGAGACCGACATGGGAAGGAAACAGGCCACATCTACACGCAACCTGCGATTACGAGAAGACACTGCAAAGTACCTACTGAATCTAGACCTCGACTCAGCGAAATACGATCCCAAGACGCGTTCTATGGTCGACAGCGGCGCAACAGCGGATAGTGCAGCACAACTCGTGGCGGAGGAAGGTTTCATGAAGGCCTCTGGAGATGCAGCCGAGTTTGAAAGGGCACAGCGGTACGCCTGGGAAACACAGGAGCGTGGAGACAAGAACAAGATTCATCTGCAAGCCAACCCTACATCGGGCGAGGTCATGAGAAAGAAGCAACTCAAGGAGGCCGAAGAGGCTGCGGCAGCCAAGAAGAAGGCGTTGGCCGAGAAGTACGGAACTCAAGAGAAGTTTACCGATGACACACTACGCAAAGCCGCCGTGACAGAGAACGAGCGGTACGTTGAGTACGACGAGCGAGGAGCCATCAAGGGTGTACCGAAAGTTAAGGCAAAGTCAAAATACCCAGAAGATGTCCTACTCAACAATCACACATCTGTTTGGGGCAGCTGGTGGTCCAATTTCCAATGGGGCTTCGCATGCTGTCATTCGACGGTCAAGAACTCATATTGTACGGGCGAGGCAGGCAAGGAAGCATTTGAACTGGCGGATCGGATGCGAACTGGTGCTGATCTCGAGGAAGTTCCAAAGGAGATTGCATGGAAGGAAGCCGAAGCTCTGGAGGAGCATGTACCAAACGCTCCAGACCAGGCCCAGAAGGCAAAGGCCGATGCAGCGAGTCGAAAGCGAGCGCTGGATGAAATGACTGGTCAAGTGAACGAAGAGGAGATGGAGGAATACCGCAGAAAGCGTACAATGGCGGCTGACCCCATGGCAGCATACCTTTCCAAGGGAAGCAAAAGTGAGGCAATCTGAGTTGTCATAAGGCATTGATTTTGTGTTGGTAGCATTGCATGGCGTTTATACCCTGGGGCCACATCTGGACGTATTGAGTAAAATGACATAGTAGTTTTCTGATGACAGTTGCGCTGGCTATGTGTGATTGGTATGGCTGGGAGGGCCCTTCTGGACCATGCAGCCCTATTCGCTGCGCGGAAGCTCTCTCACCCTCCATTACACAGTGCCAACTCAGAAGTCGAGGCGATTGCGCATGCAGCCGCGTATGCGTTGTTAGCCCATATCCAAGGCAGCCGTTCATGTATGTAGGTCAGGGGAGACAGTGACGGGCAGCCCGCGCGGAGAAGAGTTCGCGGGCTGCGGGTAAAGGCGATGACGAAGCGCCAAGGAGCACGAGCCACCTCCTGGGGTCCTAGGTTCAGGCGTAGTTGGGTACGAGAGCTCCTGGCATGGCCAACGGCACAGCCAAACCAGATAATCAGGCTCCCACTCTTCTTTGGCTCTGATTATACTTTTTGACCACATTCTATCGTTTCGACCCCGATTCTCCCCATTCCTTCGACCAACTGAAATCACCACTGAGTAGCTCGCGAAGGAGCTTACAGCCACCAAGATGGCGCTCTACGGAAGCTCACGCAATGTCGACATGGGCAAGTACGTACTGTGGCCATGGTGCCCGCCCAAGAACACCTTGGACATACCTACTGCTGGCCTGGCGACTCTAGAGGCTAACAAACGTGTCTAGACAAGAGTCTGAGTTGGCCGTCAGCGTTCGCAAAGCGACAAGTATCGATGAGGTCTCACCCAAACGTACGTCCGTGGACATCCGTCTTATGTCGCTCATACTCATGAATCCGTGCAGGAAAGCATGTGCGAGCATGCATTGTCTACACCTGGGATCATAAGAGCTCGGCTTCTTTCTGGCAAGGCATGAAAGTGTAGGTCAACTCCGCGCCTGTTTGCTATGCGCCATTACTCTACGTGGACCTCCCCAGGCGCTAAACGCAAGAACAGGCAGCCAATTCTCGCCGACGAGGTACAGACGTTCAAGGCGCTTATCACCATCCACAAAGTCCTTCAGGAGGGTCATCCCATCGTTCTCAAGGAGGCGCAGTCGCATACTGGCTGGCTCGAGAGTTTGTCGCGAGGTTCTAGCGTTGGCGAGGGCATGCGAGGATATGCGCCGCTCATCTCAGAATACATTTACTACCTCCTGGCCAAACTTGCGTTTCACAGGCAACACCCAGAATTCAATGGTGCGAGAGACAACTTCAAATCTCCAAATGGCCGGGCTGATTTTGGATAGGAACTTTCGAGTACGAGGAGTACATCAGCTTGAAATCCATCAACGACCCTAACGAGGGTTATGAGACCATCTCCGACCTCATGACCCTTCAGGATCAGATCGATGCCTTCCAAAAACTCATCTTTTCCCACTTCCGAAGCGGGACGAACAACGAGTGTAGGATCGCTGCGCTGGTGCCATTAGTCCAGGAGAGCTATGGTATTTATAAGTTCATTACCAGCATGCTCCGCGCAATGCACACCAGTAAGTCCCTTGAACCTCGGTTAGCCCGCGACTCCAACTAAGCCATACAGCTCTTGGTGACGATGAGGCGCTCTCTCCTCTACGTGGCCGATACGATGCGCAGCATTACCGTCTCGTCAAGTTTTACTACGAATGCTCCAATCTCCGATACTTGACGAGTCTCATCACAGTACCGAAACTGCCCCAAGAGCCGCCGAATCTTCTATCCGAAGATGAGAACGCACCTGCTTTGCCTGCGAGACCTAAAAATGAAAAGCCTGCCGAGTCTGAACCTCGCGCGCCTTCGGTCGACCCTGAGCCTATCAACGAGTTCTGGAAGGACAACCAGAGGCGGCAGCAAGAGGAGTATGAGGCAGAGCAGCAGAGGCTACAGAAACAATGGGAAGAGGCCCAACAACAACAGCAACAGATGCAGTTGCAAGCTCAGCGCGAGTTTGAGGAGCAGCAAAGGCTTCAGGCTGAACAGGCTCGTTTGGCGCAAGAGCAGCTTATGCGCGAGCAGTATCAGCAACAGACACAGGGTCGCCTTGCTGAGCTTGAGCGTGAGAATCTGAATGCGCGCGCCCAGTACGAACGTGATCAGCTCATGTTGCAACAATACGATCAACGAATGAAGGCTCTTGAAGGGGAAATCAGCCAGATGAATCAAAACTTCCAGCAACAAATGGGTTCGCGAGATGACCAGATACGGGCGCTCCAGGAACAACTCAACACCTGGCGGTCGAAATACGAATCATTGGCCAAGCTCTATTCGCAGCTGCGAACTGAGCACCTTCAATTGCTACAGAAGTTCAAGTCAGTCCAACTCAAGGCCAACTCAGCCCAGGAAGCCATCGACGCAAGGGACAAGCTGCAACGAGAGCTCAAGACCAAGAATTTGGAACTTGCCGACATGATTCGTGAGCGTGATCGCGCGCTCATGGATAAGGATCGCCACACGGGAGGCCATCGCGAGGAGATTGAGAAACTCAAGCGCGAGCTCCGCTCTGCTTTGGACCGTGCTGACAACGCTGAGCGTGGCAAGGGTTCAGAACTGTCCGCGATGCTGTCAAGACATAACCGCGAGATCGCAGACTTGGAAGAAGCTCTGCGAAACAAGACTCGCGCATTGGAGGAAGTCCAGATGAAGTACCGTGAAGGTGATTCTGATCTGGAACGTCAATTGCGCGAGAAGGAGGAAGAGCTTGAGATCTTCCGTGCTGGCATGGACCAAACCCTGCTGGAGTTGAACGAGCTGAAACTCAACTCTAGCACAAACGACAATGTCTTGGATGGTCATCTGGATACTCTTATCCAAGACAGCCTCCAAAAGATCAACGACATTATCGACTCTGTCCTACAAAGTGGTGTACAGCGGGTTGATGATGCTCTGTACGAGTTGGACTCTCCCATGCAAGCTGGTAACCAGAATGCCACTGGCTCCTACGTTCTCTCACAAATCGAGAAGGCATCGACATGCACAATGGAATTTTCAACAGCGTTCAACAACTTCATCGCCGATGGACCAAACGCCAAGCACGCTGAGGTTATCAACGCTGTTAACAACTATGGTGGTTCAATTGTCGATGTGCTGGTGAACACCAAGGGATTGACACGCTTTGCTTCCGACGAAAACAAGGCCGACCAACTCATCAACGCAGCGCGAGCTTCTGCAACTTCGACTATCAGGTTCTTCCGTAATGTTCAATCAGTACGCTTGTACGACTTGGACGCCGAACAGAAGATCAATGTTGTTATCAACAACAGCACGGAGGTGGTGCGCAACTTGCAGAGTCTGTCTAAGCTTGCAGACGCATTTGCACCCAAGAGCAAGATCACCAACGCCTCAGGCGATCTCGGTGACTTGGTTGATAGCGAGCTGACCAAGGCTGCCAACGCCATTGACGCAGCCACTGAGCGTCTGGCTAAGCTGATGAAGAAGCCTAGAGACTCATACTCGACATATGAGCTCAAGATCCACGATTCCATTCTCGAGGCCGCCATTGCTGTCACGAATGCTATTGCACAGCTCATCAAGGCCGCAACCGCATCTCAGCAAGAAATTGTGCGCGAGGGCCGTGGTAGCATGTCCAAGACACAATTCTACAAGAAGCACAACCGCTGGACCGAGGGTCTCATCAGTGCCGCGAAGGCTGTTGCCAACTCAACGAACATGCTCATCGAAACCGCCGACGGCGTCATCTCCGGACGCAACTCGCCCGAGCAACTCATCGTTGCTTCCAATGACGTTGCTGCTTCCACCGCTCAGTTGGTGGCTGCCAGTCGTGTCAAGGCCAGCTTCATGAGCAAGACGCAAGATAAGCTCGAGAGCGCGTCCAAGACCGTCACCGCAGCCTGCAGGTCGCTTGTTCGACAGGTGCAGGAGATTATTGCTCAGAAGAATAGGGATGAGGGCGAGGTTGTGGATTACAGCAAGTTGGGTGATCATGAGTTCAAGGTCAGGCAGATGGAGCAGCAGGTATGTGACAGTCAGGTTATTATCATGAAAGGAAGTTTACTAATGTGTTGTTATAGGTCGAGATTCTTCAGCTCGAAAATGCGCTTGCACAGGCTCGGACAAGGTTGGGTGAGATGCGTAAGCTTTCTTACTTGGAGGAGTAGGCTGGGTTCCTGTGGCCTAGTATTTCGCATGAGGGGGGTTATTGTTCGTTTACATATTTAGTTTAGTGGATGATGTTCAAGGCCAGATCTTCTGAATTGTGTTCTTCGAGACATCTGTAATTCCAAAAGGATGGTTCGGTTGGGTCATAATCGGGAAGAAATACTAAATTTTATTTTGCTGTTTCTGAACTCTGAATTATATATGCTCTGAGATAAATGCTGCATGCCCACTTCTCGTCTCAATCGGATCCAAATATGCGACACATAGTCTACGGCTGACTTGAAAGAACAATATGTCTTTTTCATCTTGGCTATCCTAGGGTATCTAAAAGCTCTCTTGCGAAAAGAAAAAGAAAGGAAACACTCAATTCATAATCTCGCTCGCAAACTTACTCCTTGCCCGAATACGCGGACCATAAAAGACCAAAATCCACGGTACAATAGTCAACAAAGCCCCGATTCCACCTAGCAAACTATTCGCAGGACCATAGCCAAGTTTACTATACATTTGTGTGGTAATCAAGGGAAATACACCACCGAGCATATTGCGGCAGAAGGACTGAGCAGCGAGTGCTGAGCTTGCATAGCGATGATAAGTATCGGCTAAATAATTGAAAGTAGCCAGGTAAATCGAGAAGATGCCAATGGTAGCAATACCAATAGATATCGCGGGTAACACCCAGTGTAATCCAGCGGAGCTCGTCCAGCCAAACATGAAGAGTCCAATTGGCATACAAGCGCTTTCGACGCAAGCAAAGTATAAGCGACCTTCCGGCGAGTTGGACGTCTTTCCGTATTTTTTTGCGATTTTTTCTTGGTAGACGGAGAGGATGGTGGCGAGGATACTGGCTATGCCCATGGAGGCGAAGACCGCGTTGGCTTGTTGGATTGAGAAACCGTATTTGTTGCGGAAGATGAGGGGGATGGCGGCGAGGGCGAGGTAGAGGACAGCCCAGGAAAAGGCGACCCAGAGGGAGAACCAGAAGACGACGGGTTCTGTGAAGAGGAGGTGGAAGGGGCGGTATAGAGAGATGGCAATCATGGTTCCGAGGGATGCGCGTTCCTCGTCTGATCGAACTTTGAAACGGAGACGCTGGGAAATTGTGGAGCCGGGTTTCTTGTCATCGCGGACGTCGAGGCCAAAATATCCTGCTTCCTCGCGGGCAGCGTACCACTTGTTTAGGCACTTTGCTTTTCTAGATAGTAGAACCGAGCCTCTCGTTTCTTTGAAGACGACGCAGATGAGTGCCACCATTGTTCCGCAGGCTATCGTCTGTACGTATTGGATCCAGCGCCAGGACGTATTCTGTGCAATGAAACCGCATACCATGGGTCCAAAGGAAGTTCCGAATAGCGCTGCCCCGGAAAAGACAGCCATAGGCGTGTTGCGATCCTTGGTGTGATATATGTCAGATACCACACCGCCGACCATGGTAGAGAAAGTTGAGCCGCCAATGCCTAACCAGAAACGCGCGACGAGCAACCCGGCGTATGATTGTGTGAGACCGGAACATAATTGGCAGAGTACGAAAAGAAGGCCAGAGGCGAGGAAGACGGGTCGTCGACCGTTGATCTCGGAGAAGGGGGCTAGGAACATGGGAGCAACGGCGAAACCTGCTGTAAACATTGTGACTGATACCAAAGCAGCAACATTGCTTATGCCCCATTCATTCCTCATCTGTGGAATAGCCGGGTTCAATGCTCCCGCCGAAAATGCGGTGAGGCTAGTGATGAGGCATGATATCCACACTGTAATGCTCTTCCTTCTATCCGACCATTCGAAGGGATTGGTGTATTTGGCAAGATTTGGAGGTGGAGGCGGTGGTCCTTGGTTTGGTTCTTGTGGATAGATGGTGGTTGGATGAGGAAGTTCCGTATCAAAGGTGAGGTACTGCCAGACGATCTCTGTTTCTTGTATGTTTTCCTGTGATTTGTATTGTCGATCACTTTCATAGACCTTGCTGTCTCTGTCTTTTTCCGAGTTACTGCTTGATTCAATAGCGGGGTGATAGCCTTTCTCTTGTTGATCAGTACCCTCTGTGTCCACTTCCATGGCTCTTATTCCCGGGGCATTATCCGGGGATGGTCCCCCCGGATAGATCTGAGCGAGGTGGATTGGATTAGTATTGGGGTTCATGTCGTCTTAAAGGCCCCTTTCCGCGGCCCAGAATCGTGTATAAGAGCTATAGCACCATGGGCGTTGAGGATTGGGAATGAAGGTGGGCTCGGCAATTGATTAAAGATGTAGACCACATAACTCCAGCGGCGCGGGTACCACGGGCTCAACCCACACGTGTACCCGGTGTGCATATTGAGGGACGAATGAACGTTGAGCCGGATTCTGGAGATGTCCGTAGGCTCTGTCGCAAACGTTTGGTATTGGTCGGGAATAGTATGAATCAAGTGGAAAGCGGGCTCGCCAAGGACGCCTCAAGCTAACGGACCGGCCGAGGCAAAAAAGATACGATACACCATCCGAAAATGATCTCATTGTGGTTAATGGTCCTTCGGAGTGACCCACAGCTCCCCGACGGGTACGGATACACCCAGCCTTCTTTCACATCCGACGGAGTAGGTTCCGTCGGATGTGGATTCAGATTTTCTGTCAAGACATTAGCGGTGAACAGCTTGGCTCTGCTTAAATATGAGCTTAGCGACAGCACAGGATTCAGGCTCTATCACAGTGACAAGAGCTGTTGTATTTGTTTTGGGTGTGTTGTCATAAACTTTGCTTACTACGTGTTGGGAGCAACTGTGCTTTTAGCAACGATAGCGGGGTTCAACCGTGCGTTTATAGAACCAATGGCTACGATGCCAACCCCAGGTTAAGCACCTACCCTGACAAGAACATCATTCAATGCTCCAATCATCCTTTATTCGTAGGGCTGACGACGCCTTGGCTAATTTAAAGCAGGAGAAGTCTGGGTAGGTAAAGCGGCGAGTCTTGAGAAGGTATAGTGTTTCTCTATGAGTGTCTTCCGTTCTAACCAGTAGTGCGACATCACATGGAATAATCGTATCCTTTAAGAAGAGATCCATAGCTAGAACACAGATAAAGTACGTTTTGTGGAGGACTATTTCGACTGGACTACATCAGTATACAGGCAACTTGCTCGTAGAATCAGCAGTAATCGTTCTGACTGTTCATACCAACATACCTTGCCACACTGGTGACAACTGCAATGGATACCCATTGAGGCCACAATCCCGATATTAACACCTGCAGGCCCGAAACAAAAAGTCAGGGACAGATTTGTTGCTAGATTTCGTTAAGAGTGGTGGTAACAGGACAACTATCGAGGATAGAAGTCACTAATACTACTTCAACCAGACACTGTCGGTAGATATATTAGTGTTCTTATTAGAGGGGCGCGTGGGGATCGTTCCCCGGGGAGACGATATCGCCAGCTATACCTCTGAACGACAAGAAGAACGCAGTTTAGCTCTGATCATTTCGGTCATTACCCCCGCTCTATTCGTCCCTATTCCCCGCCAAGGCAGCAAAATTCTACCATCCTCAGGCTTGATTTGACCAAAACCCCACGTGGAGTGACAAAAAGGGTCAATGACCGATCTCGCCTTTCCTGTCTCAATGACGAAAGACCCTTGGCGCGAGGGGCAAACCATTGGCAATTGGACACCGCCGGAGACTCGGAGAATGTGATTCGACTGTTTCCTTGCTGACACGGGAGGAGCTGAGTGGCAGAAAAGATATGGTGGAATTCACGTGATGAACGAGTCGATTGCGCAATATACGCTAGCTACAAAGGTAGGAGAAGGGCTGTTGGAGACACCAAAAAACGGCCCATAAGTCATCAGCAGATTCTCTTTTCTTCTCTCAATCCCTCAATCTTTCAATCTCTCAAACATCAGCTCTGATCTTCCGAACTTTGCGAAAAACTCATCGCAGAGCCCCCCTAAACCAGTCCTAGTCCCCATACCCCACGTCAAAAGGTACCAGAGCTCCCCTTGCCCCTCCATACCTACCATTTACCCCGCCACGTCCCCAAAGCAAACCTAACAATAAACGCGCAGTATCACCACCACAACCAACAATGGCCGAAGGACGCTCTGAGCCCCTCCGCCTGGGCAGCACCGCCCCCAATTTCAAGGCCGAAACCACCGCCGGCCCCATCGACTTCCACGAGTTCATCGGCGACTCGTGGGCCATCCTCTTCTCCCACCCCGCAGACCGCACCCCCGTCTGCACCACCGAACTTGGTGCCTTCGCAAAGCTCGAACCCGAATTCGCGCGCCGCAACACAAAGCTCATCGGCCTGTCCGCCGACTCCATCGAGTCGCACGACGAGTGGGTCAAGGACATTGACGAGGTCACTGGCAGCAACCTCAAGTTCCCCATAATAGGCGACAAGGAGCGCAAGGTCGCGCTGCTGTACGATATGCTGGACCACCAGGATGCCACCAATGTCGATCAGAAGGGTATTGCGTTTACGATTCGCTCGGTTTTCATCATCGATCCTAAGAAGACTATTCGCTTGATTCTGAGCTACCCGGCGTCCACTGGTAGGAATACCGCCGAGGTTCTGCGTGTGCTGGATTCTCTGCAGACGGGTGATAAGCACAGGGTTACCACCCCTATTAACTGTAAGTTTCCCCCTTCTTTTCACACATAATTGATAGTGTTGTTGTGGAGGTATGAAGATCGATTTGCTGACAATGGATCTTGCAGGGGTTCCTGGTGATGATGTTATCGTCCACCCATCCGTTTCCAACGAGCAGGCCAAGGATCTCTTCCCTGACTTCCGCATCGTCAAGCCTTACCTGCGGTTCACCCCGCTTGCAAAGGAGAAGACCAGCGCGGCTTAAGTGCCTGACAAGCTGGGGAGGACTTGGAGGAGAAGTGTCTAGATGTTTTGGGCAAGCCTAGGAATTTATTTTCATCCTTTGTAGGACCTGGGCCATGATATTAAATTGATCATGATAATGAAATACATATATTCCCAAAGTACTTCATTCCATATCTGCTTCTTCTTCCCTAGCTAGTGACTTTTGTGAGGTAACTTAGTAGTACCCATTTCTGGCATGTAATTGCGCCATGTCCGATATCGGCAACGATAAAAGTATGGGGAAAATCCGGAGAAAGCTCATGGAGTCGGAAAAAAAACTAGGTAAGCACGTAACGTGACGTGTACGCAAAGAAAGGGTGCGCCACACAAAAGATAACCTATCTCTCAACACTCGATTTCATTCATTTGACCTCATTTCAAACCAGCTTCAAGATATCACAACAAAAACATATCTCTCGTCAACAATATCCACCCTTGAAAAAAAAACTGTACAACGCACTTGAAAGACCAAGAAAAAAAGTTACATCTTCCCCGAACCCACCGTTCTATGTCAGATGGGCGTTCTCCTTCTCTTCTCTTCTGTCGTCTCTAACCTCTTACCTTTGCTCACTGTCATGACAAATCAAGCACCTTGCAGGCCCAGCCCGACTCCATCCCCGTTGCCCATGCCACCATCATCCCTACTCCTATCTCTGCTCCGTCCCATCTCGCGGATCCTCCGGCCCTCCATCAATCCTCTCAGACCACGCTTCTGTAGTCCAACCACGGCGCTCATCTCACCATTCCACACTTCTCTTTCTTCAATCACACTGCCATCTCCAAGGCCATTGTCCGATGCAGATGCAGAGGTAGATTCGGATGCAGCTGAGCTGACCTCGTCGTCATGGTTTCGTTCAATGTCGGTGTTGAGGCGGAGCGCACGTAGTCCTGCGTCAAAGCTGCGTTCGAGGTCGGTGGAGCTGGTGCTGCTGTTTAGTTGAGAAGTGGAAAAGCCGTTCGTCGTTCCATTTGAACCAGAAACTCCGTTGACGCCCATAAAAGCGATGCCCGATCCGCCGCCAGCTGCCATGGCTGCAGCGTTGAAGATGGCCGCGGTATTCCGGTTGTCGAGCAGGGTATGCAGACGTTCAATGATTGCTTCTAACAGGCCGTCAATGTGGTACGGCCGCGCCAGTTGGAGTAAAGAGCAGAGTATTTGTGGCGAGCATAGTTGCGAGTTTTGTGGCGGAAGGGATGATGTGTATAGAAAGTGTATCAGTGCTTGAAGGGTAAGGTGAGTGTGGGGTAGAAATAGTGTCCGAGGCCGTTGAGAAGGTGCGTGTGATGATGCTTCTGGTGGACTCAGTGAAGAGTAAGAATTTGTTGAGACTGCAGTAACCTCAGATTGTGTTATTGTATTGGCCGTGAGTGTTGTGGCTGCTGAGTAGTTTGTTCGGATAGAAGGTGTGATGGTTATGCTCGAGTTGCGTGATGGATGCATAGTAGCTGTGGGTCGCAGCGTAGCTGCATCGGCACTCTCCTTCTCGGCGCTCTGTGCGCTCTCGCGAAGAAGCTGGTTGAAGTATGGGCCCCACCGCCGAGCAATCATATGCGAGTTGACGGGGATGCGTTCGCCATTCAAGGCAAGAAAGTCCATGTCAGCAAACTCCCGCATGCCCAGAGCCATTTGCCCAAGTTCGGTGGCTGCAGGTAAAAGTGTCCGGCCGCCAGCAAGCACGTCAAGTCGGTCATGCAGTGGTGGCGCGCTTACAGATTGGAAGCCTGACGCGGGCGTAACTTTACGTGGGTTGTCGTACAATCCGAATGCTTCCAGTTCCACGACACACATGTTCGAGAAGTTGATGCGTCGATGATTGTAATCCTCAACCAGGCTTCTCTTACGGTTGCCCAGAATCACAAAACTGTTTCTACGATTCCACAACACACCTCTGTTCCAACTTCCTTGGCTGAAAATATTGCCTCCAGCTTCTATCCGCCCCCAGCTTAGTGTACGCAAATCAAGCGCCCACAGGGCGTATTCTTGCTTGGATGAAGTTAAAAATGTACCACTGACTACAAAGTGATTGTTAATAATACCACCATTTGGAAAGCGGAGCCCAGGCGGCGAGAAGTTGCCATGCATTGGCTTTTCGGAAAGAGTGCCGTCGGAATGCCGTACTTGCAATTCAAGCTTAACGTCCAGAAAATTGTAGTTTGAGTAAATGAGCATCGAAGACTCATAGCTCGTGCTGTTCTCCTGTTCGTCGGGTGCTCTTCCTTCATCACCAGGCCGTATTCCTTCGCCAATATCATTTGGGTGAATACTGGTTAATGGCGCGACCACGCTTCGATATGCACCGCAACTCCTACCCAGTGTGCTAGTTCCTGTCCACTTGAGGCTTCGCAAGTTGAAAACACTAATCTGTTCAATATAGTGATTGGCACTGTCTTGGCCGCCCACTACTAACATTTCCGCGCCACCCTCGCCATCTAGATCAACGCCCAGCGATCCTTGGTTCGGATTCGATGAAGGCGGGTTGTGACGTATAGCGGTTACTGCTGCGCTCGTTGAGCTGAATACGGCTGAACTCGGCAGAATGGTGGCGCAATGAGCATATCGACCTTGTGGCGCGTCGCTTGTAGCAACGTGCATCCATGTTCGCGTAGGCGCGTCGTAAATGTGAACGTCGGACATGACCACAACTTCAGGTTGGGCGTCAGCAGGCGCGCCTTGTATTACGGAAGTGGCTTGGTTTGATGAGGGGTTCGCAGGTGACATGCCACCATAGCACACGAGCTTGGTATCCCCTAGTGCACAAACGCTGTGAAAGTACCGTGGGGGCGGTATATCGCCTTTAGTCTCGACCTTTGTCCAGTGTCGCTTAACAAGGTCCAGTTCATACAAGTCCGACGTCAGCTGTGGCCTTGTTCGTGATAGTCTTCGGCCCCCAAAGACGTAGAGTTTGTCGCCCAGAATAGTTGTGGTTGCGCCCACAAGCGGATGGGGCTCTCTGCCAGTAGTTCTGTGTACATTGCATACCAACCCCGATAGCCCTGCTGTGGAGCTTGCGGGTGTGCCTAAACCCGCGAGTGTGGCTGGCGATTGGGATACAGAGCCAGGCGTCCGGGTAGATGCGGTCGAGGGGCGCTCGGTCCCGCCATCCTGGATATCCTGACGGTTTAGACTTGTTTGGCTGCTGTTCCGGCTCGCAATGTAAGGCGCCGACGTCTGAGAATCAATGGTGTTTGTCCGGCTCTGAGACATGCTGGCCGGACTTGCGATTTCGTTTGGGATTTCTTGTGTTTGTTCAAGGTGAATGGGGAGCTCGAGAAATGGCGATGTAAATTGTTGTACAGGTAAAGCCAGAAAGGGAATCAGGGCCTCTGCATGACGAGACTGGACGTAAAAAGAGTCGCTCAAAGAGTTACCGTTCAGGATAGGCTGACCGGAGGGGTTGGGAGCACTGCTCGAATCGATAAGCGATGCTCGGAAAGATTTGAATCTAATGCTCGTACAGGCGCGTTCAGGTACTACAACTGGATCATAGCGCGCATCGACGAGTGGTATTTTTGATTGTGCTCGGACGTCACGTGAACGTCTCTTGTTCAATAAGACCCTTTTGATGTTCAACCCCTTCTGCCTTCTCCAGAAAGATGAAACGTCACCCAACGGCCCGACACTAGCGCCAACAGAGGGGTAGAAGAGACCTAGCGACAAGACCATGGTTAGCGATGGAATTCGAGCAAGAATAATGAAATGCAGAAGGGTGCTGAAAGAGAAGTTTCCGGCTCTTGAAATAATCGGAGAGTGCTAGCTGCAGCCCGTCTCCGATGCAGATTCGCATGCAAGGTCTCAACCACCGCAGCGCACTGCCTGGGATGAGTAGCCATGTTTTCGTATTGGGGCAGGTGACTTTGCTGCTGTGCTACTCTTCTGTGGTACACGACCTCTTGCCTAGAGGAGCGTCTCACAGTGGGACAGGTCGGTCTTCTAGCACCGCAGAGAACAAATTGGTGCAGTGCAGCCGCAAATGGTGGTGGTTTCCGACTTGGTCTCATACTTGCATCTGGGCGGTGGGCGTCTCATGAAGGGGCTGTTGAAGACTGGGCAAGGGAGCATGAATGAAGAGCAGAGATAATAAAAGCCTTACTTGTTAATGCGCCACACAGGAGCGGGGAGGGATGCGATCCAGCAGGACGGTAAAATGTATGCAGAGAAGGAAGAGGCGGTAGTCGGACGGGTAGTCTTGCTGGACTGGCGCGTACAGATGACAACGAGGTTCGTGCCCGAGTGTGGAGCGCGGAAACCGTCTAGGCCGAATGGGGACTGGCGCCTTGGCAACTATTGCGAAGAGAGGCCTAACTAACGAGACGTCGTTGCTCAAGGGCCTGGAAGGACTTGGAGACAGACTGGAGGTAGCTGAAGGCTGAATGAGACGAGGCGGAATAGAACACGCCACGCAAACGGCGGGGCCGGACGAAAACAGAGGGTCCAATTCTAGGGGAAAGTTAAAAAGGCGGAGACTCGACACTACCTCGATGCTTGTGACCGACAACGTTCGCAAGGCCACAAACAACTCCAACACTCGGATTTGGACACGCGAGGGCGTTGCACAGCTTTTGGCTCTCCCAGGCTTCTTGCAGAGAGTGCTCACCCTCCTCCTGGCCCTTCAACCGGCTGGGCACGGTTGCAAAAGCAATTAGCGCGCCAACGCTGCGCGACAAATCAGCTGTCCCAAGCCTACAAGACGAAATACGCCAGTCGCGCACGAGGCTCATCTAGGTGTTGATATCGGTGAAGACGGCACCGAGCGGTCAATATTGAGCAAACGGTCAGGATGCCTCTGGGAGCCTCATCGCCGCTTTCTTGCATCCAGCCTAGCTGTGGGTTTCGGTTAATCATTGCTGTTCGCTGGCGAGGAAAAATGATGCTGGATCCCAATTCCAGAAGGATTCTGTGCCGTGCCGTCGTGTCATGGACCATTCATAGACAACCTTGTTCCTTGATCACCTCAGCCCAATCTCAAGTTGCCTCAGTGGCCTCAGGGGCGACATACAGTCATCGTACGTTACTAAATAAATGCTAAGGCTTTGTATGAAGCGCGCGGTTGTTGGAGCGCAAACGTTCCTAGCCAGACTAACATTGTCGTGATCCCGTATCGCCTGTCAGGTACAGAGAGCTGCAGTGCGGCTGCACGAGTCGAAAGGTTGTTCTAGTCTCGGGAAGCTGCTGGGAGCGACAAACAAATGTAATCGGACTCGTATTGGTCTTGGCGTTGCTGGTAGTCTCAAAGATTGCCGTTGGCTGCGCACAGCTGGGATGCGACTAGTCTAGGTTCAAAAAACAGGAAACAAACAGACATATACAGCTGAACTCATTATGCGCTAACCAGCTGCAGAACACTATCTTTCAGCTCACTTCAGCGCTGACATAATGGCAACGTAGTGTTCAGCAAATGTGTAGTGTGCAATACCAATACGTACGCCTAAGTGAAGCAAGTGCAACCAACTATTGACTAATCGCTTTTGTAACGTCTTACAATCACTGCCGAAACATTTCTTTGTCGAGAGTAGCTCACCCGATAGAAGGGTGTCTTTAATTTACGTACAATAACAAATCTATATCGCTATTCTCTATCCTTCTCGCTGTCGATATTGGCATGCTTTCATGCCGTGTCGCTCATCTAATCCCCGCTAGCAATCTCCGAGCCAATGTCAAGAAGGCAAGGAAAATGGTGAGTGGTCAACACTGTCTCCAACTAAGTTTCCAAGTGCTCCCAATCATACAGCTCCATCTGTTCATCTCTGGGTCGTATTCACAACCGCCGACAGAAGTGTTAGTGGGCTATGGGCCGTATCTTCCGCGGGTGATTGACGCAGCTTTGCGGCGCTCCCAGTCATACCTAGTAACAAACATGAACGACAACAGCTCATTTATGCTGAGTCCATCTGCGGCTAGGATGCAAGGAGTATAATCGCATGTCTGGAACGGTGTCAGTACCGGCTAGTGTCGTGACGGCCATATCTGCTCCGATATGTGTAGCATTCGAGTCGTTGTTTCGTCTTGATTTACTGCCATGCTTCTCCTCTTTCAAATTCTTGTCCTTGCAGGCTCAGGTGTTCTTGGCGTGTACGGCGGCGGAGACTCGTCTCTCTTTGCTGCCCTTTCATGCCACGAGCCCTCCTTTCTCCAGTTCTGGTCGACTCCAGCCCCAGGATTCGCATCGCCCATCGGGCTCGTCAAGGGTAGCCTCGCTACAACAGGGAACCCAGAGTCAGGTCTTAGCAGCCTGAGTTCCCTGTAGGGATATTTGGCTGCAGCTTGAGCGCGTTCATGGGCTCTGCGGCGGGCTCTTTTTATTATGCATGCGAGACCAAAGCTGATCAAGAGGAAGGCGGCCACAAAAGTGGAGACAATGAGCAGGACAGTGCGGTGGGTGGCACACTGGCTGGAGTAGCTCACTTCGCAGGAACTTGAGCGTCTTTGGATAATGGTAGGGAGATTGATTGTAGGAAAGAAGTTGTGGGGTAAGTTGCTGGGCGCCATTGTTTGTGTATAGTAGTAGGGCTGGTGGCTGTCGGGAGAGGAAACAGCAGACGACGATGTAAATGTTGGTTCGCAAGGGAAACAAGAGAAAATTCCCTTAAAATAACTGATGCAGAACAGAAGTAAAAGGAATGGTCAATAAAGAGAGGCCTCTTGCAGCGCGAACGTATCCTTTACATGTCCTGCTCTCTACCCGCTGGCGTGGAGTGCATAGGCGCCCTGCCCCTACCTATGATGCGCAGCCTCGCGGCAACGATGCGCAGTTTTGTTTCCTGCGCGCCTTAACGACAGCGCCTAAATAAAGCTTAGGTTGACTATGCGTTAAGCCTCTTAATGCGGCGCCTAATATTAGTTTCATTCCATGGGTTGGTGTGGGGTCACTTTGGTTGTTGCACTGCCCCTCTCCACCGCGTTCGCCTTGGGGGCAGCCTCGTTACACGAGCGAGGCGCCGCGGTCTTTGTCTGGTGATGGGCGATGCATTGTCGGAAGCTCTGCTTCCACTTGTTCGTTTTTCGATGCACAATGAAGATTGTTGGGAACCACAGATAAAGATGCTTGTCCTGTTATGTTGCTGTGAGAACAAAGGTGCTCTATGCAGGCGCTTCCCGTCCAGGTCAGGTTGAGCGAGCATTCAACGAAATACAGCCCTTGTCGAACTGTTCGATGGTCAAGAACGCCTGGTATCAAGAAGGTCGCCTCGCCTGATGCTGCGCAAAGATTTACTATCTAGGCACTCTGCACTTCACTGTGCCGTTCACCTTGTTCGCTGGCCGGCGCCTTGTAACACGTAACTGTGCCGCATGCTAGGGTTGAGACATGCCCCCTCACCACACAGCAGCGATATGTGGACACGAGGTATCATACGATCAGGTGAATGCGCAAGTTCGCCTTAGGCAGCCCCTGAGGGGGCCGTGGGATGATCAGGCCCTAAGGCTCGACGAGGTAGTCGAGGGCTCAGTTGGTGAGGTACCTCAGGCATCGCATGTTGGATCGGTGGAGGGGTTTCCTTGCGAACTGCCAGAACAGTCGACAGGCAAGTAAACTCAAATTTGCCACATGTATCTTTGCAGTTATGGCTATGATGAGTCGTCCCTAGTTGTGTCATTGCATTAAAACACAGATCGCGTCCTTGTGATGTGACAGCCGGTAAATTGTTCCATGGTATCCGGAGAATCATTCCTGCACATCTGTAAAGCAGAGACTGTGCAGAAAAGAGAGGTTGCCATATTATCCTCAAAAGCGAGTGTAACTAGATGACCGAACACCATTTAGTGCAGGGAAAAGGCTACATATATACGCTGTTGTCCAAGACACATGCTGGCGGCCCCGTCTAGATTTACTATATGCGCTCACTGCATATCGCTTCGGCTGTACATGCTCCATGTATACTCGCACCTAACACTTCAGCCAATACTGTGCATTATTATCGAGCCCCACATACCTTGTTGGCACAAAATTCAAGCTACGAATGTGATCTGGCTGATGTCCCCGGACCTCACCTCCAAGACCCCACGGCGAGCTCCCGGAATGCCCAATTAGGCAATATCCGAAAATGCCGGGCATAGTTCCCCGCAAACACGTCCTGAGCTCTACCCCAATAGTGCCATATATGCAGACAGGAAAGGGTGGCTACGGCCAGACTCGCTTCAAATCAAGCGGGTGACCTGAAGAGGCGTCTGGGACCGATATATAAACCCACAATAGCCGCATCTTGCGTAGAACTTACCAAACGATCGTGCGTTCGTTATCAATTGTACAAATACCCTTTTTCCGGCGAGTCCTTCAGCGTATATCGTAACTCAGATTCCTCCTCTTCTTCCTGTGTCTTGAAATTGTAATTCGGATAATTCCAATCATGTCGACCACACGCGGGCTACCAGAGTTCAGCCTAGCCGGCAAGGTCATACTGGTGTCAGGTGGTGCGCGAGGCCTTGGACTTACACAGGCCGAAGCATTGTTAGAAGCTGGTGCACGAGGTAAATACTTACGTACATGCGGGGATGCACAGAATTTGTTGGCTAACACACGCTCCTAGTCTATGCACTTGATAGGCTTCCCGAGCCATCCCCAGACTTTGGTCCGATCGCAGAACGAGCAAAGAAGGATCTCGGAACATCGCTTGAGTACCGTCAGATAGACGTGCGGGATGTAAAGAAGCTGAATGAGATCGTCGATGACATTGCGAACAAGGAGGGAAGGCTAGACGGGCTAATCGCGGCGGCCGGTATCCAACAGGAGACGCCTGCATTGGAGTATACCGCTGAGGATGCGAATCGGATGTTTGAGGTGAACATCACTGGATCTATGATGACCGCGCAAGCCGCTGCGAAGCAAATGATCAAGTTTGGCAACGGCGGAAGTATCGTGCTTATTGCTAGCATGTCTGGCACCGTGGCGAACAGGGTACGATGATTCTAATCAATTGCAATATGCAGCCTTTCAACTAACATACAGTAACAGGGTCTTATATGCTCGGCATACAATGCTTCGAAAGCAGGTGTGTTGCAGCTCGCTCGCAACCTCGCATCGGAATGGGGTGAGCACAAGATTCGTGTCAACACAATCTCGCCGGGTTATATCGTGACGGCCATGGTAGAGGAGCTTTTCAAGCAGTATCCTGAGCGAAGGGAAACATGGCCGACGCAGAATATGTTGGGCCGCTTGTCCAAGCCAGAGGAATACCGTGGTGCCGCAGTTTTCCTTCTCAGCGATGCGAGCTCATTCATGACTGGGTCAGATCTGAGGATAGACGGTGGCCATTCGGCGTGGTAGTAATATCGTTGCACATGGAGAGACATAAATTCACAAGGTTGAAAGTGCTTAGCTTGACTGCATCGTGGTGTTCTGTCCAATGCGAGGCTGCGGAAGTCCGTAACTGGGGAGGGTTTGCTGAATAAGCCATGTCTTGGCAACTTGGGCAAGAGCGTCGCCCTCCACCGAAGAAACAGAGAGCGTCTGTTGGTCCTTGCCGAGCCATGAAGTCTTCCAACAGATAGCTATGGTGTCGCTGGTAGGTATCACCTGCCATGTACTCCCCAGACATCGATTCCCTACTCCTATATTGTGGCCCATCACTCTGTCCTCGCGCGTCTATTACTAGGCCCCAATCTCGGGGCCCTGCCGCTCGAGCATGACGGCATCAACCCCCTCAACCGTATCCCGTTATGGCCCCGCCGTACTGTTCCTCACAGGAGTGTCGGCTGGGTATGCGGCATATGTTATATACAATACCCTCCAATCCTCCACACCCACAGACGGTCTCCACCGCAGCAATGCTGTTCGCAGACGGCGGCCGCGAGACTCAGCACCGGCACCGTCCGTGCTGCCACTGAGCGAGCAAGACATACCTTCGCTGGGCGAGTACCATGTCCTGACTACCAGAGTGCTGCTTGATCCTCACAACTTGGTCACGCCTGCGGAGCTGCGCAGCATCATTCTGCGCGCCCAGCCGGACGCCAGCGAAGAGACTATAAATCACCTCTCCGGGCGCACATACGAAGAGTTCTTCGATCGCTTGCTTGTAGTGCACTCACCCGACCGTGCGCTTTCGCCGTCAGAAGTTGATGCTCTTCTGGCCTGGCTGACCGAACGTAACCCGAACAATCCAGCATTAGATCGCGATGCAATAGCCCGCGCAGCGACATGGCATGCGCAAATGTTTGGAAACACGGACAGCCTTGGGCTGGATGGTGGAGAGAGCGTCGCGCCCACAGAATTGTCTCTGGGAAGTGACGAGGACCCGGACGATGATGCCATTGATCCAGAGGGCCAAACCCTCCAGCGCACTCTATACCACATCGCAGAAGACCGCGCCAGGCTGGAAGGCGTAATACATCGTGGAATCACATGTAACGGCTGTGACGAGAAGCCCATTCGAGGAACTAGATGGCACTGTGCAAACTGCCCAGACTTCGACCTATGCTCGAACTGCGAAGCAACCAACTCCCACTACAAGAACCACATATTCTATAAGATACGCGTACCTGCAGGCTACCTGAGTTTGCAAAAACAAGAACCGGTTTACCCGGGAAAGCCTCACATGATGAACCTCTCGATTGATTCGGCACTGAAGAGGCGTCTGGTAGCTGAGACAAAGATGGAGGCTGAGGAGGTCGAGGCGTTGTGGGATCAGTTCACTTGTTTGGCAGGGGCAGAATGGGCAGATGACCCAAACAATATAGGATGGGCTATCGACCGACGCGATTTCAATCACGCATTCGTACCGCGCTACAATGGCTTCCCTGCTGCACCGAATCTCGTTTACGATCGCATTTTCGCATATTACGACACGGACAAGAACGGGCTCATCGGTTTCGAAGAATGGATCAAAGGACTTGACGGAATGCATACCACAGATGTGGATGTAAAGGCCAAGATCGTCTTCGACGGATACGACATCGATGGAGATGGCTATGTGTCGCGTAAAGACATTCTACGCATTTTCCGGGCTTACTACTCGATCGAGAAGGAAGCTACCCGAAACTACATCATGGAGCTGTCTGAAGAGGTAACGGTGCGCAGTGCCCTGGATACTATCAGGTCTAGTCAGCCCTTGGGCTCTGCATTTCCGCCTCGCAGCATGAATGCCTCCAACACCAGCAATCCCCGTTTACGGCAGAAGCAGGAAGGTGACATGGACGCAACCTCACCTGTGCTCGAACGGAACACCGACGTCGCAGAGCGGAATGAGATCCTCAGAACCACCGACCTCCAGCACATTGTGCCCGACGAAGTGTCCGGTGAGCAACAAGCCAACATCTTGAACCAAAGATGGGCCCGCAGGCAATACTACATAGATGAAGAGGAGGGCTTCACACAACCAGATGGAGTAGACGGTCAAAGCTCACCCGAAGGACAGACTCAATTTGGTGGCTTCGCAGATCCAAGTGAGGAACATATCCGAAACAGAAGCTCGCGTTCATCGTCAAGGGTCCGTTTCCAGGAAGATGTGGATCGAGAGACACGATCAAATGCCTCCTCTTCAAGGCCTTTTGGAGAGCGTTGGGGTGGATATGAGATACCCGAACCTGAGCAAGACCTCGGTAAAGAAGTACTGTATCAGGTCACACAGCAAGGGTTTAACGAATTACTCAACCCACTATTTCTTGAAAAGGAAGACATGGCCATGGACGCCCAGGACACGCGCAGTGAGCGCCGCTCAAGAGCCGCCGATATCGAGTCTACGATTACGCATCTCTTCACAGCCAGGAAAACCGACGTTGAAATCATTCTCCAGGTTGGCATCTTTCGGTTCTCCAAATGCATGGTAGACAAATTCTGCTGGGCGCTGAACTATGGAGAATCAAATATCCAAAATTTATTCGTGAATCCCAGTAATAACGGGCCACGCCCTGATGAGGAGGTTCGAGCGGCAGTAGAGGCCATCTACAACTCTGTCGAAGCAAAAGTTCTGAACTCAGTTAAGAACCCCAAGGCAAGCAATGCTGAAAACATGACAATATGGAACATGTATATGTGCCAGTGTCAGCTTCGGGAGGAGGCCATCAATGCATTCATGAGCTGTGCAGAAAAGCAAGGATGGCTTTCATCCTCCGCTGCGAGTAAAAGTCCAGTTTCCGACCACAGAGATCCTACCATGCCCCAGTTCCGACCAAACTCTCTCACACATCTACCAACCAATTCGCAGAGTGGTTCATGCAGCTCTTCAGAGACTGGTGCAGCTTCTGACACCGACGAGTCATCAGTGTCAACAAACGAAGACACAGACCCCGGCCGATGTTTCTTTGTATGCGCAGCCCATGATGGTTTGAAACGATACCCAGGAAGAAAACGGTCCACAGACTCGACATCAGGACCTGAATCTGGCTCTCCATCAATAGTTGCCGCAGCAGCCGACGTCGGTGAACGCGTCCTTGAACTCATGCCCCTCTCATGCCCCGCCGAGCCAGGAGGCCCAACACCAGATACAGTACAGCTGAACTGGTACTCTGACGTTCCAGAACGTCATTTTCTCTTCATCCAAAACCTAGAGGGCACAAATCTCGTTCAATGCGGATGCAACCAAATCAGCCACTCCACAGACCCTTACCACCCCGAGACAAACCAGGTTAAGCCATTACAGCGCTCTATTCGCCGAGTAGCCATGAACCCTCAATCTCCACTGCATCTCATCATGCTCGCCAGCCTCGAAAGTGTGGATCAGGAAATCAATCGTCGCAAGGGCGGCGGCTTGGTCAACTTGGAAGAGTTTTCGGAGCATATGAGACAGGGCCAGTTGCGGTTTTTGGAGTCTTGGATGGATTGGGTGGGGATTTGAGGGATGATGCTGGGACTATGGTTATGTAACACGATACTTTGAGTTTAGATCTCGTATTAGCATAGAAGGGCTTATACATTTGTCCTGATGACCTATGCATGCAAACGTCATGTTTCTTTTACTTCTCTTGGATTTACCTTGTGGTATGAAATGGTGTTTCTTGGACGAGTGCTCTTGATGTCTGATGAGTGGGATATAAATGTTTTTGATGAGGCTACGAACTTCGAGTGTCGTGAGAGTGGTGGGGAAAAAAAGCTTCTTGTAAAATTTGATGATAAAGAGACGTATAGTTTTGCCAAAATACCGCTGGACTGCAAAGTTTCTGTCGCTTTTCACGGCCAATGCTGGGGAACATGTCACATATCGAGACTTACGACATAGCAACATAGCGACAGGGTCAAGGTGGCATATCAAGCTCTATATTCAAGCAGCTATACATCTATCCAAGCTCTCAAGCTCGCACTCTACTTTGACTTTGCAAACTGCTTCCCCCACTTCTCTGCAATTTCTTCTTCCGTAAAGCGTCTCGTCTTGCGCTTTAGCATTTCTATCTTCTCGTCGAGCGTGAGGTTCATTTGGTCGCCGATAGGGACCAAGCACTTGGCGATGTGCTCGTAGTTCTTTCGCAGGAGGTTGATTGTAAGGAAGAAGTAGTCGATGTTGTAGAAGACGATTGCGTGTTCGTCGGCATACTGCTGTTTCTGAGAGAGGAAGGCGACGGGGTGATCGCGCCAGTGGCGGAGCGGGTTGAGGTGGTGAGAGGTGTGGTAGCCATCATTGTAGCAGTCTCTGTTGCTCTTTTGAGAGGTTAGACTGATACATGGGTTGATTATGTTCATCCCAAACTTACCACTGAGTCGATAAGCGTTATACTTGATCGAAAGTCGGAATCCGGCTCGGTTTCGTCGACAAAGGCGTGCTGGCCCCAATTTCCCGTCATAAGAGCTATCCGCATGAAGTTGAGAGGGATCAAGAAGACAAAGATTGTTGAACGGGCGCTGACATAGTTGTACATGAGGTACAGGAAGATGTAGTTACTCCATTCGCACACACCTGCTTGAAGTGCAAGGTTGGGCTTGCGCGTGCGGATAAAGTACATGGGCAGATCAAACCAAATGAGGAAATAGAAGCGGCCGACATATTGCATGAAGTCCCAGAGGCTGTCTCGCTGATACCGGATAGTCGAAGAAAGGTCATTGGGGCCGTTGCCTTCCACGTGGTGGTGCTTGACGTGATGATAGTAGTACGAGTTCCAGGTGTGGCCCATCAGCGGATCCAAGATGTATGGAAAGATCCGATCAAACAGGCTATACTTGGGACTGAGTACACCCCGCATGTGGATATGTTGGTGTTTTAGGAGAGTGAATGGTCCCATATACGTGCCTTGCATGACACAGTGGAGTACAGCATGCCACCAATGAAAATTGACATATAGGTAAATAGCCGATGGGACGCTGGTGCAAAAGTAAAGAAGCAGATGCGTAACCATTACAACATCTGTCTCTACACGGACGACCTTCTTGGCCCAGCGAATGTAGGGATCGATAACCCATTTACGAAGAAGCGGATTCTTGATGTCTGGCTCGTCAAACGTACAGAACACCGTAGGTTCAAAACTGTCAGAATTTGGATCATTGAGCTTTTTGAAATAAGCAATTGCTTGTTGTTGCTGGTCTTGGAGGTCTGCAAAGATTAGTCGCACAACCCTAATGAAGAAAGACATGGAACTGTTGTGCACCAATGGAGAAACGCACCTTCTGGTGATGGAATTACGGTCTTGGAATGTTTGATACCCGAGTCGTCAGAATCATCCCCTCCATCTGTCGGCGATCCGCTCGCAGAGTCTCCGTGCAGCTCATATTCTTTTTGCAGAATGTTCAACACGATACGGTCCTGGCCAGTGAGTTTTGGGTCCAGAGGATAAGCTAGTTTGCCCATTCTGCAGGCGATGCAAAGATATTGCTGGCAATAGGGTATGTCCAGGTGGTCCGACGGTCCCAACGGCGACGGAAGGCTCGCCGGGTTCGCAATTAACAGTTACTGTAAACTTTGAGATATAACGAGCGAACCATCAACTTTGGCAACAATGAAAAACCCGGGGTCCAGGTGTCTGATCGAGTTGTAGTTGTATTGAGGTGCGAGGTTGTGGCGCTAAGGAGATACCAAGCGGTGACTGAAGGGTTTAGCGCGCCCCTGGCGATCCACATGGTGGCAAGATCCAACCCCGCGACCATTTTTGTGGCCTAGAACCCCAACTCTCATAAGGAAATCTCGACATGTAGGAGTCTTATTGAACGCTTCTGTAACCTCCAAACTGATGTTTGCTGACATGCTGCATCCCGTAGCGTCACTCGTAAATGATGCTTCTCGGATTTTCCCTGGGTGTTCAACTGTATGAGTATCCTGGAAGCTCATTTTTACCCTTGGACCCTTTCAGTTAGTATTACCTGATATCTGTCCAACCGATATTTGCAGGAAGAGAAGACCGGGATTATTGTCAGCATCCCATTGCGATGGTTCCTTGTAAGGGGAGGAAGGAAAGTAACGCGTCCTTCCGGCCATCAAAACTCTCATCAATCAGCATGTGATCTCTATCTGAGATCTGAATTAGCACCCAAACTTTCTAGCGTTCGACTTCATTTTCAGTCCTCGTTAGGGAATCAAAGCACCAACTGCGTTAAGTTATAGGCTAACAACCATTTCGTTACACGACTACTATAACGTGGAAACTAGGTTTAAGCTTATCCATCAGACTTGGCAACTCAATATACTGGCCCTACGAAAACTGCGATACGCATAAGTCCTCTTACTTACGAAACTATTTTCCTCAAAAGGAGGAAGCAAGAGTTTCAAAAATTACGTGCGAGACTAAATCGAGGCCGTCCAAATTATCGTAAAGGAATTAAGTGGGAGCAGTGGGGCGTAGAATGGTGCGGCATCCACCAAAGCAAGGATTGCTCCTTGTCTAGCACACGTCTATTTTCAATAAGATGTAGGCCAAAATGCGAACCAAACTGCATTTCCAGAAATAAGTTTGTTTGGAGTTAAGACCGCTGCAGAGCTTCGATACTCCACATACGCTTGATTATTATCGCGAGTTCATTACTAAGCTCTCAAATGTCTCAGCCTCGGGGTCTTGTGCAAGTATCATGTTCGCTCCCGTATTCTATAGCTCCTGAGCATGTATTTAACAGACCTGAGATAGAAGAATATTGTTAGACTTTAGGTGAAATGTTATAATGCTTTGGTATGAGGTCGGGGTGAAGCAATCTGCCAAGTCGAAGTAAGGCCCCAGTGTCTCCATCTCCATATTACTTACGGAGGTACGGTGATTAGGCTGCAAGTAATAATCTCCACATTCGCAGATCTGTGCAGCCCAGAATCTCTATAGAACTCACTGTTGATCTCGCTCATGTATTTTCTCATTTTTCTTTTGCAAAGTCTCTATGGAATGTGCAAAAAGGGGAGTACATTGTGGTTTTCCGTCCGTGCGCAGGAGAATAATCTCTTTATCGATAAGATTTGTGGTAGGATCTTTTAGTCAAGAATAAAGTTGCGGCTTTCACGTACTCCTTCAATTACTACCTTACCCCAAACTATCGGCCAAACGGCATGCAACTCAATGTAAACCAAACAAACTGTCCTTGCTACATTTTCCTCAAGTAATTAGCTGCACCCCTTCAATAGCCAAGACTCAGCCCTAAGCGCTGGGCACGCGCCAACAATCCGGACTAATAATATGGCACATTCTAGCGTGTGGCCAATCAGGTTCCAGAAGCCGCTCCCGAATTAGACACGCCCAAGGTGAAGCAAAGCCTCGTGACAAATCAACGCTCCAATGAATCCGTCTTGGTTCACATCTGCAGAGACCCGCAAAAGGAACGGGTCGGCGGGTAGTTGCAAGGACCGCATTTGAGGAGAGAGTTGGCATTCCTTGTTGCGATGGCGTTTCGTTTTCTTGTGACACCCACCATGAATCCGTGGGAAAGCAAATGTGCATATTAAATATGTTCTACGGCTCCCTAAACGAGTCGTCCTGAGAGTTGATGCCCGTTTTGCTACATTTCTACAGTCACTCATTTTTGTTCATTCGCTGATTTTCATTGCAACAACATGCGTTCTTTTTCGTCCCTCGCTATCGCCGCGCTTCTAAGCGCTTTCACGGGCAATGCCTCACCACTGGCTATAGAGAAGAGGGGTATGCCAACCTGATGGATAATAAAATTTCTACGAATCGGATTCTAACAAGAACTAATAGCTATTACTGATGAGCTCTTCAGTGACATGGGTTTGATGAGCCAATATGCTTCAGCAGCCTACTGCTCCGGTAACTACAATTCACCTGGCGACAAGGTCAGCTGCAATAAGGGAAAGTGTCCACTGGTTCAAGCCGCAGACTCAAATACTACAGCTGAATACACCGAGTAAGTCGACCACACTTGCACTCAACTACCTGGAAAACAAGAAAGAAGTATAAAACCAACAACATCAACAGAACCAATGCATCAACAGATGTAACAGGCTATATCGCCGTAGACCACACCAACAAACTCATCATCATATCTTTCCGCGGCACCAAGACCCCAGAAAACTGGATCGCAAACCTCGATCTCGGCATGGACAAAACGGACATCTGTCCCACCTGTAGCGCCCACCGCGGCTTCTGGCGATCCTGGACCGAAGCCCGTCACCGCGTCCTACCCGCCGTAACGCAAGCCGTCGCCGATAACCCGTCTTACGAGATCCGCGCAACAGGCCACTCGCTCGGCGGCGCCATCGCTACGCTCGCGGCAGCCAGCATGCGCAACGAAGGCCACACAGTCGCACTATACACGTACGGCGCACCGCGCATCGGCGGACGCAAAACAAGCGACTTCATCTCCAAGCAAGCCGGCGGCAACTACCGCATCACGCACTGGAACGACCCCGTGCCCCAACTCCCGCTGCTGATCATGGGCTACGTGCATACGAGCCCGGAGTACTACATCAACAAGCCCAACGAGAAGACTGTATCTGCACGCGACATCCAAGTGTTTGAAGGACCGATAAGCTTTCAAGGAAATGGGCAGTGGATAGGGGATGATGTTGAGGCGCATATGTGGTATTTCGGCAGCGTGAGGATATGTGATGTGAGGAAGATGAAGAGAGGGGTGTTGGGTATCACGGGGGTAAAAGGTGGTGAGATGGAAGTTATGACTGTTTTTTAAAGGGAGAACGATGAATATGGATAGGGATTAATTTGCTATGGAGTAGTAATGATGATGTGTAATAAACCAAAAAAACGATAGGAAATCGTGAACGTAGCAAATCGTGAGTGTAAAGAGATCGTTAAGGGGGGGTATCATTACGAACACGGAATGAAAGAAGATGGGGTAGGAGGGGGGAGTTCAGCATTCTAAAATGTCGCAGTCCCACTCGAGTTCGTCGGCCGTGTGCTCGCGCCACAGGTGATCCATGAGTGACCCGATGTCACGACACAACATGTCGAAGCGCCGGAATCTGGCGCAGAGGACGCATGCGAAACCGCCTTGTTCGCGGTGCGACTTTACGATGAAGCGGTTTTTGATGCGAAAGACGCGGTAGAGGGGTTTGCGGCGGAGGTGTTTGGATTCGCGGCAGTTATCGACGACGATTTCCCAGATTTTGCCCGGTCGCATGGCTAGGTATGTGCGGCAGAATGGGCATTTGTTGTCGCCGCATGGTTTGTAGGCATCAGCTAGGGGCATGAGGGGGTTGTCCTGGAGCTCTTTTGCGTAGATGCAGAACAGCCGAGTCTTTGTTGGCTTGTCCTCGGGTTTCGGCTTCGGCTTCAGATCTGGCTCTGGTTTTGGTGCTGGCTTCGGTGCTGGCTTCGGTTTGGAAATCGGGTTCGGAATCGGGAGTATTTTGAATTCCTTGTCCTCTGAGGAGGTCGATGAGCTTGAGCTGTCACCCGTACGCCGCCTTGGCTTGAATGGCTTTGTCGTGTGCCAAGTATCCTCGGGGTCTGGAAAAGCTCCAGGCGGACTGCAAGGCGGACTGAATGGCGGATCTGGCTGCCTTGGGGAAGGTGAGGGTGTGGGCAGCATACGTTGATACTGCATGCTCAGTGCCGCCATCGAGGCTGCACGCGCTGTCCGTGTGGTCTGGATCAGACGTACAAGATGCGAGTGGGTGGATGAGGGTGCGATATACGAGCTCATCGACAGGTCTTGGTGTATAACAAGAAGCACCCTCTGAAGCTGTATGATTTGTGATTGTAGTTGGATCTGCGCCGTAGCTTCGTCGAGTTAGTATGTAGCCCGTGAAGTCAAGATGAGCACTTACCATCCCCACGAGCAAAGGACTCTCCTATCATCCGATATCCACGTTCATATTCGGCTCGGATTTGAGCAGAAGAGGTAAAAATGAGCTCTCCTTCGCTTTCACAAAGGTCCTTGCTGCTGCCCGACATGCCGAATCCAGAGTCGCGGCGCCTGTGCCCAAACATGCTGATGTGGAATCTGTCTTCATCGTCGCTGTCTTTGGGACTAGACTTGCGCTTCAGCTTTTGATACAGATCGCTTGCTGATCCAAAAGAATCAGTCAAAGCTCGCACCAGAGATGCGACGATTACCAATTCTGTCAATAGGCCTTTGGCCTGTATAAACTCGGTCAGTACTTTGCTATGATCAATATGCGAAACTGGAGTCACCGCCAAAGCGCTAGTTTTGGGATGGGAACATACCGCTTGAACCGCTTCTTCTGTTTCTGGCTTCATTTCGATGAGGAAAAAGAGTATGCAAAATTCGTGAGTTGTGTGGTGCAAAAGGAGAATGCAGACATCAAATGAACGACTACATCTTGCGCCTGACAAGAGCCGAACCACCAGGCAACTATTTCTACACCAGATCATACAGCAGCTATAGCCTCAGGTGAAAGGCATGGATTCACATCCGATGTATCATGGGTACCTTTCGGACCTGGTCTTGGTAGTCGCATGCTTGCGCCTCTTCACGTGGCGTCTGAAACATGACTGGTGTGGCTCGTACTGACCACCGCACGAGTACGGAACGAGACCATGAGGAGTGCTGTTGAAATAGTCATAAGGGTCTCACAACCCACCGATTTCACTTGTAGCCCAGAATACTTTCAACGACTGCTTCGTGTGGGGATCTTGGTGCGCTGAGTGAGCCTTCTGTTGATGAGGCCCGAATAGTCCGCGCCACATGCTCGACGGCGCATGCGTGACATGTTCTAAGACAACAACAGCATAGTCGATGACCAAAATGTCGAAGTCCTCTCAATAAATCCTTCTCGCTAAGTGAGAGTGCGATGTATGGCTAGTCCTCCTGTGAAAGTGTGCCGGTTGCATCGTGCTGGCGCTTGAATTCGGTGGGGGTCTGTTGAGTCCAAGCGGACAGCCTTGGAGCGCAGCCTGATCGACAACAGCGCATCATAATGGGCCTAGCCAGGGCGGCTTTCGTACTGCAAATCTGTGACATCGTCCCGTTCCGTACCGCAAAGGTAATTATTAGGAAGAAGGAGGTCGTGCTCCTGTTAGAAACCGAGTGAGCGTCAGGTGACGCCACAGCGCACTTGGACTTGGCACGCGTCTCATGCCTCGCTGCACATCATCGTGACTACATCACTTGCTCTGCTCACCCCTTGTGCCCGCCCAAAGCTTCGCTGCATTTCAGGACGAATACTAGACATTGCACAGCATCCGTCATGTATGCAAGCCATGTCGTTATCGCCCGTCTTCCGCCGAGCGCAGGTACCCGGAAATCAACTGGGGTCCGCCGGGCGCTTCGAGTTTCATCACATCAAATGATTCGCTAGGAGCATCCCAGTGCAGCATGCCTTCAGAAGCGCGCTCCTACTCAAGGCACACTCTGTTAGCGCCATGCTGGGATTCGCTCTTGCTGTGCCGCAAAGATGCCATCCAAAAGAGACGTGTTCGCTGCCCGCGAACCATCAGCCGCATTTGCTTATACGTCTTCGTGGCCTTGCAGCGTCGCGTGACAAAGCGCATCAGCAATCATGAGTACGACTACCAATTCCCGATGGAACCCGTTCCGACGTCATGTTGTAAACCCCAAAGCAGAAGAGACACCGCAAGTTGCTCCCCTAATGGCAGCACCCACGTCTAAGGCTACAGAAGCAAAAGTAGTAACTCGAATATCGAGTTGGCCAGAGGAAGCACAAAAGCTCAAGCAACATGACTGGGTGTCATGGTTGTATTTCATTGCAGATATTATACTGGTCCTGCTTCCAGTCTACTTTATCCGTAGGTGGTCCACCCTCAGCTTTTGGCATAGTATTGAGATTCTTTAGTCCTCGGTGTTGCAGTCATTATCCTCAACGGAAAACCAGTTGCCGGTAATGATTTTGCGTCCAAGGTCACGGAGGCCATTCAGCTTGTCAGTGATTAGCCAGGACGAGGCATGTATGCTTGCTGATCAAGACAGGGTCCCACATTATTCCCAATCATGTTCGCAGCAATTAGCGGTCGTAGTATGAAAATGATTGCCAGATACCTAGCAGAGAAAGGAACAAAACTCAGTGTGAGACAATCTACTCTTCTCAAGCGTTACTGGCGTATACGAACTAACCGGCCTATGTTTTAGACCCTTGAGCTATTGATGGCGAGCCAATCTGTATGGGGCACAGTCGAAAGTCAAATGCTGATGCGGCGACTGACTATCGTTGGCGTCAATCTTTTGTTCCTTTGGACAATGTCTCCCTTAGGTGGTCAGGCATCGCTTCGTCTCATGAGTAGATCAACTCGCACAGTGGATACTTATGCTCCTCTCCGCTATTTGTCAACCGGTCCTGGTAGCGCAGCCTGGGCGATGAGCAGCGGCACCTACGTGGAAACTGATGGGAGCCTAACACAAGTACAAGCGTTGTACGCTGCTTCTTTGATGGGTTCCGAAAAAGTCAAGAAAGGGCCAGAAGATACTTGGGGCAATGTAAAGGTGCCGTATTACAGAGAGACTGAGAACAAGACCAACGGATGGGTGACCGTCACTTCCGACTCACAGAGACCAGAAGACTACGCATCTCTGGTCGGCATACCTGTCGTTGGCCGCCCAAAAGACAGAGATGGAAGGTTCAGCCTCGAGACATCCCAACTCACTGTGGATTGCGAACCATGGACATCACTTGCCGTAAAAGAGAAGCACGACTATGCCGAGTTAGAAAAGCTCGTACCAGGGCAGATATGGAAGAACATGTCCGACGAAAACAACCCCTGGGGTAATACCAAAGTCGCTGGGGGGAAGAGCTCCACGTTCTTTCTTCAGACAGACCTCCCACTCAGTCAAGGAGGTGATGATGGAGATGGCCGCTTCAACTCCTTCAGTGGTTATGTCAATTCATCCATGGTCGGTCGAGAATTCCCGAAACGCAAACTGACGTACGCATCGAGCTTCAAATATGGGCCGCTGGACAATACCACTCTATATGTCACCAATTGCTCCTTGGGTCAGAGCCACACCGAGACGATCGTGGAGTGTACCAAGGATAACTGTGCCGCTGTCAAGATTCGACGTTCTTTGTCTGACTTGCGCGATACAAGAGTCACACCATTCGATCACATCTTAATTGCAAGTCTGTCGCTTGTTGCATTTCCAAAGGCTTTTGGCTGGTCTAGGGGCTCGAATCCGACAGAACAGTTCATCTACAACACCACCTCTTTCCAAATAACATCACCCACGACAATGTTTGGCGACAATCCTGGATGGGTCAACCTGTCCGAACTGACACCAGAGGACTTCTCGAGAAGATTAGCACTTGTACTCAATACTTACTACCAGCTTACTGTTGCACCCAATGCATATTTCGGAAACCTGCCCCAAACAAACTTCTCAGCTTTCGGCCCTGACACAGCACCAGTAACCGACGTCGATGTCTACTTGCCTAGTAACGTTAGTATCAAGAACACTACGTTCGAAAATTGGTTTAGACCCTTCGACATCAAGAGCCACGACTCGAACTTGTATTTTATTGGGGCCACTACGAACGCGACCATCAGTCAAACGCACGAAATATTTGTGTGCGAGTTTGCTTGGATGAGCTTGTTGTTCTTTGCCGCCGGCTCGATATTCTTAGTAGGGGGTGCATCACTAGTGCTCAAACGGAAAACACTGGGCCCGGAGATGTTTGGATTCGTCACCAGCATGACATACGAAAACCCTTACTTGAATGTGCCTAAAGGGGGTACCACTCTGGACGCAATGGAAAGAGCCAGGCTTCTGAGGGATGTTGAGGTGTACGTTGGCGATGTCTGTGGTAACAAAGATGTTGGGCACATTGCACTCGCTGCTGGTACGCCCATGCGTAAACTTGACCGGGGTCGCCTGTACTTTTGAGATTGAGATCATGTATGCACTCGCCACAGTCTGCTCGTCATGTAGCTGTGGCGCAGCGACCTGCGACTGCAACCCAAGTCGGGCATGTCCGAAGAAAAGAGGGGCGCATTGGATGTCGAGTACAATCAGCTCGAAAGAGCCTCCCGCGGCTCAAAAAGCGGAAGGTCTGGACAGCGATGAGTTATATTGGGGTTCGCCATACGACGGACAGGGCTATGGATCTTGAAACAATGCGATCATGTGTCGCGCTCAGCAACGTCGACGGCACCACACCAAAGGCGTAGTATACCCCACTGCAAGATGGTAATCAACATTTGGCGCTCTCCCCCAGCCAGTCTTGTGCATATGTCGGCAGCGTACACGACAGGGCGTGGGTCGACGCCCGCAAAAACAAGCCTCATGGACAGGCGCTATGGAGCAAGCTATGGCAGCCAAAAGTCATCGGTGTAGCTAACGTAGCATGCGGCTCACCAATCGGCCACTGGAAACAGGGATGGTAGGGCCGGAGGTGCGACGTAGCATAACACGCCCAGGGGGTCCCACTCGCTTGCTGGCCTGGTAAGCGACTGATCCCCAGCCAATGATGGACCGGATACACCATCGAAACGAAACTCTCCTCACGACCCTTACATCGAGACATGGCGATTTGCAAGCCTACGTAGTCGTCACCTCTCCACTTGGGCATTGAACGCATAACGTACCTGCATAGCCTCTGCGGCTTGCTGCCATCTGCTTGGCTGAGAGCCTCAGCGTACCTAGGCCGCACGTTTCATCCCGTAGGCGCTCGCCGCTGTGGAGCATCGATATGCCATGCGGTTCGTTTTGACTCTATACGGTTGGCATCCAGAGGCTTTGTTTGATTAGGGATCGTCCGGGAAGGTGTGTTTGTGGAGGTTGCAGTGGCGGCAGACAATGACTATAGCACCCACACCCTATACGTGGTGATGTCTGTATAAATGACCATAACCACCCTGTACGACAGGTCTTCATCACAACACACGCTCTCTCAGCAGCTTCTACATTCTTTGTATTGCAACTTTTTTCAACGACTAGCTGGTCTAGATCACTCACATTCTCTACGCAATCTTTGACTTCAATCCCCTGTCGTTGTACGATATCACCATTATCACCAGTACCATGTCTATCCGATCAACCATCGTGGCTGCGGCCGCATTTTTCGCCACTGCCAGCTCCCACATCATCATGGAGCAGCCTGTCCCATACAGTGTTGACAAAATTGACAACAGCCCCATCACCCAATCCCAATTCCCTTGCAAGTCCCAAAATGGCTTCACCGTCTCTCAGATGAACAAGATGGCTGTTGGAGAGCAACAGACTATCAAGTTCAAGGGCACAGCAGTTCATGGTGGTGGTTCCTGCCAGCTCAGTGTCACCATGGACACCGAGCCCACTGCAAACTCCAAGTTCAAGGTCATCAAGTCCATCGAGGGTGGATGCCCCGGTGTTGACGGCCAGACCAGCGAGTACACTTATGAACTTCCCAAGAGCATCCCCAACGGCAAGGCCACCTTTGCCTGGACTTGGTTCTCTAAGATGTCTGGAGCCCCTGAGCTCTACATGAACTGTGCTCCTATTGAAGTCACTGGTGGTGCCAGCGACGACTCTGCTTTCAACGAGCTCCCAGATATGTTTGTTGCCAACATCAACGAGGGCTGCACTTCTCCCCAGAACTTTGCTACCAAGTTCCCTAACCCCGGTGACAACGTGCAGAAGGGTAGCACCAACGACTTGAAGGATCCTACTGGCAGCTGCGGTGCTACTGGTTCTACTCCGGCTGAGCCGTCTTCCCCTGCTGGTGGCGAGCCTTCCCCTGCTCCCACATCTCCCGCTGGTGGCGCTCCCTCTGCTCCCTCTCCTCCTGCCGCCGGCCAGCCTTCTGTCGCTCCTACTTCTGCAGTTGGAGGCCAGCCCACCGTTGCCCCAACTCCCCCAGCTGGCGGCGCCCCATCTCCCCCATCTGGCAGCAAGCCCTCCGCCGCACCCCTTCCTCCCAATGGCGGCGGTGTCTTCGCTCCTGGTGCCTCCAGCGGCTCTCCCGCCGGTCCTACCGCCCCAATCCGCCCCTCAACCTCCACCACCCTCGTCACCGTCACCGCCACCCCTACTCCTCCCGTCCGCCCTACCCCTCCCGCGGGCACCGGCTCTCCTGCTACCCCCACCACTCCTTCTACTCCCGGCGGTGGTTCAGGCGCTCCTTCCACTCCTGGTGGCGGTTCATCCACCTGCTCCGAAAACGGTGCGATCGTGTGCAACGGCGCTACTCAGTTTGGTATCTGCAACAACGGCAAGCTTGTCTGGCAGGAGGTTGCCGCTGGCACTACTTGTGCCAACGGTAGCATCACTAAGAGGGGCTACAATGGACGTATTGTCCGCTCGCACTTGATGAGCCGTCGGGTTGGTCACTACTAGGTTTCTGCACTCACTTGATGAGTTGTAGTGCTTACACATACATTCTTACACTCTTTTTCTCACTTCTTTTCTTTCGACAAAAGGTCTGGGACCGATTCTTTTCTTTTCTTCTTTTGGGAGGTGGATAACGCCTACCCGCCATTCTTTCTTTTCTTTTTCTTTTTCTTTTTTGGGATGAGTTCGAGAGAACTCGAAACTGCTGCTGCTGCTGAAAGTAGTCGTTGTTCGTTGCGCATTTTACAGGAGTTTGAAACACATGGAAAGGAAACAACAATCGTGTTCTTTGGAAGACACGAAGGAAGATACACATATCGGGCGTTTGAACATAGGAAATGGGGAAGATGTCGGTGTATATAACAAACCTCGGCTCAAAGCTAGGGGGAAATTCGAAATTCAAACATCGTTCCTATCAAAATGTCTCTTTTTGCCCCCCTTCACGATGTAAATATCTCATCTTGTCAATGGTACCTTTAGCCACATACTATCATGAAGTAGGTAGATAAGATATCCCTGATTAATTCGGAGCCAAGATACATAGTATAGTGCTAGACTTACCTTACCCAGAACAGAAACTCCCCTCCCCCTGAAACCACCCAAGACCCTATACACTCTAACGCTTCGATAGAATCACACCAAGAAAACACATGTGACACCATCATCTCCCTAAATAATACTACACAAGGATTTTCCTTGAAATTAACCCGCGCAGACTTCACAAAAGTACCGCATCAGCACTAAGCCCCTCCGACCTTCTTCATCCGGTATGCCAAAAAATAATCGTACGTAATAATCATCCCAACCTCTCTCTCCCTCCCATCAATCATCAATCAGACGATGGAGATATCGTGGGTACCTGGGCACTGCTACATGATTGAATTGGGCCTGGGGGTCAAAAGATGAATGTTACAGTGCGATGGTTTACGTCGAAATCACTTTACATTGGTGGTTATTGCAAATAGTAGGGCGGTTCTTGGCGGCGCCTTGTCGATCGCGAGTACGAGGATACTTTACTTGAGTGGGTTTGGTGGGGATGCGGAGGGGCTAGGGGTGTGTGTAGGTAGCATGGTGGGAAGGGATACGATGGGGGAACGTGCTGGTGGATGTGTTGGCACGGGAGGAGGGTTTATAGTGTTAGTGAGGAGGTCTATCTGTGTGTGTGGGATGAATGGTTGTGTGGTATTTTGGTGGGAGGAGGATGTGTATAGGTTAGGCGGGACTCAGGGATATTCTATCCCCGAATACCCAACGATTGGATATAAGTAAGAGAGAGTGATTTTTGTGTGTTTGATGCTGTAGAGAAGACTATTGATTGATAGTCTTTTAGTTTTTCCGTTCATTCCAGCATGGACCGTTGGTTCATCTGTGCTTACGTGATGCCAACGCTATTCTGGACTTTAGTCTGACCGTGTTCAGTATTCGGGGAGTATTTCGGGCGTAGTTAATCTAGCGACATTAATAAGTGGGGAACGACAAGACTCGAGACCGTTTCTAGTATACCACTTGACACTTGTGATGGGGTGATTGCTTTCTTGATTCATGGGGCTATTTACTACTTCTTCGTTCGTTCCTTCTGTCTACTTAATGTAAAATTATCGGGGGTTGGGGGTATATCTAATTCTTCTCATGATGCTTATCCTTATATGGCGTCCAAAAGGCAAAAACAATATTGGTACACTTTCTCTCGTTTAAATATTTATACAAGTATCGTTCAAATTTGTTTCTCGTTCCCCACTTGACCGTGTGATGAGCTGGGGAGAAGGACCTGGTCATCTGGTAGCTCGGCCACGTGGATCTGAGCTAGGTCCTTTTCCGAAGGCGAAATTTCGGGAGATAGTGCGGGTCTGGAGGGGGTTGTTAGTCCGGACGTTCAGAGACAGTAAATAGTTGTGATGCTTACTGCGGAGCCTTGGGCATCACATTAAGGTTGTATGCGTATTTTTGTGCCGGGGGGTAATATTCTTCGCTGCTCAACTCTGGGGGTTGTCGCGAATTCTCCTGTGTTTTCTTGGCTGCCGCCTTTCTGCGACGCCAGCAGAAAAAGGCGATAAGGAAGATGACAGGAATGCCTAGACCGAGACCGAGACCCAGACCAATGCCGAGTGCGAGGTAATTCGGGCCTTGAGTTGAAGATGAGGCTACTTCAGCGGATGTAGAGCTATTCGCTGAGCCATTTGCGGAACCGTTCGCGGAGCCAGTGGGGAGAGCAAAGGAAGTTGCTGGCAAGTTGCTGGGTGCCTGAGACTTCGCTGTAGCGGTTGGTTTGCGGGTTTGGGTGAAAGACTCGAGGATGACCGTCATGGTGGATACGTTTGCAGGCGTTCCATCAAAGGAAAAGACCTCGAACGGATTTTCACACTTGCAGTTGTCATAGCAGCAGTAAGAGTCGACATCAGTGACGTTGCAGCTGTATACGGGTGCGCCAGCGTGCATGTTATCTGTATGGCAGTGAGTATGTAGGATACATGGGTCTGGATGAGGGCACGCGACTTACCAAAACACTGACGCACACAGTTTCCGCTCTTCCAGCCTCGATCTGTGCATGTTCCTCGATGAGTGCGAGCTTTTGCTGGGTCATGGGGGTCGGAAACGCATAGCCCGTTGGAAAGACATGCTTGACGGTCGAAGCAGCAAGAGGAGACTATGGCATCCGGGTTGCAAGCAGTGTCGAGAGTAGACTCCTGGCCATCTGGAAACCAGCAGGTAGCAAGGACAGACGAAGAAAAGGTGAGTAGAACGGGAACCAGCGCAGCGATCCGCATGATGGGCGATATGGGGGGGGCGGTTAAGGGTGTAACGACTGGTCCGTACAAAAGATACGAGAGGCACGCAACAGCGACTATGGCAGGCGCCTTATAGTGGGATTGGAAACTCGTAGCATAAAAAGTGGCCAAACCTGATTGTTCGTAGCCACGATCCTCCGGTGATACCGCGGGGGCTTTGAGTGGTTTTGATTTGCCATGGCTCGCCTCAAGCGCACTGGACTACGATGAAAGGCGATACTCGGTGAATAAGAAGCATGTAGGGGTCCTGGGAGTAATCAGCCCGCTTATAGTAGGTTTCATAATGCAACCGTCATGCAGGTCCAAAGACGAAAAATTTAGAAACACGAGGTCCAGAATGGACAAGAAACAGATAGAGTGGCCTCCGCATCCTTATGCAGGTAGTGCCAAGGCGAGCGAAGTGGGAAGAGAGCTAGATGAGGCAGCCCGCATTGACCGGCCCAGCAGGGAGCCGGGGTCGCTTGGCAGTCCCGCCGCCCTGCAACGTCTCGCGTTGCATTTGACACGCCCGCGACGACCGTCACCACTGCCACGACTCTGACGACGCTGGCAGCCTTGACCATGCCCGCCCTACCATCCTCCTAACCATGTATCGACCTGCGTGCCAACATCACATGACACCCCGACCAAGCATTAGTATACGCCTGCCATGTCTGAGCCGCGACGGTCGACGAGGGCACGCGCTCGCGAAGAAGCTGTTCCGGCCGTAAAGCCTTCGCCCTCGTCCTCGTCATCGCTGAAGAAGCGCAAGAGGACGAGTGCGGTAGGCAAGGAGCAGCCTCAGTTGCCACCATCATCAGCATCAGGCCCATCAGCAGCAGCAGCATCGTCCACGCCGCCAGTCACTGACGCACCACCTCTCCCCCCCAAGCAACCGGCACTTCCGCTACGCATTGTTGACGGCGCACCACTCCCTACCCTATCCGAACCCCAGCCGCTCGACCTCCCATGCAGCGAATGGCAAACGATCCAGCAGAGCGGTGTGCTTGAAACATCATTTGAGCGATCCAAGGCCGTGTGGCTGTCGGGCGCAAACTTTCGCACTTTCCACTCGCACTTCACCCAGCCCAAGAAGCTGGCCGACCGCACTGATGAGGACCGTGCAAAGGCCCAGCGCCAGAAAGAGCTGCTCAAGAACTTCCCCCAGGTCGGCGCCGACCGCGTCGTGGTTAAGCTGGTCATCGAGCCGCATACGCTGCCTATAAGGCTGTATGGCCCGCGCGAGGTGGCCAAGCCAATGCACAAGAAGACGCCTGCACCCTCGCCCTATGCCCCATGGCCCGCTCATCACCACCCGCACTCCCACAGTCAGCACCAAAAATACCACCATGTCCCGCCGCCCCTCCACCAGAAACCCCCGCCGCGGCCGCCTCAGCCACAACCACCTAAGCCAGTCCAGGTCGCACCTCCACCCCCCACGCCCCCCGCGCCCTCTCCCGCCCCTGATCCCGTCATCCACATGCTCGCTGCTAGAGCTGGTACCGACCCGGCGTTGAAGGCTGTTATGAAGATTGTTGCTGCGGGCGAGGCCAGCAAGGAGCAACTCGAGTTTTTCCAGACGCATATCAACGAGCTGACGGCCATCCTCGCCCGCCAAAAGGAGGAAAAGATGCACAAGCCGGCTCCCGCGCCGCCTGCCCCAAAGCCTGCGCCGCCGCCTCCACCGCCAGCTCCGCCGAAGCAAACAGCTCCGCCTCCGCTCCCGCGGCCTGTCCAACCCATGCCCCAGCCTATCCAGCCTAACACGCCCAAGACTTATACCCCGGGTCCTTCGCAAGTCCACATGCAGCATCAGCAGCAGCAACCTCCTCCGCTCTACCAACCCCACCCGCCATATCCCAACAATTACAGCAAACCACCTCAGTACCACCCGCCACCTCAAGTACCCGTCTACAACCCTCCGCCGAGAACGACGTACCGTCCTTTAGTCTTTAGCTTTGTCCATGGCAACGAGGACAAGTTTTACTTTCCCTCGTACAGTTTTATGGAATGGCTACCCAATGGCACTGGCGCAAAGCTATCGTTTCTCATCACCAAGATGAAGCCAAAGCCAAAGCCGGAACCCGTCGCCGAACCGCCTTCGACGCTTGCTCCAAAGGCCACACCAGCGCCGACCCCAACACCCGCACCCGTACCAGCATCAAGCGCACCCACACCCAGCGCCCCGACACCCGGTGTCTCTACACCTGGCCCAGCTCCCCCGAACGTCATGACACCTACACCAAACCCCTCGAACCCGGCTTTTACATCCATACAGCCCGCCATTACGGCACCTCCAACACCTGCAACAACTGCAACGCCATTCGTCCCATCCAAACCACCTCAACGAATTGAGGAATTCGACGAGATGAACGAAATAGACAACATTGAGTTTTATCAGCCAGTCACTGTGCTTTTACTTATCGAAAACGACGACGGTGATGAAATCGCCAGTGCGCTTCCCCGCTCAATCCGACCACCACACATTGTTGAAAAATACATGAACGAGGTGTTTGATCGCTGCAAGCGCGCCGACGAGACGTATCTGGCATTCAGGCTGCCGAGAAGTAGCGACGAAGCGCCAGAGAAGAGGTTGAGGAGTGGCGACGTGACGCCTGCAATTGCAACACCAGTCCAGGATGTTAATATGTCAGGCACTGGCACGGCTACAGTAAGCGCAGCCGATAGAAAAAAGGCTGGACGACCTAGGAAGAGTCTGGTCTGAAGTAATGTTGAAGCATGTACGTATAGTTGTGCTGATATTGGATGAGAACCATGAACAAAATAATAGCTTGTATTACTACAAAAGTATAAATGATACCCGAATTTCGAGCATCGCTAGATGCTTCCTGAACATTGTTCCTTGTGTAATATCATCTCAATAGGTGAATAAACTTAAATCCTTCTCTTCGTTATAATCAGGCTACCAAATGAATATTGCAACATGTGCAATGCCAACAGTGGCCGACAACATTTCTCCATACCAAACGAGAAAGAAAAGAAGCGTCGCGATAAACCCCAGCAATCGTTATCGCCGACGCCAAGCCCCATCCCCCTCTATCGGCCCTCACATACTCATCCGGCCTAGTTCCCCGACTTTCTAGCCCGCACCACCGCAACAAACCCTCCCCCAAGTCCGATCTAGCCATCTAGCCATCTTATTCTTTTTTCTTCCCCGAATAACCTCATCTCACCATCCCAATTCCACATTTCCTTCATTTCCGTCCTGAGCCATTCGACATTTTTTTTGTTACTTAGTAGGGGGGCCCTGGCAACGAAGAAGGGTGCTCGCAACAAAGATGCCAGATTTGAAAGTATGGTTCACAAGAGCGTACTGGACGTTTGCTGGGTTGGGTATACTTTGGGCGGTTTTTCTGGGGGCACTGGTTAGTCCGAAGTTTCAGAGGCAGTGAGTTTTCCCCCATATCCTTCCTTCTTTTTTATTTTTCTCGTTGGAGAGGAAAGAGGTGGAGAGAAGGAAGGAAGGTTGGAGAAGATGGGAAGAGAGAAGGATGAACTGACAATGATAGTGCGCTATATGCTCATAAATTCCACACGGGGTTCTGGAATAATGTCTCGAATCCTGAGGAGTTTGGGTTTGCGAGTAAGTTTATCCGTCCTATTCCCATTTTATCGTATCTAGGTTGTGGTGGTTTGTGAAGATGAGATTGAAGTGGTGCCTTTGATTGACTAACATGGTTTTTGCCAACAGAGGGCCAGGTTCAGCCGTTCTGGCTCACGACTTTTGATAATGAGAAGTTGTTTTGCTGGCATGTGCTTCCTCTAGATGTGTATCTGGAGAATGAACACGAACTTTCTACTGCCGCGGCAGTGGGACAGGCGGTTGAAGAGTTGAAGGGGACGGTGGGTGAGAAGCTCATGAATAGGGATGTTGATACTAGGATCGTGATCAACTTTCATGGTGTAAGTTTCTGTTTCCTATTTGCCTTCCCTGATTGCTCATACTTTCACTTTCCTTCTGTCCTTTTACGATATTCATATCGTACTGTCATTCGGACTTGATCCATTCTCTCTACAGACTTCATCTCAAAGAAACGAACCTCACTTCTCACACGCATACAGAACGCCGGACATATCGCCCAAGGTTACCGCCCATCAACTTACCGCTCCATCTCCGGCATCCCAAAAACCCACCTCCTAACCTGCGACTACCGCGGCTTTGGACATTCCACCCTTAACAACCCTCCCCACATCCCCACAGAACCCGGAATTATCACCGACGCCATCTCCCTAGTATCTTACGTAACCAACGATCTCTCCCACCCCATGTCCCGCACTGTACTCCTAGGCCAAAGTCTCGGCACCGCTGTCACAGCAGCCACAGCACTCTACTACACGGACCCTACTTCCCCCCACCTTCCCTCTTCCCTCGCCACCCTGCAACCATCCCCCAAGCCCGCCAAAGAATCATTCGCAGGCATAATCCTCGTAGCCCCCTTCCGCACCCTCCCCCTCCTCCTCAAACACTACCGCATCGCCGGCATCTTCCCCATCCTCAAACCTCTCCAACCCTACCCCGTCATAGCAAACTTCCTCTCCTCCCGCATCATCGACACCTGGCCCACGCTTCCCCGCCTGCAATCTTTCATCTCCGCCGAGAAATCAAAGAAACACGGCTTCTACATCTCCCTCCTCCACGCCCGTAACGATCAGGATATCTCGTATCACGAGAGTGAAACTCTATTTGAGCCGTTGCAGACGCTTATGCTGGGGTCCGCGGAGACGGCGGCGGACGTAGCGGCTGAGGAGACGAGACGCAGTATTCATGGTGGCGAGCGTGTTAAGCGTGGTGCGTTTGCGTATAAGAAGGTTGAGGATGCAAAGGGGGAGCGATGTGTGGAGCTTGAAGTTACGCGGTATGGAGGGCATAACGAGGTTGTGGGGTGGGCGCAGGTGGCGCTTGCGGTTCGGAGGGCGTTTGAGAGGAGGGCACGGAGGATGAGGCCGGGGTTGGATGTTGAGTAACTTGTATCTTTATTCTTTGAAAACAAAGAAGTGGAGAGATGGAAGGTTTATTGTTGTTGAGGGGGATATCATTTTTTCTTCAGTCATTTAAAGGCTGCGTGGTCATTTACAATACATGTACAAATAGTCTACATACAACGAGTGTTTTGGTTCCGTAGATACGCCAGACATTTCCGTCTATATGCAAGTCATACATTTCTTGTCCATGTTGTCCTGCTTTTTCACCAGGGTATACCATTCAAGTCCTCAACATCTTCTCTTCGATATGCTTGTTCCGCCAATATTTCAGGCTCAAGCATTCCTCTCCTTCTGCTCCTTCTCGTACTTGGCAACAAGCTCCTTCTGCAGCTGAGGCGGCGCAGGGCTGTAGTGGCTGAACTCCATGCTGAACTCTCCCTTACCCTGCGTACTAGCACGTAGCTGGCTACTGAAACCAAACATGCTGTTGAGACTGCAGTCAGCATAGACTGTAAAGTCCTCTGGTCCGATTTCTGTATCGTTGATAACTGCGTTCCTCTTGTTCAAAAGTCCAACAACGGAACCCTGGAACTCGTTTGGCGCGGTAATGGTAGTCTTCATGAGAGGCTCGAGGACTTGTGGTGCACCGGACTGGAAAGCCTTGCGGAAAGCCTGTTGAGTAGCGTTCTTGAAAGCCATTTCCGAGGAGTCGACGGCGTGCGTTGCTCCGTCGTTGATGACCATGGAAGTACCCAGTACTTTGTGGCCGAGAAGAGGTCCCTTTGTCGTTGATGCCATGAATCCCTTTTCGCAAGCGAACAAGAACTTTTCTGAGATAGTTCCACCAGAGATTTGCTGCTCGAACTTGTTCTCGGTTAGGGACTCGCTGGGCTCCAACCATCCTACTACACGCGCGAAATCTCCGGATCCACCACTCTGCTTCTTCAGCGTGTGGTCAAAGTTGACGCGCTTGGTAATTGTTTCACGGTATGCGACCTGTGGCTGTCCGGTCTCGCATTCGACTCGGTACTCACGGCGCATGCGCTCGACGTAAATGTCGAGATGCAGCTCACCCATACCTGAGATGATGGTTTCTTGCGATTCGGGGTCGGTGTGAACTCGGAATGTAGGGTCCTCGCGGGTGAAGCGGCTCATGGCCTTACTGAAGTTGGGTGTATCCTTGGTGTGCTTGGGCTTGATCGACAAGGAGATGACGGGCTCAGGAACGAACATAGAGGTCTGTGATATTAGCTCTATACATGTCCAGATAATTGGGACCACTTACCATAGTGTATGCAAGGTTACCATCAGTAAAGGTATCGCCAGATGCACAGTCGACACCGAACACTGCGCAGATTTCTCCAGCGCCAATCTCCGGTACTTCCTCCATGTCGTTGGAATGCATGCGCACAATCTTAGGAATCCTGACCTTCTTGTCTGACCTGGCGTTGAACACATTCATGCCCTTCTTAAGCGTACCTTGGTATACACGAATGTACGTCAACTGTCCAAAGCTGCTCTCTTCCAGCTTGAATGCTAGACCGACGAATGGCAAATCATTATATGAGACTAGTTTGACTGGGGCTTCTGCTCTCTTCTTGTCCAGGGCCATGTTCTCGACTTCGGAGGGGTTCGGTAGGTAATCGCATACGGCATCGAGCATCGGTTGTACAGACTTATCGGCGAGGGCGGAACCCATCATGACTGGAGTGAACTTCAGAGAGATTGTAGCTCGTCGAATAGCAGCCTTGATCTGGGCAACGGTTGGCTCCTGCTCGTCCAAGAAGAGCTCTGCAATCTCATCGTCCACATCTGCCAATGTTTCAATAAGTTTTTGCCTCTTCTCCTTGCACAACTCGATAAGGTCAGCGGGAATTTCGTCAGTCTCCCTGATAATTTCTCCCTTAGATCCTTCGTTGTAGATGGCCTTCATCCTGACCAAATCGACCACACCCAAGAAACCATCTTCGCGTCCAATAGGCACCTGAATAGCTGCAGCTGCTATCCTGAGCTTTTGGTTGATCTGATCAACAGCCTTCCATGGGTTGGCGCCCATTCGGTCCATCTTGTTGACAAATGATAACCTAGGAATGTTGTAACGCCTCATTTGCCTGTCGACAGTGATCGTTTGACTTTGTACTCCACTGACGGCACACAGAATCATGACAGCTCCGTCAAGGACTCGCAGCGCTCTTTCTACTTCAATGGTAAAGTCGATATGGCCCGGTGTATCAATCAAGTTGATGTGGTATTTCTCTTCCTTTCCTTCGTCGTTCTTCTTGACCCAGTCACAGAAAGTGGCCGCAGACTGAATAGTGATACCCTTCTCACGCTCAAGATCCATGGAATCCATCTTAGCTCCTACAGAATCTTTACCGCGGACTTCGTGTATAGCGTTGATACGGCCGGTGTAGAAGAGAACACGCTCGGTGGCGGTGGTTTTGCCAGAGTCAATGTGCGCAGCGATACCGATGTTTCGTACTCTCGAGAGCCGTTCCCATTCGACAGGGTTCAAATTCTCGACAATCTTTTCTTGGGTTAAGGCGGATGGGTCTTCCTTGGCTTGCTCTAATCTAAACTTAATAATCAGCATTTTACTGCCGCCTCGCCATTGTGGATGGAAGTCTGTGCGGGCACGTACACTTGAGCGGCCACTGAGTTCCATCTTCGTTGCTGATGAGTCCGCTGGCTTTCTATCCATGTGTCGGTCTTCAATCCATTGGTATATGGCGTGCGCGATGCGGCAATGGTCGAGAGAGCGCATCGTGAAGGCGTTCTCGCTGCCGATCGAGCACAACAGCGAAGACTGCTCGTGGCGAGCGATTGAGCCCGAAGGATAGACTGTACCCGCATCTTGAACACCTCAAAATGCTAAAAGAAAGGGGATACAACGAAAGGACGACGCTGAGGTCTTGTCGCTTCGGGATGCCGAATCGCCCACCAGGAAAAAAGTTGGGCCATCGGAGTTTCGGGCGGAGGTGCCAGTCACGTGCTGGCGCGTTGGATCAGTGCCAAGCTAATTGCTTATTGGGGGGTAACGCGCGTGCCTCGCCCCGCCTCCTACAGCATCAGTTTATCGTGTTCGCCTTGGAGAAAATTACGGATGACCTATCCTCCGCTCGAATCGCTGTTGCAAGCTTAAAATCGGCACAGAGAGGCAGACGGCAGTACCACTTCGACTGTGGTTTGTTTACCACAAGGAAATGACACCAATCGTCACGAGCACTAACTATGGCTGTGCGACTATGCCATTTGGCGTCTGCACAAAGAAGATTCCGATGAATACGATCAAAAAATGTCAAGGCGGGTAGCCGCATGCGGACAGCACTACTGTTGTTCATTATTGACATCCTTTGTCTGTAGTCATGACAAAGACTTCTTGTTCCTGTCTACCCAATAGATATCTTATTGGAATTCACGAAACTGCCTCTTGTGTACCTTTTTCAGTTTGATCCGTGACTTGGACAAGGTACGACTAATTTAGTCTATTTGTTTCCGTGTTGTGAAATGACCACTGCTGACATGCGCAAGATCCAGCTATTGATTCCATACTTTTGACCAAATACACAATGGTGGATACCTACGATGGTCCTTTGGCGGACGATCTTTCCGACCTCAGCAGCCCATCTAGCCCTACGCAGACTGCGTCAATGAGCGATAGTGAAGAACCATCATCAAAGGAGATCAACCGCCGTCTGGCCCAAGCTCTGGACTACCTGGATGAGCAAGGAGGTGATGACTCTCCCACGATATATATGGAGCGTGTAAACAGAATCGACAAATATCTCCTACAGCAACTGCCTCAGCAAGGGATCAAATTTGAAAATGCACTCTATCAACACTTGCGAGATACGGTCAGACAAGAGGTGGAGGCCTATGATGCGGCCAAACAAAGCGCACGAACCGTGGTGGAGAACGAAGAGTCCTTGCTGGAAAGCAGATCTGATTTGTCACCGGGACAACAATCACATTGCCACTCGGAATCTGTGACGCACGCGCTACACAGAGAAGATGAGCAAATTCATGATCCTGTCACTGGGCCCCTGAGAAAAGACGAGAAAACACAAGAAACAGTGCAAACTAAGCGGACGTTCAGGTATGGAGGACCTTCTAGTGATGCTGAGGTCTGGCACAGAAAATTCCCAGCGATCCTCCAGTTCCCAGAAACACATCAACTGGCACACTGGGAGAGTCTCAAAATTGACTTTGACCTTGACGAATCTGTGAAAAAGCAGAAGGCAGAGGGTAGTGTTGTCGAGACTAACGTATCCTTCGACCATCCAGCCCTTGACCAATACAAAAGCCTTGGGTTATACGAATCTGGATCCCGATTCAAACTCCCGACACCAAAAAAGGAGATTGAAGAAGAGATAAGGCGGTTGTGCACGGTCGATCAAATCGCAAAAGCTGTGGAAGAATTCAACACGGGCGAGGGGAAGGATGAGTCTGGAAAGAAATATGCTCCGCGGATTTTCCTGCATAAGCTGAGCGTTCAGCAGAAAGGTATAGGATAAATCGCTTCTTCCATTACCTCACACTAACACAAATCCAGATGGTCCAACGGATATTCGACGTGCTGTAAATGCTTCACCCACTAAGCCACGTCAACGTTTAGTGCGAAGTGGTGCTCGGTCTGGCAGTGCAAACGCTACTCAAGTGCAGTTGCCGACAACAAAGAGCGCAGCAACAGATTCGAGCAGTGTTGCTGAAGCCACACCGATTGTGGTTCAGACTCCTACCAAGCTGTCCTCCGGAAAGCCACTAGCGTCTCTGCCGCGAACATGGGAAAACAGAGTTGCTATTGCAAATGACTTAGTTCGTATGTCAAGGGAAGAGGCGGAGGCTGCAGAAAAGATGGCACGCGCTGCGAGAGAAAAAGCACGCAAAGCAACACTAGATGCTCTCAAGATAGCAGATCAAGCTAACGGAAAGCTGACATCGGATAATTGTATGTCATCCCCTGTTTCTAGAAGGATCAATCGAGAGCGTGAGACGTCGCTCGAAAAGAGTCCAAGGCGTCAGAGTGGAGTCAGCACCGCGCCACCAAGTGCCGAAACAACTCCAACAACGGATGTCGTTCCTATTGAGGATTCCGATGATGCACCTAGGTCTGAGTCACCAGCAGTAGATATGTCGCAGTTCGTACACACACCCGCCGGTGTTACCACCCCCAAGCCCAGCAGCAGCAGGACTGTTAGGCGCAAACGTAGTATTGGTGATGAAGCCTATACTCCAGAGAGCAAGCGCAGCAAGGTTGGGACGCCTTCATCGCTGGGAAATGGCACCAGTGGCATGCATCAGACTTCGGGAAAGTCGGTTCGCTTCATGTCTGAAGACGATTCGGATGGGTCATCCGATAGTACCGTTATCACAGCAGGTAAACGCAAAAGGGTAAGAAAGGAAGCTACTCCCAAACCTGGGAAGAAGAAATCTCCAAGTCTCAAGACGACTCCTGTTGAGGTGTCAACAGACGATACAAGCGAGACAAGCTCGCCCCAAACCAATGCAGCTACCAAGAAGTCTTCCGTTGCCAAGAAGCCTGCAGCAAAGCCTAGGACAAAGCCCGGAGGCAAGCCTGGAAACACTGCCGCAGTGGTCAAGCCAGAGAGCAGTAAAGCTACTGCGGCAGGTAAAGCTGCGCGTCGTATACGGGCGAAAAAGGTGGTGAAGGAGCAAGTTGGTGATGATGAGCACATGGAGGAGCTCGAAGAGACTGTTGTGGAAATCACAAAAGTGAGAGGTACAAGGGATGGAGCGAGACATGCCAAGTGATGGGACAAATGGGATTGACCCAGCGGCATTGGTGACTGTGTTTTCTCGGCGTTTGTCTCGACATGTACAAACTAGTTTGTGTTTTTTGGGGGTGTCTTCCATACACACGTCCTAGAGTCAGCTTATAGCGTGTGGAGATTCAGATAGATTATTGGTGTAATGCTATTTTGTTGTTGATATAGTAATTCGATCGGCTGCATCAGAGAGTAAAATACATGCAATGTGCTCCTTGCGTATTGATAGTAAAAGGATTACCTTGTGTGGGAGAAGGGACCTGCGCGCATTAGGTACCCACCTCTCGTTATTATTTCTCTCGCTGTTGGATGTGAGTCTGTTCTCACCGTTTCTCAATTGTTTTTTCTTGGTATTGCAGGATGATCGCCTGCCTTCAAGCTGCATGACTTTGTACTCAGTGGTAGTTTAGCGAGCGTCTTATGTGTGCTTGGCATCTTTTTTATTTTCTTATTTACAATGCAAAAACACAAATCTCGTTTGCAATATAACCTTGGCCTGGTTAAATTCGTAACTGCAGTGCGCAACATGAAACCGGCGCCTTTCTGGTATGGCTCTCATTGTCCGCGTGACGTCAAGCCTTCCACCTGGCTGCAACTTGTCTCTCTACTAACTACTAGTAGAGCTTGCGCACGCTTATCGAGTGCACGTACACACACATACACAGCTGCCGTCCCTCTCACCTTCCTTGCAAGAGGCTTCCTTTTCTATCGGCCCGACATTTTCCTCCCTTCCCAATCCGATCGATATTTGTTTTTCTTAAATACGATTATCACAACCACAGACTCTGGCGTCTACTACAAAGCTAGCTTCAAGGCCAGAATTGCAACTTCGCCGCATCCACACTCACCGCAACGGTCGATTGCTTGCGCGTGTCTGCAGCTACACGTTTCGGCCGCTTAGACATTCCGTGTCAAGATTTGTTTGCCCCCAATCCTTTGAGCAAGCGAACAAGTCCCCGCCACCCTGGCCCACCTTACTTCTATCCCTGCGATCTGGTCGTCGTTGTCTCAAAGCAAAGTTCTTGAATCGGTAGAAACCTTCCCAGTGCCTGACCATTCTGCCGCTTCTCTATCACTTTGGGCCCGGCTTGCTGAATTTCCGCTTCTCTTGATCTGGTGGGTTTTCACCGCCTCCACCGCCAATCTTTTAGTGCATCCCTGTAAGTAAGAGTGAAAGCAAGCGCCTCTACGTGCAAACGAACATGGGTTCCCAATCCTAAATAGAACCACAATAGTTCCACGCCGTCCATCGCTTGCACAACGTGCTTAAGACCATACATCACAGCACTACAGCGAACAAAATCAGAGGCAAGCCCCAAGCACAAAATCAGTTGTGAGGCTGTAGTATGAATCGTGGCGATGGAGGCGGCCAACGAGGCGCTCGACGCAGCTCTCGTGGCGGCGGCTCTCACAGTAGTAGAGCGTCCTCCAACAGTTCCGGTAGCTCCAGTAGCCATTCCAAGACTAACCGAGCAAAATCAAAGGGTGGCTCAAATGGTCAGCACAAGCTGCACAGATCCATCCTGAAAAGCGAGGCAGCGCATTGCCAGGAAAGCAAGTACAGGCTATTGGGCCTACCGAAGACTTACTGGACAAAAGAGGTTTACCAGGCAATGTCATCGTATGGCAGCGTCTTCAGAATCGAGATGGAGATGTCGCGTAGTGATTCCAGCTACAACGCATATGTGGTGTTCAGGTAAGCCATTGGCCATAGTCAAATGAACATACCTAACGTATATCAGGCCTCCTCCCCACAAACCTATCCCTTGCGAAAAGCTGCGAGTCGGTGCTGCATATGTGCGGTCTGAAATACGCCCACCTCTTGCCGCTACTGTCCCAAGTCCCACAAATCCCGCGAAGAAGTATTACGAACTCACCATACTTTCTGCGAAGCGGATCGAGTTTGGCGTCAGAGTGGCGGAAAAAGCCATGATTGCTATGCGCACCGTCGTGCCACCTGCGAAGGATGGCGTTCAGGTGATGCTAAGCTTGAAGCGCAAAGAGCTTGATATTCTGTTTTCACTTCATATTCCTGTAGACAACCGGATGCGAAAGTTTCGCTTCTCCTTACCCATTTCTCTGATCTCGCATATTTATAAAACCAAAGATAGTACCGGCCAGCCGTCCCTCGTCATTCCATTTGACTCCACGCCATGTTTTTACATGCAGAAAAACGAAGGTGAAGACTTGGGCGACGGGCGAAAGCAAACTAGTTTCTCTAGAACAGACAAGATCTGGAGTGATTGGGATACTTGGTACCGAGTAACTGATATCGTTGATGGAGCCATTCGAACAGTTCTCCGGCGTACTCCCGTGATGAATCATAGAGGCACTGCTATCATCGACATTGGTACGTAAACATCCAAACTGACATTGGCAAGCTCCTGTTAACCTAATCAGGTCGATGGACCGACTACCGCCTTGTATTCGATAGTTCATCATTGAGTGGCCCGCAATTCAAGAACTTCAGCGACGCCCTAGTCGACTATGGGGTGGAGATCAAGGATCTCATTGACTATCCTACCAAGCGGAAAATCCCCTCGCCGTTATGGAGTCTTTTGTCAGAGGAAATCTACGGTACACATCCACATCTCGATGTCACTCCCAGCAACCAGGGAATGGATTTCAACAATATCTTCGCAAGACAGGCTCATCTGAGTTTTCCGGTACGCTACCAGCTTGAAGTCTGCCTTTCAAATGGGTATATCAAAGAGCACAACATCACGACTGGATTCTTGAAGAAGTTAGAGACGCTAGAGAGCCAACAAGCCGTGCACATCTTGGAGAAGGTTGCTGATAGGCAGAAAATCTACTATGATCCTACGGAGATTTTCAATATCCCAATCAAAAGTACGAAAAGAAAGATACCCAGCTATTGCCTTCTGCAGCGATCGGTTACCATTACTCCAACCATGATGCATGTGGCAACACCTGTGATGGAGACATCCAACCGTATCATTCGCAAATATGAAGCGGATGCTGATCGCTTTGTTCGGGTGAGATTCACCGACGAGAAGTCCGAGGGTCAGCTGCGTAACCAGCCAAACGGTAGGGCTGAAGCACTATTTGACAGGGTTTTTCGTGCCATGAAGAACGGTATCGTTGTTGCCGGGAGATACTATGAGTTCCTAGCATTTGGAAATTCACAGTTCCGTGAGAATGGTGCCTACTTTTATGCGCCTACAGCGTCAAAGTCGGCAAACGATATCCGTATGTCTCTTGGGGAGTTTGATCATATCAAAACCGTATCCAAGTTTGCAGCGCGCCTAGGTCAATGTTTTTCTACAACGCGCGCAATGGGGGTTACTGTGAAGCTTGTTATAGATCAAGATGTTGAGCGCAACGGTTTCGTCTTCACGGATGGAGTTGGAAGGCTCTCCCCATTCCTGGCCAAAATGGCAGCTCAGGAACTTGGCTTGGCCAACGCATTTACTGACCCACCTTCCCTCTTCCAATTTCGACTTGGAGGAAGCAAAGGTGTGCTTGCACTCGACCCGGAATTGAATGGTAGCGAAGTTCGCATTCGACCGAGCCAATACAAATTTCGGGCTCCTCATACCGGCCTTGAAATCATTCGATCATCTTCCTTTGCAACACCATATTTCAACCGGCAGATCATTCTCGTTCTGTCATATCTTGGCGTCCAAGATGCGGTCTTCCTTCGAAAACAAGAAGACATGATGAATGAGTATTCGAGAGCAATGACTGATGAAATGGCCGCCTTACAGAAACTCCGAAAAAACATCGACATTAACCAGATTACCTTGACGATGGCTGCAATGGTTTTGGATGGTTTCATGGAATCTCGTGAGCCTTTCATCATGTCTTTGCTCGCACTTTGGAGAGCTTGCACGATCAAGAACTTGAAGGAGAAGGCACGGATCGCTATTGATAATGGTGCCTTCTTGCTAGGCTGCGTTGACGAGACCAAGGAGCTCAAGGGGCATTTCAACGACCCTCAATCCAGGCGTGATGCTACCAGGGATGAGAAACTAGCGACCCTGCCAGAAATATTCTTACGGGTCAGCGATCCCAACAACAAAGGTCATTATATCATCATCGAAGGCATATGCATACTAGCACGAAATCCGTCATTGCACCCAGGAGATGTTCGAGTGGTCCGCGCAGTGAACGTCCCAAAACTTCACCATCTCAAAAACGTCGTGGTATTTCCCCAGACTGGTGATCGCGACCTTGCAAACATGTGCTCTGGGGGTGATCTTGATGGGGATGACTACATGGTTCTATGGGACAAAGACCTGGTACCGAAACTCATCAATGAGCCGCCGATGGATTTCACGCCGGAAAAACCACTGGAGATTGACGGTCCGATTTCTGCAATGGATATGAGTAGGTTCTTTGTCAACTACATTAAAAACGATGCTCTCGGTCCGATTGCTCATGCGCATCTTGCGCAAGCCGATCTCAATGAAAAGGGCGTTGGCGATCCAATCTGTCTCGAACTGGCGGAGCTGCATTCAAGAGCAGTGGACTTCCCCAAGAGCGGCATACCAGCTGAAATGAAGCGCGAACTCAGGCCAAGGAAATGGCCGCATTTCATGGAGAAGAAGTATCTATCTCAGCATCAGATCTATAAGTCCAAGAATATTCTCGGTCTTCTCTACGATGAGGTGAAATTGATCGACTTCGAGCCCCAGTGGGAGAATCCGTTTGATAAGCGCATCCTGGAGGCGTTCGACCTCGATGAAGAGCTATTGGACAAGGCGGCGAGTCTTAAGCTCTCATACGACGAAGCACTCCGACGACTGATGGCCAAACATGGTATCAAAACCGAATTCGAAGCATGGTCTGTCTTCGTACTGGTGCACAACCACGAGAGCGGCGACTACAAATTTGCAGAAGAATTCGGCAGAACCATTGCAGCCTTGAAGCATCAGTTCCGCAGCGAGTGTCGCACTGCCGCGGAGCTAAGTGATAACAACGACTGGGCACGCCTAGGACCTTTCGTTGCTGCCATGTACACAGTCACAGCACGCGAGATGGAGACCGCTTTGGACGAGTGTACCAAAACCAAGACTATCGGAGGCAGTACCGTACCTCTTCACATCAAGGACCCGGAGCACATGCCGCTGATCTCTTTCCCATGGCTTTTCCCAAGTGAGCTTGGAAAGATTGCTACCGGTGGTAAGACGAGTCACCAGCCGAACGGAACCAGCAATCAGCCTCGCCAAACCAAGCACGTTCGCCCAGCTAAGACAGATGCTGAAATCGGAGCTGTGGAGACAGCAGCAGGTACCACGCATTACGGAGAAATACTGGACTTGGATTTACTGGGCTTGGATCTCAGCCTCCCAGCACTTCAAGCGTGCGACCCCGTCGCAACACCTGAGAGGCGGTAGAGCCCGGATAATAGTGCCAACGACGAACCCGATGCTCAGACTCCGGTAGCAAATACGACTCCATCGTTCTTTGACATACTCTGTCCACCCGTCATTGAGTCTTGCCTGGATCCAAAAAAGGAACAGCCAAAGGCGGTTACGAAGGAGACCTTGAGCGAGTGGGTCAGCATCCAGGAGAAAGAGGAGGCAGAGGATTGAGACTACGGGCTTTGATGGGCTGATAATCTGAGGCTCTAGTTTCTAAACATAATTAATTTGGTTCTGTCTTAAAGGGCTCTCATTTGAAACTTTTCCATGATATGGAAAGATATAGGGAAGGATAGTAGTCAGCGTCCAATACCCATGGGTAATAGTCGATGCGGACTACACATGATCATTGGCATGAAACCGGTGTAGATAAAACATCGATAAAACAGATGATAAAATACGAAAATTAACACCCCTAAAGACTATGTACTAAAATCCAGGTATGAACTAAAACATATGATACATATGACTAAGTGATAATGGCCTACATGTACTACATAACCATGCTCTATCTACTTACTGTTACAATTACTCTTATGAGGTATATGTGTATAAGCTTTCCTCACCATCCCACACCACTCCCCAAAAAGAATCTAGTCCTCCCGCTTCTTCTTCTTATCCTTAAAATCCTCAATTGCAAACCCCATCCTCTCTCATCCTGCACAAGGCTCACAACCAGCGGTTCCGTATTCGCCTTCATATCATCCATATGCTTCGCGGCAGCTACATCTCTCAGTCGATGACCCGCGAGCAACAACGGCAAAATCGATGACTTCCATACTGGAACCCTGGACTTATCAAACAGCATCTTGCCGCACGTAATGCACAACAAAAGTATGGTTAAGATGATTAATGCAAGTGGGAAACTCAACCACACCCAATCGAACTTTGTGCAACTTGTCGTGCGAAGAACAGTTCCTGTAGCGAATGTAGGCGGAGCACTGTAAGACTGGGGATCATAGTAAGACCCCTTTCTACGCATCTCGCTCGTAACGGCCGTCGCGACGGATTGCATGTTGCGATCGATGGCGTCGAAGCTGGCGAGGCCATTGTTTACCAGTGTCTCGAGCTGCCAGGGGTCGCACTTCAGGGTTTTGTAGTCGTTTTTATAAAACTCGGCGTCAAGTTCTGGAATGGTGGTGCAGTTTCCGTTCATGAGGGATTTCATGAACGTTCCGAGACTCATTGCGTAGATGCCATCAGTGCCATAGATGCAGGCTGTTGGGAAGGTTGTGTTGGTGCTGTAGAGATTGTAGGTGGTAAAGTTGTTGCCCTGGATTGGTACGGAGGATATGTTATCGCGTGTGTATGTTTGGTCGTCAATGATACAGGGGTCGTGCAGGTCCTTGAAGTCGTAAATGCGGTTTTCCATAGAGGATCTTGCTGGTTTTATTGGCGTTTCGTTTATGACTGTCTCGGTGAAGATGGTGTCGCGGACAGTTCCTGCATAGTCGCGGATGCATGGATAGAATGAGCATGTTGCCGCCACGGCGTTTAGGAAGTTCATGATTGGAAGGGTCCAGTTTGCATCGGCTCCTGGGCACCGCTGGGATTTCGAGCCACCTTCTTGTCCCAAACGCTCACAGCCGTTATTCGTAAAGGTGATAATGCTGACGTTGAGTATTGATGCTGCTAATATGTCGTCTAATGAGTTGTCGAACGTGTTTAAGAGTTTTTCATTTGGAGAAGTCGATCCCCAGTCTCTCTGTACACTGCTACGCGCAAGAGTGGATAGAACAATTCGTGGAAGGGTTCCATTTGGGGTTCCGCCAATGCCATTACCGTCTGATAACCGGATCCGTTGGTCTTGGTCTTCCAGCTCAACTTCCATTAACCGATTAGATGTATCCACGCATTTCTTGCACAGCCCGACTGAAGAATGTGTGACACGGTTGCGTGAAGGAAACACACAGTTGCCAGTAGTGCAGCTCGGCGTGATATCAGACCGAGTCGTGTTGGAATTCACAAGTCCATCCAAGATGGCAACCTTGGTGTCTAAGTCCAAGTCCAATAACCAGGTGCCCTCGATGCCTTGACTTTTTTTCGAGGAGTACATCCACTGGGAAACCCTGATGGATGCTTCTGCTCCCGCTAGAGGCCGCTCACACGATACAGACTTGACAGCTTGCTGCGAAAAAGGCCCGATGCCGATTGATAGTACGATGACTATGCATCCTACAAACGCCGCATTACTACCATGCATCTTAGTTCATACAGCATTTCATCTTCCGTCGTACCATGGGGATATACGTACAGAGACCTTGTTCGAAAGAAGAGCAGCAGCGAGCCCCAGGGCCCTCGGGCAGCTGAATCAAAATGCTCAAGGTGCCAGAGAGGCCGTGGTCGCCGAAACAACAACCACTTCAATTGGCTAATGACTGGTACAGTTTCAGACCCTTGGCTGACTCAAAGTTCGATAAGCTTCTTACCTTCTTCTGTTACGACCACCATACATGATCGCAGTATGGTGGCCAAAACGGCGATAACTGTATTGAGGTTGATTGAGTATCTCCACTCGGGCTGCTCTTTGTCGTTATACTTTGCCATAGTAATCACGATAGTGATCAAGGCCGCTATGGCGGCTACTAAAGAGGCCAGTCCAAACCACCAGGTTATGAAAACTGATGTACTGTTGTGTTTGTCTTTCCCAATGAATTGTCCTGCAGTTCTGGTTTCGGAACGGTCGTTGAAGAGAAAAGCATGAATCTCTCCTGGCTCGGCTCTGACAGTATTTTCTCCAACAAGGGTCTCTTGGTGCAATGAATTGTTCGTATTGTTATCATCATCTGAGGCATATATTGTGGAGGTCGCTGGCGATACAGAGTTTCTATTGCTGTTGTTCTGTGTTGGCTCGCTAGCGACATTAACATGATCGAGGTCGTCTTGCATACTCGGAGCTCGGCTACCGCCTGACAGGCTGAAGACGGGTGTGTCACTGCGGTCGTTGGAAGAGCTAGTTGTCGTATGGTGGTAGCTAGCAAGGAAATGGTGGTTATTCATGTCTCTCATAGGGTTATCTATCCATATGTAGTTTATCTGATAGCGATTGTGTGGACGACACATTAGGAAGGTTGCACAACGATGTGAGCTTCACAAAAGTTCGACTGATGATCATCTGGCTCCAATTAGGACCGCATTTTGGGGCGTTCCTCCTTGGCAAATCGCTCTGCATGCTGCAGTCGATTTGGGGTCCTGTATGCCTGCATATGATTGGATGATGGCAAGCAGTTGAGACAACCAGTGGCTATGGAATGTGTTTATTCAACCGAAAGTGGCGCAGGTTCTTTGTGTTACCGCAGAAGCAGACGAGGCAGACTCAGACGTACGTAGGCAGGATGGTGCCTGGAAAAGCGAATCGCGCATCTGCGATGACGCTCCATCCAACAACACACTCGCTTGTCTAAGTATAGCAGCGCTTGAGTGGTGCCCTCTCACGTATGCTGTGCTGTCTCATCACTGTGACACTGCTCGCCATGGTTGTGTACATAGACTGCTGTCGCCGCAATGCCACGCCTCTCAATCACAGGCTGGTTCCAGGCATGAAAAACATGGTGTAGGTGATAGGGTGTGTGCATCGAGTGGGCTTCGTACTGTTGGTGCGGGGAGATTCTGTTTCCAGCTTTACCGGTCTATGGAGATACGTCATGGTCACGTGATGCTTTATATCGTACAGCTCAATCTTACGCTCTCCACCGCGCCCAGTAAGGCAGCAATGCCGTTATTAGCTACAATCGTTTGCCTGTATAATTCTGATCTTCCTATCTACAGGCACAAGGGTTGTGGGTTTTAAGTCAGCATTCACAATAGATTAGGCGGTAGACATATGACGACTGCACTATCAATCAAAGAAAATGCGACGGCCAACTGCTCGGGATGCCCACTGATGACTCGCACGTCCAATACACAACTTGACTGACGGCAGCAGACCAACAGAGCCTTAAAGCCTCAAAGCACCAAAGCACTAAAGCCTCGGTCTCGGACAGCAACGAGCGCGTGTGCATCGCTTCCGCGCGGCTTCTTGCGTTTCACAATTTTGTTCCAGCCCTGTGTCGCAATGCCACCTTCGGGTCGCATACCACCTCTTCTCCAACCTTACATCCAACTCCCTCGCGATAATTCACTTATCCTGCTCACGAGCACTCTCGGAGCCAGCGCAAACTGGCTACTACTACGGTTCCTGTGTGATGCGCTGAGCACAGTCACAGCCCAAGATGGCGGGGAGGAGGGGCACAACGTAGTGTTGGTTTCTTGGATGAGACAGTATGATTTCTGGAAACAAGAATCTAGAAAGAGCGCAGGTCTAGATCTGGAGAGAATCAGGAAAGAGGGGAGATTCGCCTTCGTTGATGGGTTGGGGGCTGGTGCAGATGCGCCTGGCGGTAGCATGTCCGGAACAGATGCGCGGGCCAGTGGACAGGCAAAACCACTGGTCGCGGGGTCGAATAGAATTCAGGTGCAGAGAGGGCCGCAGACATTATCTGTACGAAGTCCTCCCGGGGGGACAGTGCCTGCAAGAGGACCACCGGTAGCAGCAGCGGCAGCGCCTACACCAGAGACGATCGATGCAGGTAGCAGTACCCCCGGCCACTACGCATTGAAGACACTCGACCTCTCAGAAATCAGAACGACCATTTCCAGTGCTGTCTCTGCGCTCAATCCCTCGGCGGTGCAGCGAAAGACGCTCCTCATCTTCGATAATCCAGATCTCCTCCTCGCCCTCAACCCCTCCATTACACCCTCGGACTTTACTTCGCTTGCCCTGACTCTTCACACAATACCAACTGTGTCACATGTTCTAACCCATATACAATCCGATAGTCCGCTTCTCAGCCTTTCTACACCACCCCAACCACTTGAGCTTGCGCATCACAACCTGCTGGTCAAGTTTGCTCACATGAGCAGGAGGATACTGGGTGTGAGAATCCTGGACACTGGAGTTGCAAGAGACGTGAGCGGTGTCATTCGGATCACCGAACAGAAGCATGAGTGGCTAGACTTGGAACTCAACGAAAATGAACCCAAAGAAGGTGACGAAAACGGGCGAGGAAAAGAGTTCCTTTACCAAGTTAAAGGCGATGGTAGTGTGAGGGTCTTCGAGCGGGGTGCTGGTGGAGAGGCTTGATCGCGATCCCAAACCCTGGCACAGGTTGATCTCGAGTTACACCAACACGCCTCATTATTCACTGGCAACATGTGGCTTGACCATAGGCTAAGGTAAGCCTTCGAATACAATAGCGATGACGATCTCGCCCCAATGCAGAAAATCGAAAGCGAATGTACAATCTTCTTCATGCATGCTTGCCTTTGTGTTACGCGAGATGATCATAGGATCCAGTACTGCTTCTCGCGCATATACGCATGCACCGCGTAGCGAATGCACAAGCGATCCACTGACAATACGTAGCCGTAGCCCCGGTGCTCATCATCTGCCATGCCCAGATCCCGACGCTGTGCATGCTTGGCCACTCCCAACCAACCTGGTACGCGGTCCTAATGTATCTCACATCCATACGAGCGCACATGACATGATGTATGCCTCACACAGCAATGCCCATTCCCAGAAGGAAGATGACAGGACTGCCTTAATGTGCTGTGCCGCTTGACAGCAGCTCGAACCTCATCACTATCACGCCGAGCGCTTCGAAACGAGAGCACGTAGCCTGGAATGTGCGTGCGAACCCCACATTCCCATGCATCACTTTTGCGATCGCGCCTCTTAGAGTTACACAACGATCCTTCGTACAGAACCCGGATTCAATACGGACACTCACCGACCCTGTGAGAAATAGGATATCCCTTCGTCTTTGTCGGGTACGCTGTCCTCACCTCATCTGACGCACCTCGGTTTTTTTGGGGGGCCGTCTTACACAACATCATGCGACGTAGACTAGTAGAAAGAACGCCGCATGTAGAAAAAAACCACCCCCACAGCACTGGTGAGCGCCACGGTGTCCATATCGGGGTTTGTTGAAGAGTAAGGACTTGGGGCTAGAGATGCTGGTGGGATGAGCGCCTGTGAGATGATTTGTGAAGGAGGAAGAGGAGGGAGGACGAGTGCGGTGGGGGATTCCGCGGAGAGAAGGCTGCAAAGAGGGCCTCATATATGGCCTCTTTTGGTCGAGGCAACGACAGCACATTCTGTTCTGGAGGACCTACTACAAATGTCTCAGGATTCCCAACTAGATGTCTACTCATCTTTTGTCATACCATCTCACGATCTAACTCTAGTCAAGAAAGCAAGACTCCTCTCTCCTTTCTTTCCCCTTCACCCACCCCCCATCCTCCCAACATCCAAAAAAATTTCCCAAGAAAAAGAAAGAAAGAAAATGTCCCCACACATCCTCTCCCTCCCCACCGAACTCCTCAGCCAAATCCTAACCTCCCTCCCCCTCCCCTCCCTCCTCCGCTTCTCAGAAACCTGCCGTTCAGCCCGCACCCTCGCAAACGCAAACCTGCAATCCCTCTCTCTGGGAATATCTCCTCTCCCCTCCCCTTACACCTTCTCCCCCTCAAAACATCCCCTCTCCCCCTCCCAAACACCTTCCTCCCTTCCCCCCTCCCAACCCTCCCAGCCCACGCACCCCCACGACCGCTGGCTCACAATCCCAAACATAACAACCTACCCCTACACCACGCTCTCAAACTTCCAGTCCGCCCTCATCACCAGCATCCTAACCCGGCACCACCCCCTCCTCCAACACATCGATATCACAATCTGGACAATGAGCACCCACATGGCGCACGCCCTGCGCAACCTCTCCGCCCTCCAGCGCCTCTCGCTCCGCTTCGACGCGGGGAACCCCGGCCGCGCCGTGTCGCGTGCGCAGATGGCGCTGGAGCGCGACGAGCAAAGGAAGGCGTGGTGTGTACTTGCGGCGGACCCGCCAAGTTGGAGTCGCCGACTCCTCAAGTTGAGTGTTAAGGGCGCGGTGGTGAGTGCGAGGCAGGTTGCGGTATTGTTGGCGGAGAGTAGGGGATGTGAAGAGGTGGTGCTGGAGCGGTGTGGTGGGGTTGGAAGCGAGATTTGGATGTTCCTAGGGGGTTGGTGTGGGAGGGAGAGGGTTAGGAGGGTGGAGTTTGGGGAGTGTGGGGGGGTTATTGGGGAGGCGGCTTTGGGGGTTATTGGAGGGATGGTGGGATTGGAGGTATGTTGCTCTTATTTCTTTCTCTTTCTAGATTTTTTTCCCTGATTTCTAAAGGAGGGAGTGGAGATGCGGGTGTGGGATGAGTGACTGACGTTTTGTGATGTGATAGCATCTTAACCTTTATGATTGCCAAGAAGAACTTGCGCCGGGGACGCTGGAGAGATGGAACGAGGAGGTTTGGCGGATACCGGATTTTGTGGCACCCAGGCCGAGTGCGTTTGGGGCGGATATGGTGATTGAGGTTGATCCGGAGTATGTGTCTTAGCGAGGAGCTGTTGACGCAAGGGTGGGTATTTACATGACAAAAAGACAGCGTCGTGATTTCTGTGTATACAGGATAGAGGGGAGGGAAAAGTGGTACAATTACCTATTTTCCAATGTATGTACTCCTTTCTCTTTTTCAATTGCCTGTCAAAATTTCACTTCACTGCACTCAACCCAGATCGAAAAACCGCCAACTTTCCAAGCCAGCAAATCGTTCAATAAACTATCCTCATTCTATATACAAGAAGATGAATTTTCACTTCCCCCTTTCATCGTCTTCACAATCTTCCATCTCTTCCCTCGCCCTCATTATATACAAAAAAACCATTTCAGAGGCCTGCCAATATTCATATCCATCTTACTTTCATCCTCCCCTGTCAACTTACCCGCATCCATCTAGGAGCGAAGAGTAAGCTTGTAAGGACCAAGCTGGCGAATCTGGTTGCACTGCAAATCCTGGGGTCCGAGACCGCCAGCAACACAGTAGGTAGGAACGGTGCCAGTGGCGTACTTGCCAGAGCTAAAAATTTCTCCGTTAGTCATCACCATCCCAGCACACAAAAGTTTTACAGAAAAGGGAAGAAGAGGGAAGAACTTACGCAAAACCTGTCTGGTGGTAAACGCTCAGGTCATACTGGTTGGGATCCGTGCCGTTCAATGGAGACAGGACAAACCTGTAGTTGCTGGCTCCGCAGGTGACAGCCTCGCTGGGAAGCGAGAGGATGGGGCCAGCAGCGCAGGACACATTGCGGGCCTGGAAGCCGTGGATGTGGAAGTTGACATTCTGGATTGTACCGTTTGTCTTGCGCACGCTGTAGTCGGTAATCAGGATGGGTTCGGCGTGGCCAACAGGGCTGCGCTGGTAGAGCGTTGGGACGGCGCTCGCAGTGGCGAGGAGGGTGGTGAGGGTGAGGAAGTGCATTTTTGCGGTGTTTTGGGTTTGGAAGAGAGTATTGGAAGGAGATAGTGGGATGGTTGTCTGTGGATGGCGATGGGCTGTGGGGAGGATGGGGATGTTGTATTTATCTTGTTTCCATTATCAACCCCAGGCTCCTACATACATAGTCGGCACAAGGTCAACGCTTGGGGCATGAAGCTTCGATGTGATCGTCTATCAGAGCTCCAGAGATTGTACATTCCATACCAAGGGGGTGGTGGAGAATACGAGAAATGATGGAGTCACAGCGTGGTGGTTGCCGCCTGCCTGTCCCCAGACGGACGTTTCCCGGCCTTTAGTGTGCAAAATGGCGGGACACTACGCCTTGCGCCTTGCCTTTTGCCTAGCAAGCTGCCCTGTTTATGCAAAACGGGGAACTGATTAGCTGTAATTAGGAGGAATTAGTTGCGTAAACTGTACTCGTCAGTGTCCCAGATGTTGGATTAGTGCGAGGTAATTCCAACAATGTCTCCCGCATATTCGGCACAAATAGGTTCCACACCCCCAACATGACTTCTTTTGTACAGACAGCCCAAGATGTACTTGATTCAAATACGAGGAACAACAGTTCTGTGCGTGCATCTGCATGCAATGGCAAAGGGCCGAGCCTTAGGCGCTTGCAACGGTCTTTCCATAGCCTGTTAATAACGAGCATGAGTACCACGTTGTTGTGTTGTGATAGAGACAATGACTCGCAAGTGCAAGGCTGCACAGGTACCGCTTTGGAGCGGTAAATGCTGTTGAGCCGCACGGCACATCCATTCATTTGGGGCGATGAATCTGCCCAAGCCTCATCAATGTCGCAATCTCGCCACTTGGTGTATTTAGTTGCTCCTGGATGACGTTATTAGTGGAAGGCGATGCATTCCAAATTCTGGGGCCGGCGTTCAAGTTTTAGAACCGCAGTCGCTGGCGCAGGCGCAAAGTCAAATGTGCTCCAGATCCCGCAAGGCGATCGCATGTTTGTTGAGGAAAAGTTTCGACAGTGCGGCCGCAAGCCGTTCTGGCCTGTCTGCTCAGGATAACGCCATCAGTGGAGACTCAAATTTCGGCGTCTTGTCAGTTCACCGCGTTCATGCCGAGCCACACTTCGAACCTAGCGTCGAGGCCACTCTTTTTTGACTTAAGATCCATGACAAAGAACCTTATCGAACTTGTACCTGGTTGTCTCCGCCATCTGCATCCATGCTACTGTATATATTGTGGAGGCTGCTACACATGAGTCAGATTAGGGTAATGTCTATGAAGTTGTTAGCGAAGAAATTGTGACTGTAAAAACTCTTATAGATGTACGTTTAGGCTACCGAGTACACGACTACGCGCGGCTTCTGTGAAGACTCTCCCAACGACGATCGTAATTGTGCACAAATTACCGCCGTGCATTCAGTCATTAGGATGGGCAAGTATCTAGCTAGCAGCAGCCTACTCCCCGCAAGACGCTAGAAATTGTTGTCATGAACCTAGCAGCCGGGGAAACTCATGTCCAGGCTGCGTCCGTGGTCGCTCCGTTTATCGTGGTCCGATTAGAGATACGTCAAAGGTTCAAGATTCAAGCTTTCTTAGATGCGCAGACCAAGATGGCGGTAAGAGATCGCTTTTCCTTCCTTGTTGGTGCATTATTGCTAACTGTTGGTGTACATGTGTAAAAAAGTGAAAATGCTAATGCTGATGAGGGTATAGAACAGAAATGCTGGCACAAGTTTTGTATGCCAAACACCGCATAGGTAGTCTCTAAAAGTGCAAAAAACCCGAATGTATAACAAATCGAACAAATGAGATTTAGCGCCGCCATAGATGGGATAATCTTCGCTCACTCTTCACACCGCGGTTGTCCTCATTACTGGGTTTGGAGAGGCGGGAGAAAGGTACTTTGAAGGTTCCGGAAGAGGCAGGTTCTGACCGCGAACCGGCGCCTGACCTTGACCGTTCTCGTTGCTGAGTAAGTGTGGCTTTGTACTGCTCCCAGTAATTCCCTGTGGGAGCCTTGGCGGTATCAAGGCTGCCATTGGATGCAGAAGATGTAATGTCTGGAGCCGACAGAATGGAAATGGATCGTGGTAGGGACGGTCTCTTGTCGGAGACTGGAGGATGTGCCTCGATATCAGTGAGTGTAGGCTCTATTCCTAGAGAAACGTGGAGGCTAGATGATGGAGGCATCGACACGGCCATGCCAATGGTTGATTGGAAATCATCAGGCTCATGGTGGCCATGCTTGACTCCTGATTTCATGTCATCCAACTCGAATCGGAACCCTTCTCCCCGAGATTCCTGCCGCAACGAAGGGTGTATGTGGCTTTGTGACACGGGAGGTGTGATTGGTAACATAATCCGTCGTGCGTCCATTGGGTCCATAATGGAGACAAGACCGCCTAGAAGACCACTTTCTTCTGCCTCGCTGGTCTTGTGTTTATCGTCGCATGTGCTTGACTCGGATGAAGCTGCGCTTACACCTTCACTCCACATCGAACTTCCCGTAGAGCTAGTGCTGCCCGACCGGCTGGGGATCTCTCCTATGCCTAAGAGTGATAGTGCCTTTGCAGAACGATCAAGTTGTGAGCCGTCAAGTAGTGGGGTTCTCGGGAAACCATCTGTGCTCCTTGATGAGGCTCGCCTGCTGCGCGAAACAGAAGGTGTGCGCGACCTGAACCAAGATGTTTCTGACCCACTTCGATTGATGACGATCGGCGAGGTGGATTGGTCAGAGCAAACAAGAACAAGCGGATCGTTATTTGAAGGTTGAGATTTCTCCACTGACTCGTTCAACACTTTTGTACTGCTAACGCAGAGACGCGTGGACTGCGTCGTAAGGCTGTTCCGCCTAGAGCTCAGAGAGGATAGTGACATTTGTGACAATGATCGCACTGAGGATGGACGCGCAGGTCGAGAAACCCTAAGTGGTGATACTTCCATAGACCCTCGCCGACTCAAGTTTTTGGGGGTAAAATAATCCTCCCTTTGGCAGTCTGGTTCGATGGGCGAAGGGCTGCATTGCGACTCCAAAATGTACTGGTCGATGGCTTGGGAAATATTCACCGACGGGGCTGGCGAAGGGGTCGCATCTGTACAGTCTGCGGCTGATGAAGTGGGATCTGCAATATAACACAAGGGATAATCTGAGCTTTCAGAGTCGCGAACCTGCTTTGGAGCCCGAAGTGCAGACACCAGGTACTGGAGAGTACCATAAATGAGGAGCCAACGGACTTTGCGCGCGTCCATAACGGTTATTTTCTCCTGGCGCCGGCATGCATTGACGGCATGTGCGTTCTCGAAGTGCATATATGCTTGAACAATCTTCGAGCTTGTGACATGTTGGTCCAGAATGTTTGTTGCAGCCCTCAACGCACCGCTCATGGTATGGATCTTGTGTGTTTTTTGATGTTGAGAGGCAAGAGTAAGCTGCCGTAATGCCCTGTGCGAGTCTGATTTCTTCGAAGGCGATATGTATGTTGGCAGCAGTGGCAATGGATGTGGCAGTGAAGTGAAGTTGTGCCGCTGGTCAAAAGTAAGCACGTTCTGCAGAACACAAATCCCGCCACTCGCTGGCCCTTGAGAAGAAATGTCGACAGTAGATGTTGTGTCTACGAGATAGTCGTATAGGCTCTTGAAGTCATAATACATAGATTTGTAAAGAGCCTTGGGGAATATTGTGCCTCGAGGTGGGGGCCAGTAGCCAAACTTTTCAGCATAGAATGTATGCAAGAAACGGCGGAATCGGTCCAGATGGCTTCGAGCAGCATCCGTCAGCCCAAGATATGTAGGCGAGAAGTCTTCTTGCAGGAACTTGCTGAGCGCAGCAGACACGCGCCCGAGATGAGCATCGACTTCGCGATGAGCTCGAGTAATCAGGGCTTTAGTAAGTTTTGAGATAGGCTACGAATAGTCGTTAGTGTCATACTCAGGTAACATACTTTGGCTCCTTACTGAAAATTCCGGGCTAAGGGCCAAACTTTCGTTCATGCCAACACAATGGGCGAAAGCATCAACCCAAACATCCCTAAGCTTGTAACGCTCTGCATAGAACAAACTTGCAAGAGCATAATCTGTGCATTCGACCAAGTCGCGGTAGCCCTGGTCTTCGGCGTAGGATAGAAAGTCTTGGACATTGTTAGGGTGATCAGGTCGAAAAAGGTCTAATCTTTCTTGAAGATCCACATAAGCCTGTCCCATATGGTCGCCAACTAACGGTTTGCCTAGCAAGAATGCGAAGAAGTTGCGAGTTGTAATGTGCCATCTGAAAGAGTCTTGTCGAGCAACCTCTGCGGGCGCAGGTATGAAAAGTTCCATAGTGCTTGGTTGCTTGTTTGCATCAATCAGTGAACTGGGCACCCGCTTCAATTTTTGTGAGGCCGATGTCTGCAGTGAAATCAAATGAGCATCGCACTGATTTATTACCGACTCGCACTTTTTTTGTCGCAAGACTCTGAAGGGAATGCAGAAAGACGGGCCACGACGTGACATTCCTCTGGCATGAAGGTGAACGTAGCAGTCGCCATCCTCATACCATAGTTCAGGGTCCTTTTCGGAACATCAGCCAAGCACAATAACAATAAGGGCCAACATACCCTTCGCAAACCGTGATCCCAGTCATTTACGGTACGAGTCAAGCCCGACCATCGCTGAATCTTTGTCGGATGCATCGGTTCTCGTATTGCTGCAGAGCAGCTGGCAGATCTCGAACCCATTTAGATGCCAGTTCAAGGTCTCGTGTTTGTTATCCTGTAGAAGGCCAAAATAGATTTGGTCGCCTGTAGTCCGGCTATGACGTGTTGATTGGAATGTACGGAGTCTTTTGGTGGCCGTCAAAGTCCGCCCAATGAGGCCGTAGCGACTACCAAACGCAGGTCACTGTGTGCAAAATCATGAAAAGTGGTCAAGAGGGTAGACGAGTGACTGGGAATCAAGTGCTAATGAAGTTTTGTCTCTGACGTTAATTGTACGGGCTGAGGCGCTTCCGAGGCTATGTTAGTGTGAAAAAGCGCAGGTAAGCGTACCAAAGAATGAAATACACAACACGCACGGGCGGGGATCAATGTTATCGATTTACTTCTGCTGCGGCAGGGAGACAGGGTTGGGTGGGAGTTCGTAGTAGCCGAAGGTGGGACAATGCAGCCATGTGTCTAGATCCCCGTCGTCCCTTCAGCTATCGCAACGCCCGCCTACTATAGTGTGCATGTATCGGCTCGTGAGGAAGCGGGTAGAGCGATTTGCGAGACGACCATGCCAAAACGAGTCGCCTGCCGTGAGTGGCTTGCGCTGGTCGGGCTATGGCGCCGGGAAATCGAACTGGCGCGGCCGTTCTCGACGCAGATGGTGCAGAGTATGCCTAGAGTCGTCCCAGAAGAGCAGAGTTTAGGACCGCCCATGCGTGTAATTGGGCGGCCATGTGTACCTGGCCTGGCTGTTAGGCCTGGGAGCTGTCTGCGCTGTTTCCCAACTCAGGACCCCGCAGTCGCTTACATGGCCTTATTTTTTTCATTGTGGTAAAGCGCGCGCCAGCAGATGAGCCTTGAGAGTGCTGGAATGATTAGCAAGGCTTGTGTGGCGCTTCTAGACGATCTCTCTCAGCGAGGGTGGCGGTTTTTGTCAAGGCTGTACGGGGCCCTTTTGCCCACGCTTTGCTGGCGTCACGGCAATGTGACAGCGAGCATGGGGAAATGATGGCTTGCGCATCGACCCTGGTGTGGTGTTGTACGCGTCCAAGTGCAAGTGTGTCGCACAGTTTGTTGCCCACCAATTGTGAGGTCGGGGGTGGGGATGCCGTCAGCCCGCCATGATCGCCGTTCAAGATTGCCCGGCTCTCCTCACAGCTTAGCGTGCGATTGCGATGCATGACTGCATACTTACAAGCTGTCTATCACAGCAGGAGCACGAGTATACATGCTGGTGTCTGGTGGGCATCATGGCACTGCATACACTGACATTGCGCTCCGCCGACTTGTGCCAGCTTTGTCATCGCACTCGTCACCACCACACCGGAGCCTACTCGGACTTCACCTCCGTCGAGTGCTGCTCTATTACAACGTACTCCTACTGCACGATGCAAGGAGCATCGCCGGCTAGAGTCTCCGAGTGTCTCGATCAGCAACTGCGTGACAGCGTTCACATAACCAACGATTACACCACGTCGCAAAGATCATCGACACGGTTAGTTTCATGTATCCAACTAATCGTCATCCTAGCATCCGCGGATCAAAGCTTTGCTGTCAAGCAGATGACGTACTCTCATTCACTACTACCATAGTGCATCCTTTCCACATGCGCCCCAAAGGTTACGCGCGGCTCCTCACTTCACGATAATGTATGTCTCATAGATGCTATGCCGACACCGATAGATCGCTTCACAGTAGTGCAAATGCTGCTGCTGCAGCATTGCTGTTGATGTTGGGGCTAGCTGTACATTGGCGTTGCGGCAAACTTGGCATGAGATTCGAGCGATCTTTAGCCTTTCTATTTGTCTGGACTAGACAATATACACAGAATGAAATAGAGTTTCGGTGGCGAGATGTGCATCGAATCAAGGGCGGCATTCCGAATCCCATGCACAAGCTTGTTCTGCCAGATATGTATCTGTTCATACCACCTACTAAGCAAACCAATAGGTATAACGGTCGAGCTATTAGAGCTTGAGCTCATCTTGCCGCCGACAACCCGCGTCTTGCTCATCATCTACAATCCTCACAAATGGTTCCATCTGGATTCCTCTTGACTTCAACCTCCTGGCTCTTCTCCTGCCCTGCTCCTTTTTCTTCGGCCTTGGCCTTGTCTCCTTCGACTAATTTCTCTTCCTTCTTCTTACCGTGCTTATCCGAGTGCCCCAGATCCCGCGAAGGGTCAATGCAATCCCGCACCTTTTGCTTCAGTACCTTGGTTTCTACAGCCAGTTAGCATCTCACCAACTGAACATCTTCCATTGCTGAGAGATACAAACCTGGGAACCCCCCTTCGGCTTTTCTATCCCAGAGTAGCACCTTTGTTGCTTCAGCATTGTGACCTTGTTCCACAGATGGAACGTATGTCTTGCAATGTCAGCAGCTAGCCAGCGTTATGGCAATATCAAAACTTACCAGTTCCACTGTGAAAAGCCCCCCAGTCGCAGGGATCAAGGCGATTTCACCTATTTGTGTTCCGAATGTTGATAAGAGTTCTTGGCCAAACTTGTATATGTTGGTAAAGGTTGTTGGTGCAACGTGTAAGAGTGCTTACATAGGCCGCTCGCAGCATCCAGCGACATTGAGTGCAGTAGGTGATTGCAACGCGTGGTAGAGCAACTGGTGCAGTCTGTATTGTTGCCATGGCTTTTGGTGTTGGATGGGTCGTTGCTGCCATAGATACGAATGTGGATTGAAGGAATGGTATCGGCTTATCGATAGTGCATCTGTGGCGTCATTACCTCAATTGGGCCGAGCACATCATCATACAGAGTTCGATACATGTGGCCGTGGTGTCTGGAAAGCTGACGGGGCAGCCAGGGTGCGAGCTGCACTGTAGGGGGTTGATGGAATAGGAAATCACCGATCACGTTCTGCTTGTGTCACCGTCGCACCTTATCTAATCCACTCATCTCTCATCACTTCGTGAACAGCGGACGAATTTTTTCGACCTCTTTTTCTTCAACACAAAATATATGGCATGATCCCATTGCGTGTCTCATATCCTATCACCAGATGAGTTTGTAGTGAAGAGTCGTTGAGTCTGTTGTGAAGCAAGCTACGGAAACCGAAAACGAAATTGTTTGCCTGAGCCCACTGGCGGCCCAAAGCATCGTTGTAGCCGGCAAGAGAAAATGAGCAGAGGCCCAGGAGCGATCAAGAAATGAGTATTAATGTATCCGCATCTACTTGGCATCATTCCCACTAGAATGCAGAACGGATGGTCTTCACGGCGGACAAACTACGAGTAAGAGCAGGGTATGCGCATGACGGCGTGTGAGATCCTTTGAGCAAAGCCATCATGTCTCGTCATCGCCCCTATGCTGGCTGTTATACGTATGCCCAAGAAGGGGTTGGCGGTGAAGGTGGGTGACACGCAACAATCAGTGATCACAAGAGGGAGGCGCGAAAAGCGGGATTACCAATGGGCCGTGCACCACAGGGTCCAAGGCTGGTTCTTTGCGGAGAGGCTCGAATTAGGGGCAAACCAACGTCTTCTGCAACCGCCCAGCAGCACACTCTGCAACCCATCCTGGACCTTGTATCTGCCGCGGCCCTCTGTCTCTTGCGCACCAATTGGAGTCTATCTTGCGGCTTCCCTGCAGGTAGTATACATCTCTGTGCCAACATCCACACAAACCCCCGATTCCATTACGTCTGCCTGGCATGAGTCCCTTGGGCTTCCTCTACTACGCCGTTCACCCGGCCGAATTGCGCTCCATAATTCAATGGTATGAGTTCCATCTTGCGCATTCCCTTGCGGGTCTGCAGGCCTGCCTACGTGGTCGACATGGCTAATGTCCCCCCAGGAAAGTATGGCACAATCCAGTACACGAGCGCGACGAATCAAAGGAACCCGAGTCCCTAAAGCGATGCTTCCATTTCCTCAACCAGACAAGCCGTAGTTTTGCCGCCGTCATTCTCGAGTTGCACCCAGATCTTTTAGTGCCCGTCACACTGTTCTACCTAATCCTGCGTGGTCTCGATACCATTGAGGATGACATGACCATTCCCTTGGCCAAGAAGGAGCCTCTCCTACGCAACTTCCAGGACATCTTGGAACAGGGTGGCTGGACATTTACGGAAAATGGCCCCAACGAGAAGGACAGGCAGCTTCTGGTCGAGTTCAACGTGGTCATTGAAGAATTCAAAAAGATCAAGCCCGCCTACAAGGATATCATCAAGGACATCACTACGCGCATGGGCAACGGAATGGCAGACTACGCCAACAACGCTGAGTTCAATGCTGGAGTCAAGACGGTCAAAGAATACGAGCTGTACTGCCACTATGTCGCGGGTCTGGTTGGTGAGGGATGCACACGTCTCTTCGTTGAGGCTGGACTGGCAAATGCCGCCCTGCTCAAGAGGCCAGAACTCATGGAGTCCATGGGCCAGTTCCTCCAGCAGGTCAACATCACTCGTGACATCAGGGAGGACTTCGATGACGGCCGCCGATTCTGGCCCAAGGAGATCTGGTCTAAGCACGTGGACAACTTTGAGGACCTGTTCAAGCCGGAAAACAAGGAGAAGGCACTGAACGCTAGTTCGGAAATGATTCTGACGGCGTTAACCCGTGCCGATGACTGCTTGTACTATCTGGCCGGTCTCCGAGAGCAGAGTGTGTTCAACTTCTGTGCGATCCCCCAGTCCATGGCCATTGCGACTCTGGAAACTTGTTTCCAGAACTATGACATTTTCCAAAAGAACGTCAAGATTACCAAGGGCGAGGCTTGCCAGTTGATGGTCGAATCTACACAGAACTTGCAGCTTGTCTGTGAGGTTTTTAGGCGGTACGCTCGCAAGATTGCGAAGAAGAACAACCCACACGACCCCAATTTCTTGAAGATCAGCATTACACTGGGAAAGGTGAGTCTTGTGTGAAGTCGGTTCCAAATGTTTTACTAACCAGGCCCAGATTGAGCAATTCATCGAGTCGATATTCCCATCGCAACAGCCTCCACCCGACCGAAAAGCACCAGCCACAATAGAAGAAGCAATGAAGAAGCAGAAGGAGGATGCAGAGGCCAACTGGGACCTGATCTATGTTGTCGCTGCTGTGATTGGAACTGTCCTTGTCATGACTTCGCTGATGGTACGTATCAAGTTTATGGACACTCGAGCTTTGCTAACCTTTACTAGCTGTTCATCGCCTACCTTGCCGGAGCCCGCTTCGATATTGCCTGGTCTCAGGCCAAAACGGACCTTGGCAAACTTCTAGGCGGAGCAGCCAGTACGGCACCTGCGCAAGTCACCAAAGTCCTGGAGACGGTGGAAAAGAGCGAACTATAGGCTTTCGGACTTTCTATCTTTCGCCATTATGTCTGTATGTAATTATATTAGCCACCATAAACGAGTCAAGGCAGGTATAGAGATGGATCCTAGTAATTTTAATTTTGCACGACGATGAAGGCTGGATTACAAGTCATCTGTGACGACCTGGCACGATAGTTAGGGTATAATAATACTTGTTTTGTATCAATAGTTAGGCTGAAGAAGTGACTTTGCAGGCGTGCACTTCACTTGGGGACGAGGCCATCTCCACAAGAATCATCTTCATAAACGCGTTCATGATGATGGGAAGACAAGCTCGGGTGGCGACCAAAGAACAGCGAAAGTTATTTTTCTTCCCAACTGCCATCTGAGACTCTGGCGCTCTGCTTGCGACATGTTTGAAACTTGAGTGTCTAGCGTGCCAAGACCAGAAGGCTCCCACCAAGTGCGACTGCGCTGCATATTATTCTTCTCGACAGACACGCCCGCCGCAAGCAGCTAATTCCGACCCGTTCCTTCTCCGCAAGCAGTCCCTTAGACTGCATATTCCCACGACCGCCTCGGTACCATCGCCTGGTGCGACTGCGATAGGCCCGCCTTCACCTTATTCCGCCCACCACCAACCCTCTTAAATTCCCCCGCAACCGCAACCACCTTTTCTCCAAAACACCACCCACCCACATACAAACCCCAAAAACCAACACAATGGCCGAAGTCGCCGCCTCCGCAAACAGCAACCAACAGGTTCCGCTGGACACGATTCCCATCTCGCCTACCGACAACTCTGGAGAGGGCGAACAGTCCAGCAGCAATGCAGCAAATGAGGGCGAGATCCGCACTGTCTTCCATGACCCCGAGAACTTCAACGTCAAGCACCCGCTCATGAACACATGGACACTGTGGTTCACTAAGCCCCCGAGTGGCAAGGTACGCTAACGTTGTGTGTATGCCAACCGATGCATCCTCGCTAATCATTGCAGGGCGACAACTGGGCCGAACTGCTCAAGGAGGTTATCTCGTTTGACTCGGTCGAGGAGTTCTGGGGCATCTACGTAAGCTATCTTCTGCCGCTGGCGCAACCTGCGAAACTAACATGGCTTGCAGAACAATATTACTCCAACATCCGACCTGGCACTCAAGTCCGATTACCATCTCTTCAAGAAGGGCGTACGTCCCGAGTGGGAAGACTCACAAAACAAGCACGGTGGCAAATGGGCTTTCCAGTTCAAGGACAAGAAGGCAATCAACATTGATGCGCTCTGGCTGCACGTCATGCTGGCCGCCATTGGCGAGAACCTTGAGGATGAGGACGACAACGAAGTCATGGGTGTTGTCGTCAACGTTAGGCGAGGTTTCTACCGTATCGGTCTCTGGACACGCTCAGTCGGCCGTGCTATCCCCGGCGATGGAGGCAAGGGAAGGACCCAAGAGCAGGGCAAGGAGGTCCTTCTCAAGATTGGCAGGCGATTCAAGCAGGCGCTACAGCTCAAGGATAACGATGTTGTCGAATTCTCTGGACACACCGATGCTGCTCACGCCGGTAGCACTCGCGCAAAAGCCAAGTTCAGCGTCTAAGGCTTTAGCTACATCTCTGGGCATGCAGCACCACGGCTGATGCTTGTAATATCCTCCTTCGTCGGCGGACACATTACGTACTCCACGTTCGGACTGCATTTCCACACTTTGTTCACTGTTTGGTCCAAAAAATATCTCACTATCGGTTGGTAGGGACCGAGTTTCTAGCATGGCGTCCGCATGGGATTGCGAAGGGTGATATCAGGTTCTTTATATGAATCATACGGCCATGGCGGGTACACCTCGATGGGGTGAAGGGTTCCGGGCTTGTGTAGAAAAACTCTAGTATCTGACATATCTATGAATAAGAGAATAGACGCACTTTTCAGTATTGATTTGCAGAGAGTGAGGGCCACATGGTGATGGTCAGCATTGTGAAATGGGCGTCGGAAACCGATGGTGAGGGCGGACACAAGGAAGGGTGTGCTTCGAGATTCATTGCGCATCAGTATCGTGATGTGGGCATGTACCTGCTACACTGTGTGTATACATGAATAAGCGTATACGCCGGTGTGGCTTATCGCTCATATTAATAGAGTGTGAGTCAAGTGGGTTTGTTCGGCGGGACTGGCTGTACAAGGAATGGATGACACGGCCTAACAGTGGTGACGTCGGCTGTGGCGGTGCAGTGATTTTCACGGGCAGCCATGTGCAGGCTGCCGGCGCGCGCTTTATTCATACTTCCTTTTGAACCGCCCACCACCTACCCCTCCACTCTACATATTCGTATTCGCAATCATGGTAGTAGAAACCGCATACTACGACGCCCTCGGCGTACCGCCCACCGCATCCGAACTGGAAATCAAAAAAGCCTACCGCAAGCTTGCGATCAAACTGCACCCGGGTACGCAGCGCAACGACGACAGTTTTCAGCACCTGTGACTGACTCTAGGGCAGATAAGAACCCTGGAGATGAGACGGCGCACGCAAAATTCCAAGAAGTACGTATACCGCCTGCGAGGGCAGCTTCCGACAAATACGGTCGAGAATGCAAGAGGATTGCGGGGCTCACGGCATGACAGATTGGTGAGGCATATCAAATTCTCAGCGACGAGCAGCTGCGCGCAGCATACGACAAACATGGCAAAGAGGGTGCTATGCCCAGTAGCGGGTTTGGTAAGAAAATACATTCTACGCTGCGAGTGCGGGATGCTGACAGGTCACAGAGGACCCCTCCGAATTCTTCACCATGATCTTTGGTGGAGAGGCTTTCGTAGACTGGTAAGCCACATAGTCCGCGACACATTGTTAGTGATGTCTCGTTCAAGCAGAAATGCTGATACTTGCAGGATCGGCGAAATTTCCTTAATGAAGGACCTTACCAAGACTATGGAAATCTCCCAGCGTGAGATGGAGGCAGAGGCTGCCGCTCAGGCTGAGGCCGAGAGGGCAGAAGCCGGAAAGGCACCTACGGCCGAAGGGACTGCTGCTACTCCCCCGACTGCTGCCACAGACACAACAGGCCCAAGTGCTGCTACACCAGCCAAGGAGGCTGAAGCAGCAGCTGAGCACACAGGAACGCAGACGGCACATGTACCACCTCCTCATGTAGAAGCAGAAGCACCTCCGGCGCCCGCAGCCGGTGCATCCACTTCTACGCAGCCCCCGCCGCTCCCACCCCGGACAAGCACACCACCAACACGAGGCATTCCAATCCGCGCGGCTATCATGGACAAGTCTGATGAAGAGGTACGCATGGAGGCAGAAGGCATGACCGATGCAGAGAAGGAGCTGCGGGAAAAGCAAAAGAAGAAGGCTGGTCTTACTAAAGAGCAGCGGGAAGAGCTTGCAGCATACGAAATGGAGCGAAAGAGGATCCGTGAGGAACGCGTTAACAACCTTGCTAAGAAGCTTGTTGAGCGTATCTCATTATGGACCGAGACGGACAAGGCTACCGACGTAACTGCTGCTTTCAAGGAAAAGATTCATCTAGAGATTGAGAATCTCAAGATGGAGTCGTTTGGTATTGAAATCCTCCACGCCATTGGAACCACCTACATCATGAAGGCATCTTCATTCCTCAAGTCTCAAAAATTCCTCGGCATCTCAGGCTTCTTCTCCCGCATCAAGGACAAGGGCACTCTTGTCAAAGACACCTGGTCGACCATGTCTGCTGCGATAGATGCGCAGTTGACTATGGAAGAAATGGCGAAGCTGGAAGAGCAAGGTGGTGAGGCATGGACAGATGAGAAGAAGGCCGAGTACGAGAAGAAGGTCACTGGCAAGATTCTTGCCGCTGCATGGAGAGGTAGCAAGTTTGAGATTCAGAGCGTGCTGCGCGATGTGTGTGACGCCGTACTCAACGACAAGAAGATTAAGCTCGAGAAGCGCATCGAGCGGGCCCATGCTCTCATGATTATCGGAGAGATGTTCCAGAAGGTATGTTTGTTACTTTTGTCCTTGTGCACATCTGGATAAAAACTAACGTTTTCCGCAGGCTGAGCGCGACCCCGAAGAAGAGGGCGACTTCATGGCGTTTGAGCAGCTCATGGCTGAGGCGGCAGCGAAGAAGGATGCAAAGGACGAGAAGCACGGAAAGCATCATCATCATGATAAGAAGGAGAAGAAGAAGGAAAAGGCATAGGATTGAGTCCGGGCTTTCCCTCTAACTTCCTCTCTCTATACATGCCGCCCTTTTCTCTTCTGCCAAATCCCGCCCCTTTTTTCTTCTTGTTTTGTGATATCCATAGATGGGGGATTGTCTGCCCTTGTTCCTGATAATGGCATTTGGAAGCTGCGATAGAAAGTTGCTGAAAAGATGAGTATCCCTGGATATTGAAAGTTTCGTGTCTTTTTTGTGTGTGTGTGTGCAGGAACTTGATCATGCGTGATTTTAGGGTTCCGATATGCGATTTTTTTTCCCCCGTGGGACGTGAGTTGGGGAAAAACATGAACAACCAACTTGGAGAAAAAAAAGAATAGGATAAAGCGGTATTTTTTTCGATACAAGCAACGTACATGCCTGAATACAAGAATAATATAACGCTACTACTTAACTACTATTATTTGTAATCATCACTCCCTCCCCCCAATCTGAGACCATTCCCACCCTCTCTCTCTCTCTCTCTATGCAGACCCATCCCCCCCTTTTCCCATCCCAACCATCTCTAACAATAACGAAAGCTACATTTACTAATACCAGCGTACCCAACTCTTCATCCCTGGCAAACCCTCTTTTGCGGGTGGGATCATAATTAAAGGAGCGTCGTAGTTTTGGCACTGCGATTCTTCTCGACAAAGAAAAAAAAATGAAGGTTTTAATCCAGCGGCGTATATTCGTACGTCGCAAAGATGTCTAGATTTGTCATTGTTGGGCGGGCGGGCAAGTTGCGGGGGGAGGGGGAGGGATGTTGTATTAAGGTTGGCGTTGGGTTAATATGCCGGTTTTTTGTTGTTGTTTTTTTGGGACGCGTTGCTTTTTTTGGAGTAGGGGGCGGAAGGGACGGGTGCGGGTGTAACGGATTTGGATGACTAAAAAGGTGTGACTGGATTGGTTGGTGCTTGGTGGTATTGCCGGGTTTCAATAGAGAGTTTGGTGTTATATGTACAGGAAGAGGGGAGGAGTGGAGCGGAGGGTAAAACGGGGGCGTGGGTGTGGCTTGCGGGTGGCTTGCATGAAAGTAGTGGTAGTGGTAGTAAACTTGGGATGCGCGAGAGCGGCTAGTTCGACTTAATTAGAAAGTAAAAAGTCACAATGTTGAAAATGGGAAAGAGGAAGTGAAGTAGTAAAAGGGTTATTGTGTGGTATCTCCATTTCGATCTGTCGTAAAATCATACTATGTACAAAGTTGAAAAAGCGATACGCATTCTAACCATTCCCCCCCCCCCCCCCGAAAAAGAGGCATACCAACATCACCACCGCCTGGATACTCAAGCATCAGAAAAAAACAATAGTGATGCTGGTTGGGGGTATAAAAAGAGTAAATGCGTGCATATCTGCGCTGCTGATGCGGTAGCGGCGATTGGGGGTAGTATCCGTCTTTCCCTTCTATGCGTACTAGTTACATTGAGTTAAGAAAATTCGCAAAGTATGATGTGTATAAAAAGGGAAAAAAAGTAAAGAGCAAAAAAGGAAAACGGATTTTGCCGTGTCCTAGGATCAAGTAGTTTTGGTGGACAGCACGGAGTCCGCAATCAGAGAGATAGGAAAGAATAGAGATTATGGAGATGGTTTTGCGGGACGCTTAGGCGGAGCGCTTGGCGTGGACGGAGCCCTGTTGGTAGATGAGTCAGTATGATGTTATATGAATAGTAGTAGTAGTAGTGAAAGATAGAAAAGAAAAAGAGCAAACATACTCGCATGTTGGGCATGTTTACGGAGATGTGAATGTCGGCCTTGTAGGCGCCAGTCGCGGGCTTGGTCTCAGTTTTTTGCTGAGAAGAAAGGAATGTCAGGAACATGTTTTGCTTGTGCAGGGTGGAAGAGGGAAGAAGAATGTGAAGGGAAGTTTGTCTTACAGGCAAACACAGGTGCAGTTGTTTAAGGACATACCTCGGAGGCGTTGGCGGGAGCAGCTGGGGCAGCGGGCTTGGTGGCGTTGGAGGTGCCAGAGACGGCGCCGACCTGGAGCATGTTGTCCTGGCCAAGGGTGTTCTGGATGAAGCGAGAGTTGAACTTGACAATCTTCTTGATGGCAGTGTAGTCGGCGACGCTGACGGCAAGGGGCTGCTTGACGATCATGAAGGTGACACCCTCGGCGCAAGGAGGGGTGGTAAGGGAACCGGAGTAGGTGAGGACATCGGACCTCTCAATGGTGGAGATGACATCGCTGTAGTTAATTCCGCCCTTGATCATGGTGGTGCTGCCGGGGGTGGCGATCTTGGAGAGGGAAGAGGAGAGGGAAGAGATGATTGAGGAGGACCTGCCAGCGGAGACTTCGAACATGAGGGCAACAACAGCCAGCTTGGTGTTGTCGGCAACACCCTGGTGAACCATGTGGAGCTCAAGAGGGTAGTACTCGCCGAGGACGTGGTGCTCGGATGGGGTGTGCATGTGGAATTGGACAAGCTGGAAGGAGTCATTGCCGATTGTGGTGGTGCCGTTGGTTACGACCTCAATGGTCGTGCCCAAGTTCTCGAAGAGGACCTCATCGACCTTGGGGACGGAGATTTGGGGCTTAGCAGCAGCCTTAGCAATGGTGGCATCTGAGGGTGGAGTGTTAGTAAAAGGCGTCTTGAAGCTGATATCAGTGTAGTGTGGGACTTACCAATGTCGATGGGAGACTGGTTCTTGCCGGTCTTGCAGGCCTCGTTCTCGGGAGCGAGAGAAGCCCAGTTGAAGGGACCGTTGGTAGGACCATAACCAAATTTGGCAACCTCGGCACCCTCAGCGCCCTCAGCACGCTTGAACATGGAGAGGCCGTGAAGGCAGGTTGCCGAAGCAGTGGTAGCGAAGAGGACGGTCTTGAGAAGCATAGTGAATGTGTTTGTGTGTTGTATGGGTAAGTGTAATACTAAGTTTAGATTGATGTGTTGTAGAAGGTTGATGAGTAAGAGAAAGGAGTGATCGACTGTGTAGAATGAAGTTTGTTTTATGCTGGACAAAAGATACGGACTGCAAGTTGTTTAAGTACAAGTACACAAGAGTCTACGACATCTGGTGAACAATTTAGTGCTGATGATCTAGGCGCGCACGCCCCCCTGTCCGGGTAGGAACAACAGCCTACGCAAGGGACTCGGGCGTTACAGGAACATCCTGTCAAAGGCGTGTGACGAATCGAGAATGGGCCAGTGAAGAATAAGCCCGTGAAGCAAGCGAGGTTCAGGCCAAAAAGCTTGTCAACTGCGTGCCTGGTTCCTAAGGAGGAGTTGCCGCAGATCAAACGGGCTAACAGTGTGTCAGTCTCATAAAAAAACATCTGATTTTAAGGATTAGGGGTATGCTGGATATGCGTTTCCAGGCACCAAAAGCCAGTTGTGCGTTTTGCCTTGGATGCAAGCCACACACACAGCTCCGTTCACGCCCGGCGTATGCTGATCTGTAACGGATCCTTCGATACGGGGTTTTCCAGCCAAGAACGCTCCTCTTGGGCCAAGTCTGATAACAGGAGGCAATATTCTAGCACGCTTTGGCAGCATTCCTGCCACCCGGCAGCTATGAGGGTAAAATCTCCGAGACAGGTAAGTGCCAAGTCGACGACTTGTGTCTAGTACGTAGCCACATGTGCCCCAAGAGGCCAAGTCTTGCGACAGTTGCTTAGGGGGCTTGTCGAAGGCTGTGTTTGAGACGGTGACGCCAGCCACAGGTGGCAGCTGGCTGACAAGGGAGTCTTGCGGAGAAGGCTTGGCCGCCCACCGCGACTAACGAGTAGTAGAGTGTGCTTAGTTAGGACGGTGAGATCACTGCACAGCCGTTTATCCCGCGGCGGGACTCCGTGCTGATGGCAGATGGGACGAACAGCGCAGATACCAGAACCGAATCGGAACTATAGGAGCTCCTCTTTTTTTTGTGGCTATCAGTCATTCTCCGCAATAACGCGCAAACTGTCGTCATGCCCTCTGTCCGCCTCGTGCACACTCCACTCCAGAATAGTATGCCCATGACAAGCTCCGGCCTAGCCTTGTCCCGCTGGCATCCTCCTGGGCCTGAAACCCATTGTCGCCTTGACCCTTCAAACGGCTTGGCGGGAAAAGGGTTCATCTCCCACCAGGAATCAGGCTACAAAGATTCCAGATTTAGGCTACTTTGCTTGGCTCCCACGTTTTGTCTGCGCATGCATCACATCGTACTGGCTTACCCCAAACACCCAAAACCCGTAGCTAGGGGGCTAGCCTGGCTGCCCTCCCACCCCGTCGCCGCCGCCATGGTTGGGAACGTCGCCGAGCGGCAGTAAGGCCGAATGGGACATGTACGTCCAAGGCCGACAGATCGCTCATCCTTCATCACCCTTTCCCGTCCAATCCCATTGTCCCAACCCGCGCTGTTATGGACAAGGGTCCAGTTTACTGCGGAGAAACCTGGAGTCAAAGGATGCGTTACAGCGGAGCGCTACGCGGCTTGGTAATGTGGGTTATGAACTGATGATTGCTGGTAAACAGGTCATTTCCCATCTACCGACCTATCTCGAGTCCTCTCCAAAACCCAGCCACAGCGCTTGGCTGCCATGGTGCAAGTGTCAACCTCCGCTGCCAAGGAGCGCATACATGTACTAAAAGGTATTGGTCTCCACGGTTGAGAGAGGGCGTGGCAGGTGTTGGCTACTAGCTCACAGGCACAAAATAACCGTGGTAAGGCGCCCGGATCCTACCGACTGACACCCGCCGTACTGCGCGGACCAGCGACGCCGTTCGCGCCACCATCGAGTAGCGAATATTATCGGGCGCTACGCAACGTCGTCCGACGAGCCGGGCGCATGGCGAGACTCGGGAAAGGGAGAAGAGTTCCTCAATGCTAATGGCATTCTTCTCTCTGGCGTCTTTAGCAAATAGCGCCATGGTCGAGTGAAGCAGCGTTCCCCCAGCAAGTTCGGTTGACTTGAATCGGACATAGCGCATAGCAATTTGCCCGTCTGTCTCTCCGCCGTGTAAGTAAGTAAACATATGCGCAATTCGCATACGAGACATGTCAACGCAACATCATCGGAA